AGACATTTTCCAAGTATTCTAACTACATCCATCAGTTTCATTGCACCAAGGCAATGAATATAAATGACTCACCGCGCCTGCACTTGTTCCTGATTGAGATGGTGCAGGGTTGTGGTTAAGGCAGTAACACCCAAAACTCCAGGCCAGAGCAACTCCGGTGGGACGACTACAATCGCCCGGAAAGGTCCAGCACCCACATACGTAGAGTGAGAATTGGTTCAGTAGGGTCGTCATTGGCTATGCCTATACCCGCAGCCCGCAAGATTTCGGTCTGTGAATCTGCAGCTGTTATGATGTGAGAATTTCAAAAACGAATTCACAACAAATGGCAACAATGGACGTACCGGAATCAGTAGTATTTCCATCCTGGAGTTCCTTTTGCCGAATAGATTTCTCTAGGAGATTAATATCTTTGTCCTTGCCAGCTTCCATGATAGGCATGAGGAAGGAAAGAGCAGAAAAGGGATCTGATAAGAAGATCAGATAAAGAGATCAAGGATTTGATAAAAAAAAACAGGAAACATCAGATAACAGAAAGAGCGTGTAGTTCCAACATCGGACTGAATCCGTGGGAATACACATGTGCACCGTGGTTTCCGGCCCATAAGGCTGTCAGGAGGGAGCATCGGATTATCGTGGACTTGATGATTTAATTCAAAGGCTGTTTTGTTTTTGTTTTGTTTAATTTCAAGGTATATCACTTAGGTGATGGTTGATGTTAGTCTTCTTCATTTCATCAATGCATAAAAATTAAATCCCAGGCAAGCTTCCTCAACATCGAGCTCGCCATAGAATTCTGAAAAGAAGCTTTGCAAAGACCCATATCTCGTCTGCAGGACCAAGTTGAGAAACCCACAGGCACAAGGAGAGTGGTTTAACGGCGACTTTTCCCAAGTCTAGACAGAGGAATCATCATGGGTCTAGTCACCGGATGTTCATACAGAGCCAACCATCGTCACTCATTCCCATGGCATATTCTCCCGTGAGTATGTATCTAGGGCCGCCTTTCGGGCTGGCATATTCAATGATCTCAGGGATGCAACTCTACATCCTACTAGTGTGTAAAACATAATGAGGGATGGCCGATAACACCAGGGCGTGTATGTCTCTACTCACCGGACCAATAAATCCTCTTCTACCACTGAGACACGCACTTTAATGCCCCAGCCATTCCGCCCACCAATCCAATTCTTCCGCTTTCCGACCTTCTCGATTTTCTGTACGTCATGTTCGAGCTCATGCTTCAAGTGAGACGGGTCATATTCAACTTTCTGAATGGAAATTGTCAAGTCGAGGCCTTCTTTGTTGCCCTTCTTCCCTAATCTGTTTGTCCACTGTGCCGAGGGAATGATTCGAGGCTTAGAGGTATCGATAGACCCGGTTGGGTACAGCCAGCTTAGCACGAGGCCGAGTTTTCCAAGATAACGTGTCCACCAAACCTCCTCTGGTGTCAAGATTCCCTGGAGGTGAGTCTTGAAATCCATGTCCCGGGGTGGTAATTCTCCGCCGTAACGCTCCTGGAGCATCAGTGCTAGGAGAGCACGGTGGGAATGTGGGATGCCATGCGTGGAGGCCAAGATCCCAGTGCTAGTGCTATATAGTGCGGCACTAGAGGATAGTTCTTTGGACATCGTGGCGTGGTAGTAGAGGGCATTAGCAAAGGCCTGAACAAGGTGAAGACTGATAGAAGATGGGAACGAGCGGGTGGCAGATGGTCGAGGGAGGGCGGCCAACAATAAAGCAGCCAGCGCCTGGGCCGACGAGGGGGCGTAACGGGCCGTGGCAACCTCCAAAGGATCCTGCTGGCGGACAATCGGGAGCATCTCACGGAATAGCACTCCTTCCCGTACTCCACCTTGGCAGAAATGGGCCTCTTTGATTCCATGGGGTAATGATTCCGCTAGTGTTTTGACTAAGAATGCCACCGAGGGAACCTGCTTGCGTCGTCGGTCGGAGACCCGGAAGATTTCGTGTGCCGTTTGAGCCACCTCTTTGAGAGTTTCGGTGTCCTCGAAGTCTTTCTTAGGTGCGGAGTACCCATTGATAATCGAGATAGGGTAACTTTGGCCCTTTGTCTGATGCAAATATAACAGAAGATAGCCCCATCCCCTAAATCCTCCCCCTGAGAGGTAAAGAGGGAAGCCCCCTTGCTCCTTGGCCTTTTGGACAAGCTGTTCAGGGACATTCAGGGTATTGAAAGCGGCGCGAAAGTTGTCAGCCATCTCCACGCGGAATTGCTCCCGTGCTTTGTGCGCTTCCTCTTTACTTTTGCCCCGTTTGAGGTTTGCAAGCTTCTGCGTCAACGCAGCTGCTCCGTAGGGGAAGCTGACTGATCCTTGAGAACTCATATGCACGTTGCCCGCATGCGATGTGATCCAAGTCATCTGCATGCTCCCACCCCCCAAATCAAGTGCGAGGCCCTCCACATCTGAAAAGCTACTGGCAATTCCCCAGGCTCCGATGATTCCCTCCTCCTCCTTTCGTAACGCCTCCACCGAGATTCCGGTTTTGTGTCGGATGGCGTCAATGAAAGCAGAAGCATTAATGGCAGTTCGAGTTGCTTCCGTGGCGATGATCCGAATATTCTGACCAGGAACTCCAATCTCCACGCAGACAATTTGGAAACGAACTATGGCACTGACAATTCGGTCGATGACATGCTGTGGAATTGGGATTCGGTTGCCTGTGTCGGGATCCACTTGAGCCTCGTAGAGGGAGATGTTGACCCGATGAAAATGTACAGTGGGGATCACACGGGTGCTTGGGGGTGAGAGATCTGAGATCGAACAACGGATGCCATTACTGCAATAGTTTGAAGTCAGCGAACAGTCCCCACCTGCGTACATTTCAAGGGCAATAAAGAGGTGGATTTGGTCTCCCTACCTGCCCAAATCAACCACTGCATGAAGGTATACATTCTGACCGGGATCAGATGACACCTTTTGGATATTCATTGGAATTCGGTCTCCTCCTCCCATTATGGTCACCAGTTGAAGTTGCTCTGTGCGTTGTTGAATTTCTGCTACACATAAGCTTTGGAAAAAACCAGCGTGACATCATCATTCTGGACCGCCCGCTATTCTGCCGTATAGTGATGTGCTATAGCTTCTAAGTACAATTTTCTGTTCAGTGTTGACACTGATTATTAACTTTTTTAAATATGGACAATTTTACTCTCTGGGGTGTCTCTGTAGTCATTCAAGTCAATGTGATTGATACGTTGAGTACAATTGTACATCAAGTCTTCTTTGCACCAGGCAAGGCATCAAGTGATGCCTTAGGTTTCCAGTCATAGTGTGGAAAACCTCATCTGCTTTGACGGTCAAATGTTCTCCAAAAGCTTTTATTGATATATAATCTTCTCGTTACGCAGATTCGTCTATAGCGACCTTTGAGGGAAAATTTCGCTAGTCTTATAAGTGCTAACATTAGTATCATAGCTTAATATATATATCACCGGCATCTTCATATATATAGTATTTACAAACTTGTGTCGTAACGAAAAAAAATAAAGACCACATATCACAAGTAGAGCAGATATATAATATCCATGTATGTCTTAAAATATCAAGAAGTCACACGAACTTGACCTCAAATTCAGACTGAAATAAGCTAGGCCAATCATGGTGTCACGTGGCTGGTGTCTAATCAATCAGATCAGATAACGGGCCTGTATGTCCGAGGAGATTCCGAGTGTCCCACACCTTAACCCCGGTTCCTTCTTTGTTTTAATTTTTTTTCTTTCAAGTTACCCCGGGAAATTTTGTGTTAGAATACAAGTCATTTTTATTATAACTCCAGTTCTCGGGAGTTTTGGTCTCACGAGATCTAACGGTCCAACAGCTCAGAGACTTTGCCGATCCATATGGGTCCCGCCTGATCAGTGCGATTATCGGTTTGCTGCCGGTGCTCCGCCTTTCCCCTTCGACTGTTTCTTCATTTACCCCAGACTGGCCTGCGGCTTGGTGGTTCATTATGTTGCTTCGTTGGCTGGTAATCGCACTCGCTAACGGTGTCTGGGCCAACCTTGAAGACGAGCAGTGTGTGACGGCTGTCTACTCCGCGTACAACTACATTTCATTCGCTGGCATTCCTACGAAAGGAAAAGACATTTGGCTCTCGCAATGCCGAAATCCGCTCAAAGTTGCATCTATATACGCCGCGTCCGAGATATATTGCAATGAGCAGGAACGTGCGATAGGCTTGACTCGACTGGCTGACCAGTGCCAAGAAATTGGGAACCTAGAGCTGCTACCGAGAGAAGCCGTCGCCGAAAATCTAACAGATGATGCAATAAGAAATATGAGAACCGTCGACTATCAAGAGTTGTCGCGAGGCGAACCAGTGGATACCCCAATCCTTCTTTCTGCATCTTACTTTGGCCTAATGTTCAATACGCTTGTGAGACCCTTCGTGCCCTCTTGGAATATAACAGGCCAAAAGCTCACCGACGTGCTAGGAATCTTGGGAACTTGTAACTTGGGCACATCATGCATTTGGGTAAGTCCCTCCAGGATGACAAACAAACAATTATATATTAACCAATTAGTTATATTGGTTATGCATATTGGGGTGGCATACTGTCCCTAGGGATGGTCTATCGCTTGTGTGATTGGTTATTCCACCGCCGACAACGCCATGCAGAGCGTGCACTCGAATCCAACGTCTATCCTCTCATAAAGTGTTTAGAAAATATACCGTTGGTGGGGGTAGGTATTCACTGGATCCAGACTCATCTGATGATTCCAGCACCTTTGGCAGCAACACACGGTCGACGCTTCCTAGGCTTTACGTTCTCTACCAGAGTCGAGGCGGTTATAGTCATGGGATTTTGGACGATCAGCATCGTATTGAGTGTCGTGGGCTATCCAACTTTTCCGGGAAATATTTAGTGCGTACAGAGCCTGTGGGAGTGAGGTGTGGAAAATGCTGACAGGCAGTCAAGCTGGCCCGATATTCCAAGCCAGATTTTGCGTTATTCTGCAGACCGTACTGGTATCATGTCATTTGCGAATTTCCCCCTCCTATGGCTCTTTGGTGGACGAAATAATATCTTCCTGTGGGCCACTGGGTGGAGCTTTGCATCGTTCAATATATTCCATCGTCATGTGGCCCGAGTGGCCACTGTACAGGCCATAGTGCACTCTGTTCTTTACGTTGTCATGTTTATTCAAAGTAAGTACCGAGTACTGAGAGCTTGGTTTCCAATGCAGGATGGAAAACTTACAATTTATTCAAATCGCAGCGGGAAAAGCTTGGAGAGGTCTGTCGAAGACCTATGTTTTGTGGGGTATTTTGGTAGGCTATCAATCTGCCTGATCTCAAATTAATCGATCTCTAATGCTCATGTCATATTAGGGCACATTCGTGATGATTCTGCTGTTGATCACCTCATTGGATCGGATTCGCATTGCGACATATGAGCTCTTCTTGATTGCACATGTCGTGCTTTCGATCATCACTCTTGTCGGGTGCTTTTAGTAAGTACCCCTGCCCATAATTCTACTTCTACATATATTTCTAACAAATTGACAGCCACACGATTGTTTTCGAAGGGTATGAATACTGGAAGTACTTGTGGCCCTCGGTCGTCATATGGGTCGTTGATCGCTTCCTTCGAATTGTACGGCTATGTTATTGTAACCTTCATGTGAGTATTTCAAACGAAAGAATTGTGGAGGTCTCTACGAGCCACATGGTTTACGACGAAGCGACCGACGTGGTGCGGCTAGAGGTTACACCAGGGATACCTTCTCTTCAACCTTCACCAGGACAGTACTATTATTTATACCAACCATTTCGATTTACCGGCTGGGAGAGCCATCCCTTTACCATTGGAGCTTGGTCTTACGACATAGACCAGACCTCGCTGGCACCGACAACCAAGCGGAAGTTGATCAAATCTCATGATGTTTCGCATGTGCCGCTTCTTGCAGGTGGTGCCTCTGACCAGGACTACCAGGGCAACTCAGAAGGCGGCTCGTCGGGCCAAGAAGGATTATTGAAGTTGAAAATGACTTTCTGGGTCCGCCCGTATGACGGTTGGACCAAACAATTGCGCCAGCAATGTCTGAGCTCACCAGACAAGAGCAGCGAAGCAACCATTCTTCTTGAAGGCCCCTACGGAAAAACCTTTCCACTGTGGAGGTATGAATCAGTCTTGATTATCGTTGGTGGGACGGGAATAGCGTCGGCTGTGCCATATATTCAAGATCATCTCCGCCGATCCGTTGAAGACTGGAATGAAGGCCCCGAAAATGAGAAAACACGAGTCAGAGACATGGAGCTTGTTTGGACCACTAAACAAGCAGCGTTTATCGAAGATGTTTGTCGCCGAGAGCTGAAAGGCGCACTTGAACGAGAGGACTTCCGTGCCTCTTTCTACGCTACGCGTGATTCCACCGCCTCCCAACTTCCTACCACCTTGGATATCCATTCAGGCCGACCCCACCTTCAATCCCTGATCATGAGCCGGGCCTGCGACGCATGCTCTGCCGGTAATAGCCTTGCGATTCTCGTATGTGGCCCAGCTAGAATGGCGGATGAAGCGCGCGCCGCCACCCATCTTGCGATGCGACAAGGCCACCGCTCTATCAAATTTGTGGAGGAGTCTTTTACATGGTAGGCAAGGGGCTATGTGAGGAATTTGTGATGGGTATACGACGCCATGCATATATTGACGAATTTTGTACATACTTTGAAGGTTATAAGTTGAGGTTTGTTTGTTACGGAATAGATCGGCAAAAGATACAATACCTTGCTCGTACAGCTTTATCTGGCGACTTCAGATTTACAGCTCTAACTTGCTAGCAATGTGCTCCTTTGGCTTTGAGAGGACAACTGAATTGTGGTCTCGACCTGGGGAGATGTTGGTGGCTGACAGGGGTGCATAATGCACGACGCAGGAGCTTCCCCACACATGCGACTATCGAGTTCAAATCGAGAATCAACGAATCTGATTTGATCTTTCAGACGCTTAAATCCAGAATCACGAGAAATGCCACATAAAACAATTCACCCAAAAGGAAAGATCTGTGTGATGGGAAGTGATAGATCAGTTTTATCAACTGAGGAATCCACTCCCCGGAGGAACCGAGACGTCACACGCATATTCAAAAGCAAAACAAGAATTTAAACACAAATAACTGCCACTGCAAATGCCGATGATAACTATTATTGGCAACCCTAACGTTTAGGCACGGAGTACTCCGTAGGTTGCCTTGACCTCCATATGCACCTATATGCATCTCTTGCCACTGTCTGGGGTATATACCGGCAGGGGTTGATCGGCAGGGGAAAAACCTGCAAATATCCATGCATCTTCGAGCCTATGACTGAGCATGGATCGCCTGAAAGCCGATAGTTTATGTTGCCAAGCCCTACTCTGCTGGAAAAAAGCAATAATTCATGCCCAAGTCACTCGAAAGCATCCACTCTTCTATAGCGCAAGGAGCTTAGATGCTGGAAGACGCGAAGATCAATCAGATCTTTTTGCCCCAGAAGCATGAAGAAAAACAACACGAGAGAGAAAAGGGAGCGGGAAGAAAGTTATAAAAGGCACGATCTTTCCAGTCACTAATTCTTTTTCATTCATCATCCAACTCTCTCATCTCCAAAGACTTCCAACCACTCTCAATCTACTCACCTTCAATCGCCTTCCGAGTTTCTCTATCCCTATCAAAATGAAGTTCTTCGCCACTGCCCTCCTTTTCGTTGCTACCGCCATGGCCCTGCCCGGCGCCGACCCTGCTTTCGAGTCTGAGAACGAGGTCCGCAACGCAATCAACCAGTGTGGCAACGGTGCCCACATGTCTTGCTGCAACAAGATCAACAAGAGCGAGGGTGTCACCCAGAACAACGTTGGTGTTCTTTCCAACGTCCTCGGTGCCATTGGCAGCGAGGGTCTCGGCCTCGGCCAGGGCTGCACTCAGCTCAACATCCCCGTCGCTGGTAAGTGATATATCCTACTTCAATGAATTGAAGAGCGAGACTGACGATATTCTAGTCCTCGGCGCCGCCGGCTTGTCCGACTTCCTCAAGAAGAACTGCCAGCAGAACATTGCCTGCTGCCAGAACTCCAACTCCCAGGCTGTATGTGCTCCCCAAAAACGACGGAAAAGAGATATCATTACTAATTCTCATAGACTGGAAACCTCGTTGGCGTTGCTGCCCCCTGTGTCAGCTTCGGCAGCTTGCTGTAAATTGCATTTCATCAAGTGCAGCCCTTTCCGTCATGAAAATATCAACGAGCACCATCAACCTTGTCACTTGCGGTGGACTCTGCGGGAAAGGCGTGAAAAATACTTGCCAGTACAGAGTACATACATATGTACCCTTGCAAAACTTATCAAGGGCCTCTGTTATCTGATCTTGTTAGGACAACATTCTTGAATTTGTCGGATAGTTGTCCTCAAGAGCAGATCTTGCCATTCATTTGTCTTTCGTTCGCCGCCAGTCTCTGGGGCTTTTAACCTTATGTATTTATTTCTATCCAGAATAGAAGGTCCTTGCTTTGATATTTCCCAGGTAAAGCATCTTCATTCCCAGTAGTCTCACAATGGAGACCTACATTCACTTATTTGCTTTGGTCAAAGGAAGTTTTGAAGCCCTGCGAAGATTAACTCATCTGATTTATTGGGCCGGCCATGTACAGTCTTAACAATATAGCGAGGTCGGCCTTATCTGCTCATCTAAAAACCACTCTTCAACGGCCAATGTGCAAAAGTGAATATACATGACTTTGATTTCCTGATTTCAGATGTGTAGCACATGCCATGGAAGAGCCAGATTACTCATTGAAGCTCTAGCCGGATAGCATCGTATTGTACATAAACAGTGGCGGGTAGAATAGCAGTCTCTGTATCCGTTGCATTGAAAGGCAAATGCAATCGCAACACGTTGTCTCCGACATGTAACCAATCTGCCGGGAACTCCATTCTCGACCCAACCTGGTAGCAGCTGACAGCAGACCGCACAATGCAGCTGCTTGATTGGTTGAACCCAACCATGAGAGTCAGGGGATCTTCATGATTGTTGATGTAGCTTTCTAATGCCAGGTTGTTGTATGGTTCAACGGGATTCCACACATCTGTGTTGCCTGCGGCAGTCTTTGCGGCGGCTAATTGTAAGGTCAATGTAGCTGTTTTGCGTTTGTGTAATTGCTTGGAGTTGAGTGTAAAATGGATGGTCCAGTCGTACGTTGTGTCATACTCGATGTGGGAATCCTTTGCTGTTGGCCCGAAGACTGACCAATGGGCAGTGTTAAGATCAGTAGCAGGGTTGCTTGTACCGATAGTGTAGTTGACACCGTCAGGGAAATCGGTACGCCAGTCATAAGCTCCCCAGTAGATAAGGTACTCGGGAGGATGGAGCGGGTGGGTTGGATCTCTCGCATTGCCACGTCGGAACTCCCCTGATGACTTATCGGGAATCCCAATTCGCCAAATCTCCGTTCCTGCCGACTCTTGCTTCCAAGTATCACGAAGTGTAGTCTGTTTTCCTGCACGAATAGTGATTCCGTCGCGCACAAAGTCACCAAAAATTCCCTCGGCGTAGACTGTGAGTCGATATTTGCCTTCCTTAACACGATCAATGCTGAAGCTTCCATCTCGATTGATATCAGTCCAGTACTGATAGGAGCTTGGGACGGCGCTATTATCTTGGAAGTACTGGCCGTCAACAGTGAGAACGGCAATTGGGCGAGTGGCGCCTTTGGGGAGCTTCACTGTCCCCTTGATACTGCCTCGCTGGCTCGAGGGGGCATATCCGACGACATGCTTTGCAATAGAATCATAGAATGCAGAGTTCCAGTGCGGATTCGCTAATTCTTCTGCCTCAGATCTTAATTCTTCGAGAGATGCAGAGCCCTTGCCGCCATTGAAAAGGTAAAATTGTGGACCAAAAGTTCGATCAAACCCATTTGTGATGTTTGGTGTGCCCTCTCCGTGATGGTTTGATACGATGTAGTTATAAACGATACCGTCCACTGTCAAGTCAGAATGGAGTGGACCCTAAGGGATGTCAGCCGCTGCATTTCACTTTGCTCAAATATTGCTTACACCATAATATGTATCCTAGGATAATCGTGTTAGAGATTCAATCTTGGTAAGGATTGGAGCAATATGACCAACCTTGGTATTCATCACTAGCCATGCGCCATAAGTTGCTCCATTTGAAGTGCTGCCATCAGCATAAAGACCGTGAACACTATTATTTCGCCATTCTAGAAAATAACATCATGGATTAGTCGATACAACGATGAGTAACCGAAAATAGGGGTTTGATCATACGGTTTGAGAATGAATATTTAGTAAAGTACTCAGAGAACTGGGTGTAGTACGCATCGCTGGGCGTGTTGTTGAATGTCCATGTTGCATCTTGGACAACAATCTGCTTCGAAATGGCGTCCTTGCTTGGTAGTGGTGCGGTCTGGACCTCACTAGACGTCAGATGTGTCCAAAGAGCCGTATTTGGACGGAACAGGGTTCGCATTTCCTGTAAATTGCGAAGATAAGGTGTGGTCTCATTATGGTAGGCCAATCGACTGAACATATGCAATCCAGTCTCACCTTCGCGCAGGAACCAGTACTGTTGGAATTGTTGGCCGGTGGGAGTGTATGTGTCGCTCAGAATCATGCCTCCATATTTGGTTCCGGTGGAATCTGTACCCTGAACCACTTCCATGCTCGGGGTTGTGGCCCCAGCTGTGTAGAAGCCCGAAGGGATACAGTAACAGTCAAGATATGGGCCTATTCCCGTAGATCCAGACTGGGCACCCAATAAGTCTTGGCCATCCAGAGCGAGATCGACAATCTGGCCAACACTCTTCCGAAGAACAGCTGTGAGGCGGTCATTGGCGAGTGTGATGTGAGTCCGATTTTCTGCGACGTGTAGTGCCGTTGCTGCTGCTGCCAGCCCCGTGAAGGCTGTTAACAACGAAACCCGCATGTGGGGCGTTAAGGATTGGTATTTTTGTTGAACAAAGTCATCGTCATGAATTGCTCTCTTGTCCTTATAAATGATCTCCATATGTCGGGAAATCAATGTCCCGAATCATTTCGCTGCTTATGGGGGCTTTGCACAATTTCATTTGACTTCCATCTCTGTTTGAACACGGATTCTGCGATCCGCCAATTGGGAATTCGAGAATCATTCCAAAATTTTCTTCCACGTGAACTCCCACCGGGGATTATCCGGGGAAATCTGGGGATGCGGGGATTTGACGGGAAACGGAGGAATTGCTCGGTCGTTGCTTGCCCGAGATCCGTTTTTTTTGAAGTGGACTCTTCTCATCTATGACATTGGTTCGTCAACGTTTAAAATTATGGGAGGAGGAAAAATTGAAAAGAAATGAGAAAAGAATATGGCAACGGAAGAGGTCAAGAGAGTGTTGATTTGTTAACTGGGATATTAGGCAATGTAGTCACATTTAGCTAGCCTTGATGAAATAAAGATTCTTAGCTTCAGACATTAACTGGATCGTTTCCCTCGCCATCACGACATCAAACAATGTCGGCAACTCTAGAACTCCATCGGAGTCGGCCGATGAAGTCAAGACGGGTTGCCGAAGAAATATTGAGAATATCGGCGCATGATTAAACTTATTTATTGGCAGCCTATCATCGCGCTCAATAACTGGGGCTTCAGATCATACAAATGGTAAACATAAATTGTTGTGCCGATCTGAAGGTTTGCTGATGGTCACTCAACTACTAATCTGCCGTCGTTTGGGTTAAGCTCAATCAATATTTCGGTGGGTGCCGCCAGGGTGAGCAGGATTCACCCCTACGCGCCCAGTGTGAGTGCGGAATAGAGAGAGTGTGTGACGAAGGTGCGCCGATGCGCGGGACAGGGGGAATCCCCGGGAGAGCGCATTGACCGTTTAGGCCGTTTTGCGAGGATCTCCGGTGATATGTCATTAATGCCTGCAGGACCTGAAACATCTATCGCTTGCCACCTGTACACGGCCACGGCAGAGCTCGAGTAATTGGTTATTCCATGACTCGAATCATAGGCCCTAGTTAGCCACTGGGCATACAGCTCGGTGGTACTCGAAAAATAGGTCTGAAGTACCCACCAAGCCTGCTTATATTATGTGGCGATGAATTCTCAGTACGTGTCAGATTTATGTATATACTTGGGATTCAACTGTATCAATTCTTGCGTTGTGGGTGATTTAGATATTCCTGACATTGCATTTTGCGAAGTTTGTTTGACAAAATATATAATATTTTCTCTCGGTCTAGAGACAATGGAATGGAAGCTTCTCCAACGTTTCGTGACACATTCATAGTATGATTTTAGGGCTAGAACTCAAGACTGTAGACCTAGGTGCTTTAATATACTATTGTTCCTCGGCCAGTTCCTGGGTGCATCGCTCACAGGCGCAAGAAAATAGGAAATTTTCTTGCACCAGGCTTTGTCGTGTTTTGACGTCGACATACTTGGGTAAATCAAAGTAGCAAATGAGACATTCTTCACCTGCAGCAAGGTTCCGCGAAGTAGTGAAAACCATTCGCCCATTGCTGTCTGGTTTCCAGGTGACCTAGGATATTTGTGAGAATTTGGAATTTGACAGTGCTTTCACGAGATAACTTACATTTGGCATGCAGGAATGGTTAAAGATCGTGGCTCTTGGATAGATACCCAACCCGTAATGCGAGCCTCGCCCAACTGGGGGGTCCGGAATGGGAAATATCCCGGTCTCCCCTGGGTATAGTCCGAACGAGTTAGACTCTTCTTTGCAGATGAGGTCCAGCATCTCATTGAGGTTGAGATCTGACCCAATATCATGAGCTAGGTATTGCTCAGCAAGCCTTTTCCAGTGCTGAATCTGCGTCTGGGGCCACTGCTCCCGGTTACCGAGAAGCAAATCAACAGATTCCCATCCCCGCTTGAACCGATCTTCCCAGGAATAAAGCTTTGATGGCTTGGATCCTGCCTGAAGCTCAAGGTGCCTTCCCGCCAGAAGACGTAGGATTGTCCAAATCATAGCAAAAGTATACTCACCCTCGTTTTGACGAAGGTTCTCTCCTTGAATTTTCAACCAAGCGCATTCAAAATCATGCCGAGCTTGATCTGCAGTTCGACAATCGATGTTACACCAAGCAACATCTCGGATACAATTTCTTTGGCAACGAACGCTCTCTTTGGATTGTGTCATCCGTTGGCGGCATTTCAGGTTACTGCAAATTAGGTCGTCAGGTCGAGATGGATCCAGAGACGGGGTCAAAGCATATGGTACATCTGCGAGGATTGTAGTTCCTGCTGGCACAGGTGCAAAGACCTTTAAAGATCTTCCTTTATGACTATCGTAGTATTGTACCAAATTTGGATGCACGTAGACACCCGCGTCTTCATCAAGAGCATTGGCACCTTTGGACTCGGCTGGCTTGTGTGCAACGACCAACTGCCTTCGCTCCATCATGCCCATATCAATGGTGCCTTCTCGCGTAGGTGTTATCAGCTGCAACCCATCTTCTGCTTGACGCCTCAATCCCACTTTCTTCAAAAGATTGTCCATTTCCTCCATATTGTAAAGCCTGACAGAATAGAACGAATCCTGGAGGACTCTAGGGCTTTCCAAATCAATCACAATTTCTCGGGTGGCGAGAAGAGTTTTATCTGGAGACAGCTCTCGTTCCCGACAGGCTATAAGTGTCTTTTGGCCTTCAAGCCATTCCCATCCACTTGGACTGAAGTTGGATCTAATCCAAGATCCATCCACGTAGTCAATGATAAAGATGCCCCCTGGCTTTAGGACCCGGGAGACTTCGCGGAGGGACTGTAGGTCTCCCTCGTCATGGTAGTGCCCAAAGGAGTTCCCCAGAAGTATAACTAGATCAAAGGAGGAATCCGCTTCAGGAATGTGACGAAAGTCTCCCTCCTGAAATATGGTGTTGCCCTGCACCCCTTCTGCTATCGCTCGTTCTTGAGCAAGGCCAAGAAGGTAGCTGCTCTGGTCGACGCCGCGAAAGCTCACCGATGGGAAACGTTTGGCAAGGTTGATGCTATGTCGGCCTTGGCCACAGCATAGATCCAACACCTTGATCTGAGATTCTGGAGTTTGTAATAGCTGTTGCACACAAGGGATTCGGACTAGCTCATTGCATTCAGCTTCTGTGATAGCGGGAATTTCGACACAGTCGCCATTGGTGAGGAGATACGTCTCATTGTAGAGTTTTTTCCACCAATCCTTCTTGATATGAGGAAATAGGGAGTTAACATGGCCAAGAATGGGAGGAACCGTCATTTTTCAGTATATTGAGAAGGGATGATACAAGTTTTGGGAGCTGCAGTGTAGGTGATTTCTCTGCAGGATGGTTCGCTACCTATATACAACATACACAGAACAAGCCCTTAGAAAGCGCGGGACAATGCTCAACCCATTGTAACCAGACTAGGTTATTGCAGCGACAGTCCATAAGTTTCCATCAACAATGTCTTTTCAGCTGCGGCGAGAAGAGATGCTAATGCATGCATGTCACCAATAATCGGTATGGTATTACATATTTCAAAAGAAATACGGTTAATTAAATACAGGAAAACCCGCAACCTCCATACTAGAAATTGAGTATTACTAATAGATGGTATTAGTATTACTACCATGAAAGTGATTGTGGCGTGCATTAGCGTCTCTTCCCGCCCCATGCTGGCAAGTGAATTTCAGAACTCTATAAAGTGGGGTCCGATTTACCCGCTCTCTAGCCATTTTACGTCTATATCTTGCTTAAGTAACTTTCCTTCTACTATGCGTTCGCGCTAAGAGCTTACTCCAGTATTAAATCTATCTGCGAGTTTCATAGTGGTGTTGGATGAGGTTTGAACTATAAAAATGGGTGTGGGGCAAAGGGATTAATTGATACGATGAGGCAAGATCCTCGACCCTCAGACTAATAATGCATCATGTATACCACGTCATGCAGTTAATATTTTTTTTACACGTCGGAGCCGGAAAGATCGGAAACAAAGGACTGCGAACAAAAGAAAAATAGCAAAGCTCGAAGCAGCAGTGTAAGAAGTATCAAAATGAGCAAAAGGTCAACAAATTACTAACGGGGCTTAGTAAAGCCCAGTGAGCTTCTACCCTGGGCCCACGGCCCATCAATAGGCCCAAGCACCGGGCCCAAAGCCGTTGAGGCGGGCTGAGCTTTGGGATTTATGGGCTAGGGCGGAGGTCTGGGCTTTACAGCACCGGAAGAAAATGCAGCGATCTTAGCAGCGGAGAGATCAGCATGAAACACTTACGAAGGAAAATCCCCGACGAAATCTTGGCACTTATTTTCGACGTATGTTGTATGTGGAAGATGATGAAACTGAGCCGACTTATTATTGTCTGCCGAGTTCTTTCCAACTCTACCTCGCTCTTGACTAGTATCTAGTGTATAGTTTTGATACACGACGGCCCAGAGATGGCAGTTTCGATAGGCACCCACTGGCGCGTCTTAGCAGCGGTGTGCGCAATAATGTGGGGGATTTACTTCAGTATCTAAGGTCCATCACACTCTCACATTGGAACCGCACTAATTTATTTAGTTTATGACCTTCCGGCACCCTTGTCGGTTCCATTACAAGAGCATTTATCACTTTCAGACACTCAGTATACGTACCTTGTGTCGGCACTCTATACCGCTTATGCGGCACCCAACACGGTCCTGCCGCTGTTTTCCGGACTGGCCGTGGAGCGACTTGGAGAAAAACGAGTTCTCCTTGTGAGGCTGATGAGCGTGGTAACCGGTCAGCTAATATTTGCGCTCGCGACCCAGTTCCGAGCCCTGTTTGGAATGATGCTTGGGCGTGTCCTGATCGGCTTAGGGGCAGAGATCATTGGTGTCTTGGGAAGTGAGATCACGACGCGATGGTTCAAGTGAGTTTCCAGTCTATCGGCTTAGGATAACTCCTAACGTATAATCTTCAGGGACAAGCAATTATCTTTGACTTTGGCAATACTGTTATGCATATCAAAATTAGGCTCAGTCGCGGCTTCCGTTTTTGTCCCCAGAATGATTGTAGCCTTTGGCGTGGTGTGGACTGTATGGGTAGCGTCGATATTCTCGCTGGGAGTTGCCGTTATTAGTTCACTTTATTTGCTAGCAGCCGACCCCTCTATAGCGTTGCACCACAGGAGCGAGAGCCTTCATTCGGTATATTCACTTCGTCAGTTTCCTCGTGCCTTCTGGCATTTGGCTCTGATTTGTATACTGGGCTACGGAGGTATCAATACTTTCACTATGTCTGCGCAGCGGTTCCTTGCCGCATGGTTCTACAACGGAGATCAACGTAAAGCTGGAACTGTTGTTGGGTAAGTTGTCTCATGCCCATTCTGTCCAAAGCTGACATTGGGTGTAGAATACCATACTTCCTATCTGGAATTTTGACTCTACCATTTGGACTATTATTAAATATGCCGTGGTTTCAAAGCTATCCAGCGTGCTTAGGTGCCACTAATATCCTTATGATAAAAGCACATCTACTTTTGCTCTACAGGATAGAACCGATTGGAGCGATGTGTCTGCTTGGAATATCATATGCGCTTTATAGTGTTGCATTCTGGGCTGGGCTTGCACGTTGTCTCCTCTCCATCGTCGAGTCGGCAAAGACAGATGTGTCAGAGAACGAGGGGAGAAGTTCCGTTGATGGATACGAATATGGGACTATTAGTGTCCCGACACAGTTCCCTGATAATCACTCTGATGGTCATTCCGATGGTTCTGATAGAAATAACGAGTGGGAAAGATCGGCGGAGGACAGCATCATCACACATGGCTATGGAATCATGACAAGTCTCAATAACCTAAGTACCGGTGCGGTTCCAGTCTTCCTCGCCATGGCAGAAAATGCTTGCGGATTTCGGGGTTTGGAGCTATTTTTTCTCACATTATCTTTACTGGGGCTTTTTGCGTCTGGTGGGTTATTGTGGTCGTGAAGGACCTGGGCAATGTCACTACGGTAAAGGAAATCATTGGTAGCTAGGATGTCCCACGTGGCAAATCCGAGCTCGTCCGGTCACTGGTCCATCTGCCAGGGTCTGTACCACTTGCGCACAGAGATTCTTTTGAGCGCGAACAGGTGATAGCGAAATCTGCTTCCACCTGGACGGCTGCATTTCTTTAAACGGGCCCCACTGCCAAGGCCTTAGGGCAGATTATCTGTTGATCGGGGTAACCTAGGTATTGACTGTCATGTGCAGTTAATAGTTGGGTGTCTGCTGGTTGAGAAATCACATGCTTCGCAACGTCATCACCTGGGTAAGTGAAGAGGTTGATAATTATGCACTTTTTATCTTATTTGACCGATGAACAAGCTCATTGGTATGTTTTGCACGGCTATGCCATTTCCCCACTAGGCCTTATTTAGATAACTGGAGTAGTTGAGTATTCTCATTCATTCACGATCTGTGTATGGTGCGATGTGACTGGACGCTAAGCCGTATTGGAATGACAAAAGCGCCACATGGAGCTGGCGCTCTTTCGTTTTGACGATAATATCTTTCGCACATTCGCTTTTCCTCTTTTTGTAAATTCCTCTCAATGACCATAAAAGAACAGTCCTTGGCCCCAGCCTTGTACATCACAGGACTGGGATCGCAATATCCGCCCTATTTACTAGGACCCAAGGACTTTGATGACTTCGCATCGAGCTTTTATGATGTGAGCCGCCCAGGGTAGGTTGTTCGACTTGAGTTGGTTCGCAGAGATTGTCTAATTCTTTGTAGAATCAAAAAGTTGCTCCAGGTCAACCGCTCCACCGGTATCGAAACCAGATCTGCAGTCCGACCGTATGAGGAAGGATTTGCAACGAAAACGGACCCACCTTCGATCAATGAGATTGACGAATTTTTCCGTCAAGCCGGGGTGGACCTCGCTGTTCAAGCATGCCAAAAGGCTCTCAAAGAAGCAAATGTTGCTCCTCAGCAAATCACTCACACGATCGGGGTCACTTGTACCAACCAAGGTAATCCGGGGTACGATTTTCACGTAGCCCGTAAATTGAACCTTGCATCGAATGTCGATCGCATGCTTCTCCACGGTGTTGGATGTGCAGGTGGGCTGTCAATCTTGAGGGCTGCAGCCCAGATAGCCAGCGCGGCAAGCCTGCGACGGCAACCGGCCCGCATTTTGGCATTTGCTTGCGAGCTGTGTACGCCCAATGTGCGACATTATCTGTCCGTCGCAGAGCTCAGTGCGGATTCTGATCCTGTCAACATTGCGGCAGCTCTGTTCTCAGATGCTGCGGCTGCTTTTGTTCTTTGTAATGAGTATGCAATAGCCCAGGACGAGCAAGTCACTCCTCAGTTCGAGCTCCTGGAATGGGGGTGTGATTTGGTTCCGGATACCGCTGAGCATATGTCGTTTTATGCAGATATCAATGGTTCGTCAATCGTCATTGTTGTTTTAAGAAACCTCAACTAATCATCCGAACCGACTTTCGGTTGCATCGATATACAGGTTATCGAGCTACCCTCAGTCGAGATATTCCGAATTATACAAAACATGCGATTGGACCAATGTTTGAGAGACTTCTTCCCTTATATGAGGAACAAGTAAAGTATCAGCCAAGATCAGAAGGGCAACTTCCGAAGCTAGGGATCCACAATTTCGACTGGGCATTGCATCCTGGGGGGAAGGCAATCATAGAAGGCGTAGCAGAAGTCTTACGATTGTCTGAAGATCAACTGCAGACAAGTCGGGAGATATATCGCACACGCGGAAACTCGTCTAGTGCTTCGGTTTTGATTGTCTTGGATCGGCTTCGTTCGCAAAGTAAAAAGGCTCACGTTGTTGCTACCTCATTTGGTCCCGGTCTGGCAATTGAGATGGCACTGCTAAGAAGGTGTCAATTGGATGAGTGATAATCTTGGGTGTGCTTTTTGGGGGTGTCATTCTCATTCTAGACATTCGACATCTCCACTCACAGCTCCGCGTTGGCCTTCATGCTGATAGTGTATTGGTATGATGAGATTGCATTAACTCGAGTGGGCAAGAGAGAGTGAACTTTGTCCATTTTTGTTGATGTCCATTGGAAGATGTGTTGAAAAAGCGGTGAAAGTGGTATAATTGTTTGATTATCCCTATAAATTCTCACTCCAGTAATAAAGGAAAAGAGTCAATTCCTTCCACTTCCATTCATCCAGACATCAGACTGAGATAAATAGCCCAAACAACCCCAAAAAGATTACCTACTAGCAACCTCCGGTCGGCAGGAACCACCGTGAAATTGAGAATCGACACAAGTGGCCAAAGCTTCAACCCAGCAAGCATGAGAGGCAAGAATTCCTATATCGATATTAGCACTAGGAAATGAGCTCAACAGCCGATCTTGAACCCATACCGCTTGAATCTGTCTAGTGATTGTATCATAATCCAATCCCCGTAACATCCCCATCGTCACAATGAAAAGAACGGTGTTCCAAGTACCGCCGATAACCTGATCAATGACAATTTTTGCCACTGTATTTGTGACATTTAGAGAAGACTTCGAGAGGTCACCCTTTTTATCGGTCTGGACGTTCTTTGCATCGGGCGCACGGCTGGGAAACCAGGATTCCAGAGTTCCGAGCCACAGATAGCCCAGTGGTGAGATGATGAACGCACATGTTGTGAATTGCATTAGGGACTCAGTGTCTAAATTGAAAGGAATCTGTATATGTTAGGTTAGAGAATGATCGAATATGAGCCATGTGGTTGATCTGATTTCATAGGCAAATGTGAAAGATGTCTTCCCCACATTGTTCTTGACTCTTATCATTGTAAAGATTCAAAGAAACAAATACAAAAAAAAGTATAGAACTCACATCGGCTCGATATGCCTTAATCCCCTGAGCCAACACATTCGACCCCGCATTGATGAGGGCAGCCTGCAATGTGGCCTTTGCAACTGGGGCAGCCATGATTTTTTTCCCCTTAAAAATCTTGTGAAATACAGAAAAGCAAAGGAGTCAGTTTTGTCAACAGCAAGAATACAAATCACATGGACTCGTAAGATGTAAGGTGTCCTAGAGTGGGTCAAAGTGGACTAACAAACGTCCGAGGCCGCTATTTTGTCTTCAACACTACAAATAGATTGAGTGTAGAATTTATATAGAGGCAATATTACAGGATAGCAGCAAGTCATATGTCTTTTCATATCCATTGCATGTGAATCTATAATCTCATATTGGATATACTAATGTAGATTTATGCGAAACAGTAGACTTCAAGACAGTGTACACACTGTTCTAGAACTGTGTATACCAATTTTGACTGTGAATATCTCGAATTTTAAAGACTCTCTACTCTGTATCGGGCCCTCTGGGGATTGTTTTCAACTGAAATTTCTGTATAGAAATGAGCGTTATTGGGGGTCTTATGGGGCTTGGTTGGGCTTCGAAGATAGGGCCCGTAGCCCACTGCGGGCTTAGCTGTGGGGCCTGTCCGGACCCAACACCATCCCATTGCGGAGGTCTACGAGTGCGAGCCGCCCGTTCTTGGCACGGAATCCGCGGACTCCTTGGGGATGACCAACCGTTCTTCAAATTGGCATTTTGCTTCATAATAATACTAGGATGGATTGATAATTGTAGAATGAAGCTTGCTAATCATTGAGAGTAGAGTCTGTGAGAATATGGCCATAATGCCAAGGCCGATCATGTTTCTCGATCTATGTTTACACCCTTTAGTATAAGAACTGCTGAACATCCTCCCAATTCCATGCTTTTTATTCTGCAAGCAACCAGCTAAGAATTACTCAAACTTCCAATTGGCATCTTTGCTTATCTTCACCTTTACTCTTTTTCACCAAGTACTCAGTCTACTACTCCAATCTGTCAACATGCACCTCGCAATTGCAGGATCCGGCGACATGGCCAGTTATCTCGTCGAGGAGTTCACCGCAAAGGGCCATCATGTGGTAGTCTTATCCCGCAGCCTGAAACCTCGATTCGAAGGTCGTCCAAAGGTGACGCAGGTCGTAGTTGACTACTCAGTGGAGTCAATCGTCAATGCGATTTCGGACTGTGAAGCCATGATCTCCACCATTCTCGACTATTCGGAGGGATTTATCGACATTCACCTTGCCTTGATCGAAGCGTGCAAGCAGAGCCGCCTCTGCAAACGCTTCATTCCCTCTGAGTTTGGTGGCAACCTTGAAACCCACCCTCATCAGCCCGAGTTCTACTTGTACACACGCGAGCCTGTCCGCAAGTTGCTCCGTGAGCAGACCGAATTGGAATGGACATTGGTTTCTGTTGGCTGGTTGATTGACTACGTCGTCCCGAGCAAGAATCGATACCTCAAGGACATTGGGCCTGCGTTTCCAATTGACGTCGCCAATCAAACAATGGTCATCCCAGGCACTGGACGTGACTTGTTCAATGTCACGTGTGCCCGTGATGTAGCGAAGAGTCTTGTCGCTTTGTTGGAAAGTGACAAGTGGGCCGAATACACCTACATCACCGCGGAGAAGACATGCTGGGAAGACCTCAGCCGCGCCTTCGCCGAGAAATATCCTGCCCTTTCTGTCTCGCACAAGGATGTGGCGGAAATTCGACAGGAGGCGGCGAGTGGAGGTGATGACGCTGTTTTTGCTGAGTATCAACTTTACTCTATCACGGGGGCAGCTTGCTTCGATGATGCCACCGTCCAGGATCAGAGGGAGAGATATTTCCAAGGCATCCACTTTCGGAAAATCCGGGAGCTCCTTGAAGCCGTCGAGAAGGATGATCAGGTGATAGTCTGATTGTTTTCGAGAAAACTTCATGAGCTCCATCATTGAAACTGCTGTCAGTTTTCATAGTCTCCAGTACCTTAGCTTTCACAACTCTCCAATCTATTCCTCACACTACACCATGCACTTCGGCGTAGTTTTCTCTTGACAAAGACATATGTATGTATTGTCATTATTCTCTATGAAGGTATTCAGCGATGAGAAAAGCCTCACTATTTTCCACTTTAGGGTGAGTAATCGCGAAGCTTTTGTCGTGTAGCTATATATCTTGAGATTGTAAATTCCTCACATTCAGTACCTAGAAGGTAGCTAAGGGTCGATATACTCATTAATCAAATCAGAAAGCAGATAAGTCTATCTAATTGACAGGTTATGGGTATCGCCACAAACCGGGTCACTTAACCTATATCGGACGAACAATTCCATTGTTCCCATGTCTGGGTCTTCAAATTTACATAATGGCGAGTATTGCAAGACCAGTGCCTCTCTATCATATAAAGTTTGAATGATCCTTGCCTGCCTATCACCCATGTAAGAGAGAACCAAAACATATGCGATTATTAGATATATATCGCTACGTCATAACACGCAAAAGATCTTGCTAGATGAATACGGCATGTGTTGAATGGCCTATGATTCACTCGAAGAAGCATCGCATAAACGATATCACACAGCTCATGTGTAGCGATTCCACGATTTGTTTCGGTGGGACAAACAGCAGATGTGCATGACAGGACCGAATGTGGCTTGCGAGGGTGATCAGTGTACCGGTAATAATTAGCCAGCTCCCACCATCTTGAGAGAGAGAGCTGCATATCAGGAGGGTCGCCCTCTTTGGGTGGAGGGCTATGAAATGGTTGTTAGTCTAATATGCACGTATGGAACATGCATAAATTCTTTCTAAGGTTGTAGGGTACTCACTACCAGTCTGTTTGGTTTTTAAGGTTCGCGAGCGTGAAGTACTTGAATGGACCTACCCTATGAGCGTCCAGGTGAGCCTCGACGACACGCTCTAACACAGTGGCTCGGCTTTTAGGATCATGGGCCTGATCGAATTTGAAACGGTCCTGTTTTTTAAGATTCTCAAGGACTGGCGTGAGTTCAGGGGGTCACTTCTTTAAGGTCCTATCCATAATGTCCTGTACGCTGGGAAGAGGGGATAACTTCAAAGAGTCTCCTTGGTCTCATTCTAGATCCATGGGGTGTAAAGGGTAAATTTGAAGCAGTCCCTTGCTCTGAGGTTCGAAAAAGCACGGGTTGAATTCCAGAGTTCCGTTCTCCGTATCCAAGGAGACTTGAAATGCTTGGATTCCAACTGCTTGTAGAGTTTCAAGGGAAGGGAAGTCATCCTCAAGATCAATAACTTGTTGAAAGAGGGACCGGAGAAAGGAATGTTGAGATAAAATCATGACGAAATGAAATCAAAGAACATTTAATGAGAGATGATATTAGAGGAAGAGGAGTGTAGATATTAAGAACTTGAAAGAGAAAGTTTGGGACGTGAATGACAAGAATATTGCAATACCTCGGTCTAGAAGGTCCGTGGATCTACTGAGAAGGAAAATGAAGGACGTGAGTCTGTAGGTGCTGATCAGAACTAGCTTGACAAGGGGGGATCTAAATTGTGTGCAAAAATCTGGACGAATGGCGCATACTTGTACGAAAAGAGGTTCTTCTCTTAAGCCGCGGAGGTCTCGGTGTGTAGGGACCGAGCTGGGTGTAAGGTGCCGGGGGTAGCAAACTCTGGGGGGGCCGCTACCCCAGCTACTGGGTCTCAATAATAAGACCCCCTTTCTTAGAGACGTCGAGCAAAAGGACTCATAACCTGATAAAGGCGTGATACAGGATACAGATGGAGAATAGATGGAGAAAACACGGTATGTATTGCGTCGCACACGGAGAGGAGGACAAGAGAAAGAGAGCAAAGTAGAGAGAGAGAGCTATCAAACATGGAGCCCCGGAGGTTATATCACATGGTTATGCCATACACATTCAACAGTGAGTCTTTGGTTCTATCTCTCCGATCAATAATTGTTTCAAAAGGCCACACAGTCTTGTAATTTTAGAAAGGGCCGAAGCCCACCACCATCATATAGATACATATACAAAGTTTGAAAGCAACAAACGTAAAAATAGAAAACAAACAAAGCGGTGCAACCCTCTCCCTTCTAGCCAGACATTTCCATATCTCCGTCCTTGTCCTCCTTGTGTAGAGAGACAGGGCGACCGGGCCGGACACACAACTCGGTCCTGTGTTGAGCTAGCGCATTCGTCCCATAACACATGTTATATTCCACAGCAACAGCAACAGATTTCGACCTAACGGACACCATAAACATGCAAAGCCTCGGAGACGAAGGGATTGGAAGTGGAAGCCTTCAACAGTGTACATACCCACAAGCAAGGACTGAGTAAAGAACAGTGCAATATGTTAAAGGATGAGAAGAATGGCGAGGCCTACCGGAGGGGCGGGGGGCAAGCCTAATCCATACTGATTAGTATTTTTATTCTGATGTAGCTATACAGTAAACTGGTGTTTTGTATAAAGAGCAACTCACCTTCGTTGCCGGAAGACGCGGTCTCTGCCTCCTTTGGGAGGTCCTTGGTGGTATCGGGTGCAGGGCCTGGTTTTACTAGTAATTAGCATCCATTGATATAGAACATGAGTGATACACTAATCAGATGAGGAGAAACTCACCCTTCCGGCTAGAAGCCGAAGCCTCTGCCTCCTTGTGGAGCTCTTTTTCTTCAGCCGCTAATCAGACAATGTGGGTTAGTAATTTGAAAATTGGCGCCAAAGAAGGACCAAATGGATCATGCATATCCTCATTGGCAGCTGACTTGACTAATAAGGGGGTTCGGCTTTGTGTTCCCTTCTATAAGGGCCACCCAACAACAGATACCATGCAGCGACAGGTATCGCTCAGATGGGGCAAAGGGCACGCCTAGGTATCAACCTACTGGTGGAGGTGTTGTCGAGGGGAGCGGGGGGGTCGACTGCTCGGGTGGTTTATAACAATTAGCAAATGTTCGTATTCAGATCAAACTGATCTAAAAGAGCGAATAACTCACCCCCTCCGCCAGAGGCCGGTGTCTCTACCCCCTTCAGGAGAGCTTGTTTCGCGAGGAGAGCTTGTTTCGCGGCTGCACTCGCTTGGAGTCAGTAATCTGCTGTCTGAGGCTGCACAATCACTGAACACAACTGGCGTACCCTTCCTCGCAGCTTTCTTGGCTAAAAACAGTTGTTAGTTATCTGTCCGCTTCAAGGGCTGGTCATGGTTCAAGAAAGAACCCCAAGCGAGAGAGTGACATTCCGGGTATAGTATTCATGAATTGGTCGATTTCATCAAGTGAAGTAGGACATACCCTTTCTGTTGGCCAAGTTTCCCTTACTGCCACGACGGGCCTTGCGCTTCTTATTCTGTTCCAGCAAGGTTGTAAATCAATTCAGCTCTTTCGAAGAATGGGTATGCGAGCCTTACGGGAGGTGGTGGTGGAGGCTGGCATCCAGCCATAGTAACGAGCAAGAGAAACAGCAGTTTTTTTTATTCTTTTATAAAAGCAAGGGGGGGCCCAACGGGAGGGCTTACAGCAGATATCAAAAATGAAGTGTGTAGAAGGATAAGTTTGGATAAATGGCGGAATCTTCTCGATCTAGAAGTTTTGGGAAGGAACCCGCGAGTCGTAGAAAGAGTAAGTGCTCCCCTGTTCTCAAGAAATTTATATCGTAATGCTCGTAATTTTCTTTAAAAGATTTTTATCAGATTAGCAGAATGTTTCTTCCTGAGTATCTCTATGTATGGCTATTGAGTAGCAACTAATTGAAATCCAAATGTCGAGATAATCGTTGTTATACATACCTAGAGGCTCCTATACTGAACTAGGGAAGAGAATCTATATCATGACCTAAAGTAATCACACAGTAATAGTAGAAAGGAACCTTGGAACTGCTTAAAGAAGAGATAAGCACGAGTACAGACAGATAATGGATGAGTTGAATATAACAATCTCGCTCAGTTTTCAATATCCGACACAAAACCATATTCCTCTTAGTTGCTATAACAGCCATGCAACTATCTTCGCGAGGACAAAAGGACAATCAATCCAAAACTTATGATCGACATATTAGACAGATAACGAGATTGGCTTTGAATAGCGTTATCACTATCTCTCGGGCTGTTGAAAGCGTTGGGAGGAGCTCCCCTATTGACGAACCCACTTTTATCCCACTTTTTCATATGGATTGAATATAGTCCGCATTATGGCAATTAGTGACTAGCCTGGTTCTCAAGAACAGCTTTTGTTAGTGGGGAGCATCTAACGCCAACGGGGTAATATCGGTGCCCCATTCAATATATTCTTCTATGCCGTCTTTATTCTCTCTAGATGAATATACTTGCATTTCGTAAATTCGCAATGGCACTTAACGACATTCGAGGCAAATTGGCCGTAATCACCGGCGCATCAGGAGGGTAGGCATAACAACCGTTAAACAAGGAACATGAAGCTAATTTGCATCGATTCTCTGAATTTAGCATCGGTGCAGCCTGCGCACAACAACTTGCACAACATGGTGCTCATCTTGCCTTGACCTACTCCACCAATTTGACATCCTTAAACAATATTGTCGCAGATATACAGTCCATAAATGCCACACAGAAGCTTCGCATTTCAACCCACCAGGTTGATGTTGGGTCTGTCGATCAAATCGAGGCCATGTTTCAACAAATTGATGTCGAGCACGGCCAGCGACCAGATATTCTTATATCAAATGCTGGATACGGCAAGCGAATTCCCGATGTGTCGAATATCTCGCTCGAGGAGTTTGATTACACTATGAATATCAACTTGCGTGCCGGCTTCATCCTTGTAAAAGGCGTGGTAGAGCATATGAAGGCTCAGAAATGGGGGCGGATCGTCTTCATGTCCTCTATCGCCGCTCAAGGTGGAGGAATTAACGGCTGTCGTAAGTCAATCCCCTACTATTAATCTATTATCCTTCTATATTTTTGAGGTAATTGCTGATTCGATTTCCCGTTCTAGACTACGCAGCCTCCAAGGGTGGTCTTGATGGTATGATGAAGAACCTCTCAACCCGGCTGGCAGAGTACAACATTAGTGTCAACGGCGTTGCCCCAGCCATGATTGGTGATACAGGCATGCTTTCCTCTGCCGCGGCCTTCCCGGAAGTGGTAGAGAGTATTCCTCTAAAGCGGCTAGGAACTCCAGAAGAAACAGCGAATGTTGTTACTATGCTAGTGACGACCGGGTACATGACAGGCCAAACTATTCTCCTAGCTGGAGGGCTGAAATAGGTTCTAGAGTTAGAAAAAGAAATTCATTTGCACATCCTTGAATCTCAACAGCGCTCTCGACTCTTCCTACTCCGTGAAAGGTAAATAACATATAATTTCATGTGTTCCATTTCAGAAATACCAATTTCCAAAGATAGGAACAAATCACAATATGAGGTACTATTGTCACGTCTTCGTGGGGAGCTTTTGGGGGAACATATGGTTGTCCATAATGAAGACAAATAGATCACAGTGATCCGTCGAGCGAGTATTCCCACATCACTATCCTTCAAAGGTTATACATGTTTGAAGAATCCAGTCATTTCAAGAATATTACATTGTTATATTCATTTCCTTATCCTAGAATATACCATAACCATGTGCCACAGAAAAGTAACATAATGCAAAACAAGGTAAGGATTGATTAGTACATCTCGTAGCGCCAATTGATTTGTACCATTTCTTCCGTGACGCCACCCTTGATCACCTTGGCTACTTCCAAGGGATCTCCTGAGTCCAGACGTTTGTTCTCGCGCAAGATTAGCCAGCGGTATGCAGTTATTGTGAACCCGAACAAGACAGCGGCACCCATGAGCGTGCCAAATGCAGCATAGAAATGGGGCTCTCCAAAGTATAGGTATGAGGCCCAAATGTTGGATGTACCACCAATGGCATTAACTAACGCAGATGCAGCCGCTCGTTTCGAGATGGGTCGTGCAAGGTGCAGGTTGATGGTCTTGTAGAGAAGGAGCTGGGGGCCGACAGAGGCGAAGGGCAGGATCATCATGGAGAAGTATCGGGCGCCGACGTTTGTACTCGCAATCGGGATGATGTACATCGGGATCGAGATGGCGATGCAAAGGAGAATGATGGGGTAGACGGTATTTTTTCGATCGGAGTAGAACATAAGGCCATAGTAGACGATGCCGGCGAGGATATAGGGGGGCGCGGTGAGAAGCAAGCTGACGGTGCTTGAAAATTTGAGCGAGCCCACGAGGGTGGGGAAGTAGTTGGCGATGGAGCCCTGTGTTTGGGATAACATGTTGCAAAGGATGAGTAGCACCAGCTTGGGGTCCGAGAGGGCTTTGCCAAACCCTTTCAGCACGCTCTCGTCTTCTCTGCCCTCTGCAGCACCAGCTTCAGACTCTATACGCCACACGGCGCAGTCGCGCTCAAGCTGGGAGAGGATGCGGCTGTTGTGGGGGAATTCTGGCATGATGCAGGCACAGATGATGCCAACGCCGACAGTGACACTGCCCTCGATGATGAATAGCCACTTCCAGCCGCGGATGCCGTGTTGTCCATCAAGTTGGAGGATAGCTGCGGCGAAGAGACCTCCAAAGGCATTACCAACTTGCTGGGCAATGTATAGCCCGGCAATACGCTTCCCTAGCTCCCTCTTTGTGTACCAAGCCGAGAGGTAATAGATGGCTCCTGGGAAGAAAACGGCTTCGGCAGCTCCGAGAATAGCTCGGACTGCGAGGAGTTGGCCATATGTTGTGATCGCCGCTGTACAAGCCGATATACAACCCCAGATCGTCACGGCAGCACATATGTACATGCCTGGCCGGGATATTTTCGTAATGATGAGGTTGCTGGGAATTTGGAAGGGCAGATACCCCACAAACAGAATGGATATAGCTGTGGCGAATTGCTCATCAGACATGTTGAGATCTTCCATGATGCCCTGCAGTCTTGCTGCGCTTAAATTTTGGCGATCGATATAGTTGAGAATGTAGAGGATGCCGATTGTTGGGAGTACAAAGAGGTCAACCTTCCGGACAATCTTCTTGTTCAGAGCATTGTACTCATCGCCGCTGAGAGTGCGAATGGATTCTGGCATGCGGCTGTAGGCGTCGACTTGCCCTTCTGCCGACGAGACATTGTCTTCAGCCAGGACAGAATCTTTCTTGTCCATAGGGAAAGACATGAGGAGAAGGAGTGCTTGTGCCTTTTGCCAAGCTCACAGCAAGAATAAACAATGGGGGCTGTGTTGCACAAAGAGTGTTCCAGGTTGCAGGCTGTGTTTTCTGGACGATACTTGAGCTCCCCCTATATAGTTCAAGCAGTCCCTGCCTTTGTCGGCTTAGCGTAGAGTCATTACAAATATCCGACCTAGGAAGCCAATGAATGACTGGAACTACCTTTCAGAATATCAAGGCATTGATTGGTTGAGATTGGTTGAGATTCGGTCATTCGTAGTTGATAAGTGACACGAGTAGATAGGCCTGGAGATAGGCGTAGGTAAAGAGTGCCCAATTGTTATCTGTCCAATTGGAATCGACTACCCCAGACGCAGAGTTTGGTTGGAATCTGGGGTGCATCGACCTAGCGTTGGGAGGAGCTCTCGCATGTCCCGAGGTCGATAAGAAAGTTTTCGGGAGGTGCAGCTGGGATTTCCGTATATAACAATAGCCTTTAGCGTCCATATGGACAGAACTCATAACTTCGGAGGGAAACCCCGCACAATATCTGAGTCATTCAGGTGGGCCGCTAATACCAACCCTCAGATACGATAAGCCACTACCCCAAGGTTTGGCACTAGTCTGCCCTAACTACTGTGCAAGAGCTCATCTGTACCATCTCTAAGCTCCTCATTTTAGTTTCCTTTGTTTTTTTTATCATTGGTCTAGACTAATGAGAGGGTTGAGGATACGTATACCAATAAATGATACTTAACCTGGTATCGTATCGATATCTCTCATCTTCATCTCACTCTCAGACCTCCAACAAACCACTCCAAATTATCGGCTCTATATTATAATACCCTACCATCACAATGACTTACCCTACCGCTCTCACTACCTCAATCGATAACTCTCGATTGAGACTTCTCAACAAGATCAAGGCCGGCGAGTTCCCGCTCATGACTTTCATGGCCATCCCCTCCGTCCGCCAGGCCCAGATCGTGGCCTTGACTGGCGTTGACGGTATCATCATTGACTGTGAGCACGGACATATCGGAGATGATGCCATGCACAACTCCGTCGCTGCCATCTCCGCGCTCGGTGTTTCCCCAGTTATCCGCATTCGAGGCCCTGCCCACGATATCCTCAAACGCGCCCTGGATACCGGTGCTCATGGAATTATGGTTCCCCAGATAAACAATGCTGAGGAGGCAGAACAAATTGTTGCTTCGTCCAAGTTTCCTCCCCAGGGTGTGCGAGGCCAGGGCTCAGCTTTCCCCGCCATCGGTCACGGCCTGACAACTCCCGAGTACATGAAGTCTGCCAACGAGACTATCATCACAATGATTCAAATAGAGACCCGTGCCGGTGTCGAGAACGTCGATGCTATCTGCGCTGTGCCAGGTGTGGACCTTGTCTTCATTGGCCCCAACGATCTTGCCCAATCTCTGCTTGGATACACACCTGCTCGCGGGGATGAGCCTGAGTTTGTTGCTGCGATTGATAAGATTATCGATGCTGCGCGCAAACATGGAAAGTGGGCTGGTCGCATGGTAAACAATGGTACAGCGGCTAAGGAGGCTCGGGAGCGGTATGATACCGTCGCCATCACTGGTGACACCAAGGCGATTCAGAACTGGTACATGGCAGAGTTTGATATTGCTCGTTCATGAGAGCGTTGATCATTTTATGGTATCTGATGATAGACTTTCACATATAAAATTTGAATAGACAAATAAAGATTCAATACTTCTTTTCCTCTCCACAATTGTTAAATGCAGGTTCAAGTTGGAAAACTCCCGGACTATTTATAGCTACATTGCACGTCTTGCTCAGACATGTGAAATGAACTGTTGCTTGGTCCGTTTTATTCCCCAAAGCAAATTATCTTAATTAGCTCAAAATGCACGAAAACAAAGAAAGCTTCGTTGACTCGTATGTCACAAATTATAAATTTGAGAAGACTACTAAAGATACCACTGAAAAGAGTGCTGAAAAGACTACTGGAAAGACATCACAAGGCCGCTTATGCCGCCGAATATTCTTGTATTCATTGTTTGGAATATTATTCTATCTGCTAGCTTGACTTCACGAACAGCAGCTTGGGTATTTACGCAAAACACCAGCTAAAAATTTCGTAGCATATCGGTTACTTCGATCTACATAATATGGCAAGTTGATACTCTATGCAAAATGAATTTAAATTTTCGTCTATATTCAAGCCATTTTCATAACATCATAATCAAGCTTGCGCAATACACTCAATCTCAATAACAGTGCCATTTCCAGGAGCAACTGCTTGAAGACATGAGCGCGATGGCATAGGTTGCGGGAGGAACTCGATGTAGGCTTCGTTCATGGCGGCGAAATCCTTCATATCGGCGAGGTAGACATTGTACTTGACGACCTGTTCAAGGGAAGAGCCGGAAAGCTCAAGAACTTCCTTCAGGTTCTGCAGAACGGTTCTCTATGTGGATGAAAGCAACCATGGGTCAGCCAATGCCCTGGTATCGGATAAGTGCTTGTGTAATCGAACTTACCGTAGCCTGCTTAATCTCCCCTGTGGCAGTCTGGCCAGCGCAAAAGACGAGGCCGGGGACTTTGACGGCAGGGCCTAAACGGGTTGGTTAGTCACTCTCCTTATTTATCCTTCAAGAGAATTGAGGGTGGTGTTTGCATGCAGATACTCACAGTTGTGGGGCTTGGTAGGGAACTTCTCGCTTGAGATAAGTTGACGAGACATCTTCGTTGGTGGTTTTGAGCAGAAATGGAGGTTATTGGTGGTGTGGTTTCGAGAGTCTGTCAGGAAGTTCGAAATTTGGAAGCGCTAGGCAATGAGATTGTTTAAATTACTCAAGCTACTCCTCATGTCTCTCTATCCGCCACATATTGAATCAAGAAGAGGGGCAATTTTTATTATCGTTATGGAGGAGCAGTGTTTTTTTGGTAGTAGTCTATTCGTTTATCACTCTTTCGGGAGATATTGTGGGAGGAGTGGGAGGAGTGAGTTATGGGAGGAGCACATCATTTCAGGTGCATTATTGTGGCCATGTTGCTCAAAAGGCCCATCGGTGCACAAGCTCCGCCTGATAACTAAGAGTAACATTGTGGCCGCAATCGATGTCTGTACACTTGTATAAACCTTCCAATCTGGGCCTAGCGCAAACCTTATATCCTCCAACCCTAATGCTCTGCTCATAGATGTGCCAAGGCAGAGGAGCCCTCCACGGCCCCGTTGATAACAAAATGTAACAGAGCTAGAGCATTGGAAAAATGTGGGGAAATGCAACAGGGAGAATCCAGACGATTATGACCAGAATCAAGTAGTGCGCTAGCAGAGGTCAGCTCTCATCTCATCTAATCTGAATGCAGGATGCCATACCTCCCCGGAGATCGGATACACAGATAGGGTTTCATCTCTCATCTTAATATAAAGATATATAACTCAATCAGATAGTCTCCATGTGTTGTCTTCAACATCGGTCACAACATTGAATATTCTTTGAATATATATCATCATGCCAGTTTCTGCTCCTTTCAATCCTCCTGCGGCTGACCTTCCTGGTAAACCTTTTGTCCCAACATGGGTTCCTCCACCGGTCACTCAGCAAAAGGAGAATTTTGCTGAGCTTAGCTCCATTGATCTTTCTTTGTTGGACTCGGATGATCCCGCTGTTGTTGAGAAACTTGTCCAGCAGGTTAAGGTCGCCATTCGTGATGATGGATTCCTTTTCCTCGAAAACTACGGAGTTTCTCTAGAGCAGGTTAGTCTTGGTTCTCATGAAAATTCTCAAGACCAACGTCGCTAATAATATATCTCTTTCGATAGCTCCACCGACAATTCTCTCTTGCCCAGTATCTATACCACAACATCAGCGAAGACGACAAGAAACGCCTTCTGTTTAATCCCGAAACCGAAGTTTGGTCAGGTTACAAGCACCCTTATGGATTCAAGGTAGGATGATCTAGCTCATGCATCAAGAAATTCAACACTGTACTTACTCTACCTTTTATGATTAGCGCGAGCGCGGACCTGAAGATGGCATCGAACAATTTAACTGGTACAAACCTGACTGGAACGATATCACCCGGGTGCCCACATGCCTCCACCCCTTCATGGACGAGATCGAAGCGTTCTCCAACTATCTGACCAAGTCCGTCAACCGCCGCCTCCTGACTCTGTTCTCCCGAGTCCTTGAGTTGCCCGATGACTACCTCTGGGACAACGTTCAGTCACACGGTTGTCCAACAGGCGAGGGCTACTTCCGCCATGCACTTTTCCGTCCCGTCCAGAAGAAGACCGAGGAGGCATCCAAGGGCCTCCGCATGCACGGTCACACTGACTTCGGTCTGACAACATTGCTCTTCTCTGTGCCCATCTCATGTCTCCAGATCTGGGGCCGCGATGAACAGTGGTACTACGTACCCTACAAGCCCGGTGCGCTTGTCATTAACATCGGTGATACCCTGGAGATTGTTTCTGGTGGCCATTTCAAGGCGACTCGCCACCGTGTTTACAAGCCCCCTGTCGATCAGCTGCAACAGGAACGTCTCTCACTAGTGCTCTTCAACAGTTCTGTGGGTGACTTGCGCATGGGTCCTGCAACAGGTTAGTAGAATCAACGCAATGGTGTAATCACAAGAAAGCTAACATAATCTTGTATAGCTTCTCCTCTTATTCAAAGAGTCGGCTGTGTTGAGGAACAGGGTGTTTATAAGGAGTTCAAGAGTCTCACATCCCAAGGAAAGCTTGTGCCTACCAACCGTCAATGGCGTGAAATCCAGATCGCTACGGCTACAGATCCTACAGATCAAGAGCGCAACAGAGTTGGTGCGGACCAGGTGCTCATTGATGGCAAGGTCATGCACCAACGAGAGTACATGGGTGTCAAGGTTGTTCTTCCTGTCTAAACTAAAATGCAGACAATGATTGGTTTGAAGTCTTTGCTGTTTTGATCTAATTACCCCTAGCTTTTCTGGATGATTGACGCACCAGATTGTATGCAAGATTCAGATATATAGTGTTCCAATTTGACATCTCGTTTCAAATATTCATACGTTCTACGTAATGTAAAATGCGCAGCCGACTTCCCAAGTGTACATCATGGTGGATTGGTGACTACCGATGTACATGTGTAGGTAAATATAACCAATCCCCCATCAGATAAGAATCATCTCTAGCCATTATTCTTAGAATGCATATCTAATTCATCCAAACAGGTCAAGATGAGTTTCCCAAGCTGCCATTTCTGTCTTCGCTGAAAGACCTTTCTTGCCCAAATCAGAGCTCCCTCTATATTGCCATCATGAACACCCACGACCTCCAATGCGCCAGGTAGGCCGGCATGTATTAGTTGCCAGGCAATCAAAAAAGCTTTATATGCATAGAGGGCAACCCATGGCGCTTCAGATTCCAGTATCAGCGTCTCATCGAGATATCGTAGGAACCAGTTCACATGCGGTTGTATAGCTTTTGCCGTGTTGGTATCGCACAAGAACTGCGATGGTCCTAGGTATGTTGACTGACTGAGAATGGCATCTATGCTTCCCTCCACAATGCCGCCAGTATGGGATGGTGACCACATCTGCAGCTCGATCATGGCAGTCTCCCAAGTCGCAGCACACGATGTTGCGTGTTTTGTTTGCGCTGGGCAGTTTTCAGGGCAGATGAATGGGCTTAGTGTGACGAGGGATGATCTTAATGCGCCGAATCGTTCCATACTGAGCATACCCGTCATTGTAGACCAGCTGGAGATTTCCCGGGCGCTAGAGATCAGGAATTGCGCAATGTTTATAGCACCATACGGATCAAATGGCGGAAGGGAGGTGATATCGTCATCAGAGGAAAGGAAGCGTCGAACAGCATCGGTGTATGTGACTGAGGAGCTGGTATTTCTTGACACAAGTTGTCGATGAGCCCATTCAGCAGCAGAGGATGACGACCAATGGTCTTCTGGACAGGGCATATCATGCTTTATTTCCAGGTGTGAGATTGAGCGAGGAATAGAAAGCAGTTGATACCAAAGCGCGTCGATCTGATGCACTGCGAAAAGGGTCCGTTTGTGTGACTCGACTTTGACAAATTCGCGCCATAATGACTCTAAATCGGCAGTTCCAGCAGTATCAATAGTCATTGGCTGTGTCATTCGTCCAGCGCGAGCTAGAGAGATCATATGCGAATGCATTTTAAGGCCGCATGCTGATTTGTCGCCACAAAGGTACATCATGGCACAAATTTGAAGGAGCAAGTATGATTGGACCAGTGTGGTGATCATCGTTGAAGCATCAGGCCTCTCTTCATCCGAAGCAAGGAGAGCGCGGGCTTTATGAAAGCAACGTATAGAAAGGCTTTCGCCTGAGCCTTCTTGGTCCCCGCATTCTGGGTCCTCGCCATATTGATAGGCGAGGCAAAGCATACTGAGGACCAAATGAGGAGCGACTCGCGCGGGATCAAAAGTTGAGGAATGGAGAAAGGGGAGGAAATGAGAGACTGAGGCGAAAAATTGACTGCAGCCTCGTGAGATTTGTAAGGCAGTCGGGGCCCAATCGTCTTGGAGTTGAAGGATATCATTCGGTGACAATCTATCTAAAATCGGGTGATTGAAACTGTATTCGGCTAAGCTTGTATTAAGTGGCTCGGCTTCTGCGGTCACCATCGGATGTAGTTGGTTGTTAAGGTGATTGGTAGGATTTAGTAGGGATGTCCCTAATAGTAAGTTCCGCTCTAAATCTGTAGCGTTCTAGACAATTTAATCGATAAGAACAGAGTCGCTCGTTATCGATTGTAGTAGGTCTCCTATTAGTTATGTCTTGGCTATCTCGGTCCTTGGCGCAATAGTATTCGGGTTTTCCGTGGGGTGGCTACGGTTAAGCTACTGCTGCTGCTACTGATACTATATCACTAGACGCCAGATTGCATCACTATCGAACCTCGTCTCATCTCCTGGGCTCGAATGTATGCGTCCGGGAGAAGTGATATCACCATAGCTTCCTATAGGCGAGACCGCTATCGGCGATACATCAGGCCTCTCTTCATCCGAAGCAAGGAGAGCGCGGGCTTTATGAAAGCAACGTATAGAAAGGCTTTCGCCTAAGCCTTCTTGGTCCCCGCATTCTAGGTCCTCGCCATATTGATAGGCGAGGCAAAGCATACTGAGGACCAAATAAGGAGCGACTCGCGCGGGATCAAAAGTTAAGGAATAGAGAAAGGGGAGGAAATGAGAGACTAAGGCGAAAAATTGACTACAGCCTCGTGAGATTTATAAGGCAGTCGGGGCCCAATCGTCTTAGAGTTGAAGGATATCATTCGGTGACAATCTATCTAAAATCGGGTGATTGAAACTATATTCGGCTAAGCTTGTATCAAGTGGCTCGGCTTCTGCGGTCACTATCGGATATAGTTAGTTGTCAAGGTGATTAGTAGGATTCAGTAGGGATATCCCTAATAGTAAGTTCCGCTTTAAATCTGTAACGTCCTAGACAATTTGATCGATGAGAACAGAGTCGCTCGTCGTCGATTGTAGTAGGTCTCCTGTCAGTTATATCTTAGCTATCTCGGTCCTTGGCGCAACAGTATTCGGGTTTTCCGTGGGGTAGCTACGGTTAAGCTGCTGCTGCTGCTGCTGATACCGTATCACTAGACGCCAGATCGCATCACTATCGAACCTCGTCTCATCTCCTGGGCTCGAATGTATGCGTCCGGGAGAAGTGATGTCACCATGGCTTCCTGTAGGCGAGACCGCTGTCGGCGATACAGAAGACTGCAGCCTGCCTTGTCTAGGTGGTGGTTGGCGCTGTGTCCTTTTCGTCACTCGATGCTGTTCGCGCTCTGGATGCTTTCTCTTCATGTGACGATTGCGCAAATCAGGACGGGAGAAGGTAGCATGGCAAAAGTCACAGGGAAGCGACGCTTCGGCCTGAGAGCGGGAGTGTAGCGTTGAATGTCGCTTGAGGTTCTCGTGTCGAGTAAATCGGCTCTGACAGACGTGACATTGGAATGGTTGATAGGACGGCGTTATTCTGGCCTGTGAAACTGACATGATTTGTAACGAAAGAGGTAGAGACTGTCAATGCATCAGTGGGAACAATATTGGAGCGGATAAAATCCGGGGGACTTACCCCACGCACATCGGGGTTTCTCCGCACGACAGTTTTGTTTTATACCCAGACAAGCGATAAGAATATAGACGAGATGGTTTGTTGCGGGAGCTTTATCCATGAAAATATTTTAATCTGTCTCGATTAATTTGTTATCGTGTATATCAACATTAACCTTGTCAAAGCCGTGGGGCTTCTCCTATTGCGTCCACTCAGCGGGCGGCGAGTTATCAGCTTTATCTTGCACCTGGGCGCAGATAGTTAATAGTTTAACTTGACCCCTTTAAAAAAAAACATAACAAAAACACATAACATCTCCAAGGTGGTGGTCACCTAGCCCACAGGGTTCGGGCACAGGGGTCTTGTACGCAGGGTATAGGGGCCATGGGATAAAACCCCCTTTTCAGGCAAAATTGATGAGATGTCTGAATCTAGACTGGTAGAAGAATTAACATTGAAGATACCTGAATAACTATATTACAGATCCCTCAATAATCTTGAAGGTACCCAAGTTCTGTTACCTAACCCTATAAGTAACCTTAGGAGAAATGAGCATTTAACCACCTCAAAAAGCGGAGATACACGTAGTTGTATAGTGTCGAAAGCTTCATTTTCGTACTCATCAATTTACAATACACATGAATAGTCGGCCGCATAAGCGGCCTAGGCTTTGTCGTATGGCCCCAATATCCTGCGTAGGCGCGCCGCTCTGTTCGGCGCGCTCAAGGCGGATATTCAGCCAGGTACGTTTCCCTTACTAGAAAAGTTGTAAGTACCCTTATTTCCACCTTATTACTCTAACCTGGCTTTATCGCGAGTAAGATATGTACTAAACATAACCTAACCTAAGAATAAAGACAAAAGAAAGAGTTACATTGCGCAAGAAACTCTGGAAATCCAGCAGGCCCCTAGTAGCCTGACGCTTCAACTTCCTCCTTCTCCTCTTCGTCAATAAGAATCAACCCTTCATCGACTTGTTCAGCCTTGCCTTTTGCCATATGCTCTTTTAAAAACATTTTCTCACATCCTGGGGGTAGTACAATCATATCAAAAGGGCTGTCATGACTATCAAAAGATATTCCCCTTATTGAAACTCGATTGATAATCTCACGGTAAAGGCTACTATCATTCACGATATGAAGATCCGTAAGAAATTCCATCTTTTCTTTTTTAGTAAGCTGAAACCTCCGAGCTCGGCGACAACATCCACACACCACCATACAATGTCCAGCTCCAACCTGTCGTGTCTTATCAATCTTGCGATCAACGCAGCATCCGCAGTTACAGCTACAGCACCCTGTCTTCCTCACGCAATCCCCGATCAAAAATCGGTGCATATTCCATAGACGATGTGATCGCCATAGATCAAATCCTTGTATTAACCTTCCGCTCACAGATGTGCTTCGGACTTTCCACCACTGTCGTTCCAGCAACTATCATTCCTATACATTGGCCAGCTGCACTTGGTCCCGGGCTTATTGGCGAAAATTTGCTCTTCCTGGACATTACTTCGAAGGTCTTTTTCTATCTGGAGAAGGCCAAGCGCTAGATCAACGTAGGAACACTTTGCTTGACGAATCACGTCCTGTCGATACCGCTGAAGAGCATCAATATCTCCACTCTATTTGGGCTTGATTTCATGTTGAGTTTTCTCTCCAGTCAGGGTTAAATCGATTTTTGATTGAGTCGGCTTGTCCGCAGGTTTCATTTGGGACCAGGGTATATTCATATCGGGTATAGAGAATAGAGACGTATATAGTGAGAAGTAAATTCTACCTAGTGAACGACTCATTCTGATGTCAGATACTCTTCCGTCAAATCTGATTCTAAAATTACCCTACGACGCCTTGGGCTACAGTCTTCTAAATAGTTGCAAGTTAATTGTAATTCCTCGGTCCATCCACTGATATCAATTTTATATTGGTAGACGATACAAACCACCCTCTAAGTGCCAGGTACTCCCCCTGTGATATTGGCAATCAATTGAAGAAATCCACCTCCATTAATTCGTTGAAAACCTGGACGTTCCAGCTTGTTAAGGGATCTTCATCCAACTTGGGGGCTAGTGGCGCATTGGTGAAATTACCTCAGCACGCGTGAACAGTTCTTCAAGCGCTACTTCATCAGGAAAGGGGAAGCCACTAGAGAATGGAAAGCTGAAAGTGCCAGAAAGAGCTACCGTTCCAAGGGAAAGAACGAAATAAAGGGATAGTTTTGCGATTGTGAATGTAGCTATCTTGTTCCATTGTATAGTTGAGATGCCTCATGTCCCCTTTCAGGGATCCGCTTTGCGTTCAGCGGAGCAGTTGATCAAGTACATAGCCGTGGCCGAATGAGCACAATCACCCGAACTCTCCGAGCAGTTGTTTCCATTCGGAGTATTCCTATCTCGTGCAGAGATAAACATGGACGGACTTTGACACGGAATTTAACACGGACTTTAAGACGGATTTTACATTGAACATCGTGGCTTAGCTTCTTAACTCCAGGCGGAATTAAACACCCTCTTACTGATCATCGTATCCTTCATTTATTAATTGAGCATCACTTCTCCTGTCAGGGTATCAAATTTAAGTCACAAAGCTTTGAAAGCGATATCATATTACACCGAGGACCGCAGGGCTCGAACAAGATGATCGGAAAACGAATCTTCATAACTGGTGCCTCTGGCTACATCGGTGGCGTGGTTGTGGAGCAAGCCATCCAGCAAGGCAATCATGTTATCGCCCTGTCACGAACTGAAGCAAGTGACGAAAAGATTCGAGCTCTGGGCGCTACTCCAGTACGAGGCGGCCTGGAATCTCACTCCGTTCTGCAGGAGCAAAGTGCCCAGGCTGACGTCGTATTTCATCTAGCAGACGCATGGGCCGGTAATTTCGGCAAGATGGATTACGCTGAAGTTGTGCGCATCGACGGAGGTGCTGTGGATGCCATCGCGGCAGGCCTAAAGGGCACTTCCAAGCCACTGGTGGTCACATCAGGCACTCTCGTCGTTGAGGCGCATCCCGACGGCCTCGAAACCGATGAGGACTCGGCTCTTTCAAAACAGCCGATGAATGATCACATTCAATCTGAGCAACACGCGCTAGAACTACGGGACCAGGGTATCAATGTCAGCGCTATCAGGTTGGCGCCATGGGTCTACGGTCGTGGTGGTAGTGGGATTCGGCTTTTCATGACCATGTTCACAGGCATGGGTGAGGTATTCTACGTCGACGAGGGGGCAGCGCCTACCTCTGTTGTGCATGTAGATGACGCCGCCCAGTTATATTTCCTGGCGGCGGACAAGGCTCAACCAGGGGACATCTTCAACGCCGTTTCCTGTACCACAGTGACGGCCCGGGAACTAGCTACAGCCATTTCTCGCACTGCCAATCTTCCACTGAAGTCGCTCTCCTTTGATGAAGTCACCAACCGCATGGGAAATTTCGTAGCCAGCTTTCTCAGTGCAGAGAACCGGGCGTCGGGCCAGAAAGCAAAAGAAAGGCTTGGTTGGGAGCCACGGGGTCTCGCTATTCTGGACGACATTGAGAGAGGATCCTATGCAACGCGCTAGCCTAAAGGCTAAGAATGGCACCTTTCAGAGACCGCGAAGTTGCTGAAACAGGCCTACTGCATGTCTTCATCCCGCTCCATGTCAGACTGGTTTCCGGGTATTTAGACACAATATATTAAAAGACGATTAAAATCCAGTGGAACAGGTATTTACGTATACACCTAGCATACAACATGCATGTCCATCACTTGTAAATGCGTAAAAGTTCGATAAATAGTCTAAATCCTAGTAGGATTAGATTCCATCATGTTGCGATCCTTTAGATGGAGGAGTAGAACAAGAGATGCATCTAGGCAAGGGTTTGTTCGGGATATTGATGCTAGCTTCGTCGGTTGGTGCGCAAGGAAGACGGATAGGAGCTGAGGAAATAGCATTTGGAGCCAGAGCGAGTCATGAAGGGTAGTGATACTGACAAGCGCAATATCTGATGAGACAATTTATACAACGGGCTGGGTATATTTGATAGATAACTTGAACTTTTGATCTGGGGATATTAGATATCCATGGATACAACACGGCGAATTTTCTGCAATGCCCTCATTTATGCAAAGAAAGAGGGAAAATATATATGTAGCGTTGGTTTGATTACTACCTACATAAACAAATAGCGAATAACCAATGATAAGAAAATGCATAGCACAAATCAACATGTGCCGGGGAATCACAGAAATACAGAGATGGAAAAGTTAAGAAAAAGGCCTGGCGAATACGGCGATATATCACATCCTAGCAGCGCGGGTGGTCTTATCATAGAAGTCCAAGGTCATGGCTGCCAAGAAACATGGAATATCCTTTCTTTCCTCAACCCAAAATTTGATGAGAGGTTTAAGTTCCATGGCGAACAAACTGTTCGGTCCACCCGATATCTTCATAGTGCCATTCTCGCCATCGAACACAATGGAGTTTTCTTCACCATTGCCCATGCTGCCGGGACCAGAGTCAGAAGGCGCGTCTGAGTCGCCGTGACGGTATGCGGATGAGAGGTGGAACATAGAAGTGACACGCACTCTACCATTTGGCAAAAAGTCAAGCTTGAAGCCGAGGAGAGAGGCGACAGCTTCCCGGAATTCAGAGGACTTGGCTGTCCAGATCTCTTTTAGTCGGCGCATACGCTTTTCTTTATCGGCGACGGTGCGCTCCATGTCCTGCATTTCGAGCTTGATACTCTCCAGGGTGCTGACTGGGACGACTTTAACATCGGTATGACCCCCACGCAGCTGTGCTAAAAGGTCTCTGTTCGCGGACTGGAGAGTTGCAAGAGTCGTCATCTTGATTTGCTCGGTTTGGGCGGTCGGATTGTCGCGCAGTTCAAGGACACGTGTCCGTGACTTGGCTTTCAAAGCCTTAATCTGTGACTTGGCCGCATCGAGTTCCCGGCGAGCGAGAGTGGTGGCCTGGTCAGATTTGGTGAGATGTTCCTGGAGTTTGCGGTTCTTGCGGCTGAGTACAGCGATACGTTCGCTTTCCGCGTCGCTGTTGGCGGGAGAAAGAGGTCGCTTAACGCCCCTGGCTTCGGGTTGGTCTTCTTTCGGTGCTTCCTGCTTAGAGAGCTCTTCATGAACTTTATGGAGCTCACCGCGGTACTCATCGACCAGTTGTTGCAGTTGGGTTATTTGCTCGGATTTTTGTTCATCAAAATGTGATGGATCTTCGTGCATTGTGGCCTCTTCTGCATCAAATGTCTTGAGTTGCGCGCGTAGGTATTCAACTTCTTTCACTGCAAGCGCACGCTGCCGCTCCAGTCGAGCTCGAAGTCGGCCCTCCGCGGCACCCGGTCCTCCTGCAGACGCGGCAGCAACGCGGAGTTTCTCCAACTCCTGTTGCAGATTATTTTTATCGCTTTCAAGGCTCTTGATAGCCTCGTCCTTCTCAAGGAATTGGGCCTCGACAGTTCCGAGACGATCAAGGAGCGTAGCAATCTCAATTCGTCCTTGAACTACCGCTCTCACGATGGCATCTGGTGAGTCAAACTCGGCAGGCTGGTCGTTTTCCTGTAAAAGAGTGACCCAAGATTGTCGTTCATCTTCCAAGATCTGCTTTTGGATCTGAACTGTGTTCAGTTCAGCTTCAAAGCCTTTCATCAGCTGGAGCTGGTTCTCCACTGATCTCTTTTGTTCTTCGACGACCTCAACGTTCTTCGAGACTTTTCGAAGATGACGCAGCTCCGTTGTTTGGTCACGGTTCGCTAACTCCAATTCCCGAATATGATTGACCTGCTCGGAGAGTTCTCTCTTCAATACAGCCAAAGCCTCTGCATCGTTTCCTTCGGCCTTCAATCGAATATTCTCCGCCTCGAGCTCAGCGACCTCCGCTTCACGCTGGGATAATTTGTCCTGCGTCGATTCCTGCGATGTCCTGGCGTTTTGAATGTCGTTCTGGAGTTCTTCGATGGTCTTTTGTAGGGAAGCGCGGACTGTCTCTAACTCGTTGATCTGGTATTTGAACTGCCGTTCCTGGTCGGAGAGTCGAGCTTGAGTGTCGTCAAACTCTTCCTGCAAGTTCTGATTTTCGTCCTGAAGGCCTCTAATCTTGCGCTCAAACGCAAGTTTGTCATTCAAAGCCTGATCTTGAATTTCTTTCAACTCTTTTGCCAGTTCTTCACTCTTATGGGTGGCCCGATTACTCGAAGATTCGGCAGTCTGTAGCAGCGAACATCGTTAGTTTTATGTCATGACAACCGCAATTTTGTAGCGACTAACCTGAGCCTTTCTAAAATCTGCATCCGCTTTCAGTTGCAAGTCGCGGACCTCTTTTTCATGGCGAAGAGCTTCCAGTTCTCGCTCCTGCTTGACATTCTCCAGCTCGTATTTCAGAGTACTCAATTGCACACGTAACTCATCTTTTTCCGTATCTAAACGAACCAGTCAGTTTTCCATCGCTGGCTCTGCAGTCAGTCTAGGCAGGGTCTCGCCTTACCGTGAATAGGTTGATGCGACTGGGCTTGAGATTGTGTGAAACGGCTAGATTGTCGCATAGCTGTCGATCGGCGCATGGTACCCCGTGCACCAGAAGGTGTCGATGGTGAGCCGAATCCAGCAATGAGCTGGGAAGCCGGTCGGTTGTTTTGGCTATGATCCATCTATTAAGAGCCAGGAGAGGTCAGTTATTGGGTAAAAACAACAGGGAGGCCCATTAAAGCTCACAGTGAGGTCAAAGCTATTGTATAGCCCACGGAAATTCCTGTCTAATGGAACATGAGGCAAGAAACACTGCGCAACTTGTCCTGGAGCTGTATCAAAGGGAAGATGGTTGAAGGCGGGCCGCCTTGTTTAGTATTATGTCAGCAATAAACTGCGCCTGAAATGGGTTAGCGCCGTTTTAAAAATTATTTCGATTTCGGCATCGAATTCTCAGTTCACCACCCTCACCCGTGACTCGTCTTCATCCACCTCGGTCTCTCGTTCGATTTTAGTCAATTTCTTCCGTTTAATTCCACACAACCGTCACTATGGGCAAGGACAAGGTCGAGAAGAAGGACCGCGCTGAGAAGAAGGAGAAGCGTGCGGAGAAGGACGGTGTGCACAAGGTCAAGAAGGAGAAGAAAGAGAAGAAGGATAAGACTGCTCTTGTCGATGCAGTAGAGAAGGAGATTGACACTGAGGCCATGGAGGGTCTCGAGCAGACCAATGCTGTAGTCAAAGACGAGGCTGAGGTCGACGCTGTCCGCCCCGTTGGCGCCCTCGTGCCGTTCGCCAACCCATTGGTTGAGGACAAGCAGGCCAAGAAGGTCCTGAAGAGTGTCAAGAAGGGTATGTGAAATGTTCTCCAATTATTCAGTTCGCTCTTTTACTATCAGTGCTCATGGGTCCATTTTCATCTGATCTTCGGATCACCGATGTCTCTGATCGCATCGCTGCGCAACTTTTTTTTTCTCTTATCGTCAGATCATCGATTCTAACATTTATTCTTCTAGCTGCCGTCAACAAGTCTCTCAAGCGTGGTGTCAAGGAGGTTGTCAAGGCTCTCCGCAAGTCTCCCGTCCCCGCCGCCAACGCCCCCATCGGTGTTCCCAGCGGTGTTGTCGTTCTCGCTGCCGATATCTCCCCCATGGATGTCATCTCCCACATTCCCGTCCTGTGTGAGGATCACGGTATTCCCTACGTCTTCGTTACCTCCCGCGCTGAGCTCGGTGCTTCCGCTGCCACCAAGCGCCCTACCAGTGTGGTCATGGTTACCCCCAAGGCTGCCAAGGGCAAGAAGGAGGATGATGAGGAGTTCACTAAGGTGTTCGAGGAGCTTGCTGGCTTGACCCAGAAGGAGCTCAACAAGCTGACAGTCTAAAAATGTTCTCGACTTGTCTGTTTTACCTTTTGTTATTTGCTCTTCCCACGCTGTTCACTGCGAGTGGGTTCTCTGGTTGTACAGGTTTCTGATACCGTCTATTCAGACGGTGCATGTCTTATGGGGTCCGGCCTATGGGTATCTTTCTATATTTGCTCTTTTGTTCCAACTCGGCGTTATTTCAATGGTGTACGAAAAAGGCAAGAATTCCAATGAGATATCACCAACCTCATAGACTTTGTTCTCAGTAAGGTCTCGGTTAATTTTAATGGACATCTCATGCAAATCTCACTATTGCACTACCCCACAGTGTGACACCTGCATAACCCACGTTGTGCCTGATTGGTGTAGAAATTGTCGTTCTCAAAGGTCTGACTGTATAATCAATCCCCTTGTGCGATAGAACCGCGGGTCGCACATGAAATTGGTGTCGAGTCCCTTCAATACTTCATACTGTCCTCAGTCCAAGACAATCAACCCTAAATTACCGGTGTTATTAGGCACACGTAGCTAACTCAAGAATTGTAGATAGCAGGTGAGGTTCACACAATGATGAATCATAGATTTCATACACGCGATGTGGGGAGCTAAACCTAGGCAATTAGCCTTGCATGGTAGTATAAACTATTACCGTGGCGTTCTGAGCTGAAACCGATCAATATGATCAATCCCTAGGTCCTTCGCCCTTGACGTTAATCAAGGGATAAAGTGCATATACCAAGCCCAGCAGATATCAACCTAGCCAATCACCATGCATAGCGCCCTGGATCAATCATATCTTAACCTCACAAATCTTCTAGCACTAGCCTAGACCCATGAAAAGATTTAGTTTTGGGCGCCGGACCTGAGAGGGGTTTGTTTACCTTTGTCCTACACAGCTTCTTCCTTGTGTTCAAAGCTCGGCCCTTGCGGTTGATATCTTCCCTGTCCATTGAAAAAATACTATAAAGAACGCAATTCCCTCATTTTCATCGATTAATTCTTTCATTCTGCTTACAATACGCCATCCTGTGACTCAATTTCCTCTTTACATTCCTAACAATGCAACTCAATCGCCCTTCTATTTTAACACTGGTACTTATTTTGGCTGTTACTCGATCCACTACATCCCACCCTATCGGAACCAGCAAATGGGTTAAGACAGAACAATTCAAGGACCCCAATGCCCGTGGAATATGGAAGGTCTTTGAGAAGGATCCATATGATCAGTTGCCTGATCCACCGCATGTCAAATACAACGGGGTAAATATAGGGCCCTACTATATATTGTCGACTCGGCGGCTTACTTGTTTGTATCCACGTACAGAATCCAGCATGGTCAACCAGCCAGAACAACGACCCACTAGACCAAGACACCACAAACGATCGCTATGCAATAGGAACTTCCGAAGCGGGGAAACCAACAGTCTCAATCCTGATCCCAACATCTGCAGAAATACCCGAGGAAATGCACAAACACTACAGCCAACATACGGAAGAAAACGAACACTACTTCTCACAAGAAAACACAATCAATGTACCCGCTGCCCAGACACAGGATCAATACAGCGAGATTCTACATTACCTATACACAAAGAATACCCTGCATAATGCGCATAATCATGCCTCACCTACATCTTCCTCCCACTCCTCATCAAGATATTTGACCTCTTTCTTTATATACCGATTCTCCTTCCCGGCTTTAAGATCTAAAGTCATGATGTTCCCACATTATCATCTCCCGGGCACTTTTACGACAGTGATTATTCTCCTGGTGATGGTTTGGGTTGCTATTTTCACCATTGGGTTGCTTGAACTGGGGAATTATCTTTGGAGACGAAGAGGACAGACTCTGGTTAGTGAGGGTGATCGGGTTCCGGATAGTGAGGAGCGAAATCTGGATCTAGATGAGACGATGAAGGTCCCCTTGAGAATCATTACTGCCCCTTCGGCAGTCACCCGGCCGCACTCTGTGGGAGAACATGGGTATGATTCCCCGGTGTCCATTTATAGCGACTCCAAGTCGAACTCGGGTTCGGAATCTGATGAGGATGATTATCGCATTTTGTGATACATCTGATGAATACATATACCCCATATGTATCAACCAATTCATATCTTCCGTGGCCTTTAGAAGTTAGTAATTATATACCAGAGGTCTATTGTTGACCAATGCACTCCTACTTGGTGAGGATAAGCTATAATACCTTCCCTCCGCAAGACAAAAGGAAATAAGCCTGGGGGATTGATGCGGAGTAGGAGATATTTTAGAAAAAAGGATTGTAATAATCATATGTATTTTTAGCTGCTATTGTACATAAATGTATATAAACTCATAACCCTTAGTTCATCATAATCTCAGCTTCAGACGAAGACCAATCAAAGCACGCTCGCTTGCATCTTTCCAATAAAAAGGTGAAAAATATTGAGCCAAATCACAAGCCAGGGAGACCTAAGCACGCTGGTCACTGTCCAAATTGTCGTAGAGGTTCTGAGGATCCACGCCCTTCTGCTCGACATGGCCAGAACTGTAAGCCGTGCGGGCATTACTGCGCTGGGCCTGATTAATAGCCTCACGGCCGGGGTCCTCGCTGGAGCCAAGTTCCGAGTTGAAGCTCACATTCGTAGCATTGTCGGGAGGGAGGCCACCCTCTTGGATGTCATGGCCGGCGTTATACTGACTAATACCACGGCTGCCGCTTGCAGCAGAGTATTCACCAGCCTTGATGCCCATTTCCTTCTTGGCGGCAGTTGAGCCACCGGCGTACCCAGAGTTGTCTAGGTGTGTGCCAGGGAAGTTCCCTTGGCCAACCACGCATTCTGGGTACTTCTGTTCCTCGTGGCGATCCTGGCGATGACTGCTGGATGAGGCAGAGGGAAGCTTGATGGAGGCGGAGGTATTGGCATTATTTACTGTGGTTTGGTTTGCCGAGACGCCCATTGCTTCAGCGCCACGGTTGCCAGAGAAGCCGCCACCTTGGCGGATGGACTCGGCGGCAAGCGAGTCATTGGTAATAGGTCCAGATGATTCCTCGATGCGCTGCTGTGAGCGAGGGTCGGTGGTGACCTTGGTGCCGGGAGTGGTGTGAGGAAGAGGGGTGCCCTGGATATCCATGATGTGATGGGGAAAGCAAGATAGATTTTAAGTTATTAAGAGATACTGAGTGGAAGGGATACGGGAGACAATTGAGTGATAGATGTTACACAAGGTTGCGATGGCAGTTCTATATAGACAAGCAGTGAGCTATGACCGAACCGGATGTTGGAAGTATCTGGTGCCCTCATAGAAACTGATCGTGTACTAAAGATCTTTGATGTCATACTTACGCTAACCAGGAGGGGTTTATACAAGACATATCAGGCTTAATCTTGGAAGTTTGCCAACCAGTCGCCGTCAGGTTAACTAGTTATACCAAGGCACTCTGTTTGGTGGCAGGAGAAACCGATAGAATGATGGATGTGGAGCACAGGCTCTCCTCTGATGTATTCATACTTCTAGAACTTATCAAAAGGGGAAACTCATGCCCCACATACTTCTCCATCATCCTGTCTGAAATCTCCAGAAGAAAAAGTTGACGATGCAAGGAAGGGGCAATTGACGTCAAGTCTACAGCATAGTCCCTAATGCAAAATATGCAAACATCTTTATTTTCACTATACCTAGTAACTATAGGTGTGACCATCTAACCTTGTGCTCAAGCTAAGTTTGAGAGATAAATTTGTATATTTATTGTACATGAATTTTTGGCGCGACATAAACAGATTCTGCTACATAACCCTACTTTGTGTAGTTCTTCATGAGACATATATAATGGTGGATATTCACGGCTACCTTTGAATTCAGTTATCAATGAAAATGAAATTCCTACATAGATTCACTCATTCGCTCATAATGAAGAAAATGATTATGTTGTATAGTACATTTGTTAAATCCCCACATTCATATACTCAGTTAACGGGTCGTAGCATCAGAGGGAAGGTGATCCAGTCCCTCGACACCCTATATTTCAAGTTCTTCAGCACTTTTGCTAGTAGCCAGAGACCCACGCAGGCCAGTATTGTCAGGGGGAAACTCAACACGCCCAGAGCCAATGCCAGTAATACGCTGATCAAGAGAATTCCAGTCGCTGGCAACTGGAGGCTGTTCAGGTAGAGGCAGGTTAGACTTGATCTTCTCAATTTCTGCGGGTTTATCGGTGTTTTGGTCGATGATAGACTATAGGCAATATGTTAGTGGTCTGTTTCTATGGTGCTGCGTTTCAGATAACTCGCCTTCATTCTAGACACATTTGAGTCCGATGGCGGGTTGCCACCATGCAGCAGGGAAAGTTTGGACTCGGCCCTACGAAGGTCTTGGATAGTGGTGTGGAAGGTAGCATCAGTCATTTTGTATAGTGGCTGTAAATATGGTGAAGTGTCTGAATCGGGTGAGTGTGATATTGAATCTGAAGCATACTATGAAAAATGAGGATTTATATATCTACCTACCATATTCTTTGACGATGGCAAGACACTGTGACGTTTGCTACAATGACGACATGGAATTCAGGGCCATGGATATCTACCCTCCAGAACGAGCTGGGCCCTGCTTCGTCTTGGGTATTTGGTTTCTATTGGAGATTCTAGGCTGTCGGGTCAACAACAAAATATTAACTGGTTAAGATTCGGAATTGGCGTCTTAGAGGATGGACCACCTAATGTGGCAAACCTGTTCATTTGTTTTCATGGCAAGACGCTATGCATATCCCATGAAAAATTCGAGCTCCGTCGAGGAGTGGATAGATATCTTGGAGCTAGACAGTAGAGATCTCATTGGACCTATTGGTATACAACGGTTGCCCATAGTGTTTCAGTGTGGACTATTGTCAATATGTCATTGATCTTCGAGACGTTCTAGAACGATACCGAGGCGCAAATATGGACACATTGTATAGTAACGAAAGGCTTCGATGAGTTCAAGAGCGGCGTACTAAAGCGGCATAGAAGCATGCAGGCGATTCGGAACACCGCCTTCCTTTTTGATACGGCAGAAAATGTTTCTTATCGAAAGACAGACAACTCTTGGGCCTGTGGAGACTTAGTGAAACTGGTCATTTTGTTATTCAGAGGATCTATTGACTTTCGACAGATCTATCCTACAATATGCCTCGAGATCCGCTGATCGGATTGGTTGGGAAGGTATGTCGTTCCCATCGAATGTTCCACCACCCCACTGACCGCAGGTGCGAGGGGCATACAGCCGTCTAGTGGAAAATCCACAACATTGAACAGTTTGACCGATGCAACTTCGAAAGTTGGTAAGTGAACCGGAATATGGTTGTATCCAATCCCAGAAACCTAATCAATTATACTCTGAACAGGAAATTTCCCGTATGTGCGCCCTGGTTGTTCTACACGAGCATCTCCACCTTATCGCAGTTGATCGCGCAGGCCGTGTTGACACCCGACAGCTTCACAACCATTGACCCCCAGCGAGCCATCGGATACCTTCAGATTGAATGCCCATGCCAGCGACACAATGTTTCAGATCGTTGCCAGCCCAATTATGGAGGCTGCCATGAAGGGCGACGCTCCGTACCGATTGAGTTGCTAGATGTCGCAGGTCTCGTACCAGGCGCGCATCAGGGCCGCGGACTAGGTAACAAATTCTTGGATGATCTCCGTCACGCCGATGCTTTGATTCACGTGGTGGATGTGAGCGGGACCACAGATGCTGAAGGTTAGTTGAGTGTACCACATTTAAAACAATGGCGTGAACCCGGCGTTGATAGATATCTACAGGAAAGGCCACTCGAGGATATGATCCATCAGTAGATATTGAGTGGCTGCGATCAGAGATTGTGCGATGGGTGCTAGGAAACCTGATGGAGAAGTGGTACGTTTGCGAATGCCACAATGAAACAAGGGACCCATGCTAATATACCCTTAGGGGTTCTATTAAGAGGAGACATCAGGCATTGAGTTAGTGGACCTCTGCAACACTATTGTCACTGGTGCATAACTAACTCTTCACACAGAGGCAAACCCCGTCGACACATTGCAGAAACAGTTTGCCGGTTATGGAAGTACCCAAGCTACTGTTGCGCGATTTATGGATAAACTTGCCTTGAAAGAGCCGTTGGAAGATTGGTCAGATGAGACGGTAGAGCTTGTTGTGAACGCTTTCATCGACGAGAAATTCCCCACAGTGTTCGCGTTGAACAAGATCGACCACCCAGATGCAGACAAGGTATGAGCATCTGGCTACTGCTTCTTATACCTTTCTGACAGAGGTTGCAGAACATCAGCAAAATTGCGAAAATGCAAGATCCTAAAAGCATTGTGCTTTGCTCCGCTATATCTGAGGTTTTCCTCCGAAAGCTGGCAAAGCAGCAGTACATCAAATACGTCGAAGGCAGTGAGTTTGTCGATACACGAGAAGATTTGATTGAAATGGGCGATCCAGATGGAGGAGGCCTTAAAGAGATGGATGAAAAATTGAAAACGTATGTTCAGCGCCCATAGGCAGGTTGCAACGTTGCTAACGACTTCGCTCCAGACGGGTTGAGAACATGAAAGATATGGTGTTGTATCGATTTGGATCAACCGGAGTTGTACAATGTCTTTCCCGAGCCGCAGAGCTTCTGGGCCTCGTACCAGTATTTCCCGTTCGGAACGTGGCGACATTCAACTCTGGCACTGGAACTGCTGTATTCCGCGACTGTGTTTTGGTCAATAAGTGAGTACTCTATATTTTAGTGCTGACGTAGTCTGTCTAACGACCTACCTATAGGAACAGCACTGTCGGTGATGTTGCCCGGAAGGTGATGGGTGATGTACCTATCAACTATGTCGAAGGAGTAGGTGGAACTCGAGTCTCCGAGGATGACATTGTGGAAGTTGGGAAAAACGATGTGAGTGCTTCCGGTAAAAATCATACAATATGGTTGGTTGACTGACTTATCATTGCAGATCCTATCGTTCAAGGTTGGTCGGTAGACCAATCCGTTTATGTACAGTCCCTCCCATGATATGACATTAGCAATGGAAATGTCTTATGACCTTGTTCACTAGTCCGATTCACACTACATGTGTATTATTACAAAATTTCCGGCGCCGAAAGCGAATGTATCGTGTTCGAACAGCGCCGTAGAACCTCACAAGATATCTGGCTTCAACTGCCCTTCTGCAAGATCGAGATGCAGTCAGCAACGTGAACTCTACCATCAATCGTATGTACTGACCTTTGCCCGTTCGTCATTCATGCCAATGACCGGCTCTGGCGCTTTGGGATGCTCCTCTTTGGCTTTCTTCCCATACTTGGTCCCGCCCCTTTCCGTAATTCCCTGCGACTTGGTATCATCTGCAAGACCATGGCTTGTTTTCCTTTCCCTCAACCCAGTGGCGGCTGCCTCTGAATGTACATCCTCCACATCACCCTTCTGAGCCCGCTTGCGTGTGTGCTCCTCCGCTGAACTCCCCTTCCAATCCTCGAAGATGGAGTAATAGCGGGCCCCAAGTGGTACATGGTGAACTGGCGGGTGTATGGCGGAACGTAACGGTAGGATGACCCGCCAAGATTGTCGTGAAACAGACATGGTGCGCAGCATTTGCGTAGTAGAAGAGATCTAGGGATTGCGCACAAGGAATCGCGGGTTATGGTAGATACATGAATAGCTAGAGCGGTGAATTTTACCGGTATGATTATCTGCTCAGTAATATGACGTTCCTATGCTGCAATGCGATTTTTTCCGAAAAGGGTAAGAGGAAACCGGTTCGAGCTTGGGGCCGGGCTTATCGATAAGGTCGTGATCGTCATCGGCGCGACCTCGGGACATTTTGAGCGGACAACACCAACCCTCCAACTCAATTCACAATGAAACGCGAGTACATCCCGATCGAGTCCCTGCCAGCTTGGCAGAGGCTCAATGGGATCACTGTTCAAGGCATCGCAGTTCACAAGGTTGGATCTGATCAACATGGCGCAGACAAAGGCAGTGCCCTCATCGCAACAGAAGCCCAGATGAGCAGCGAGAACGATGCAAAACCTACGATCCTACTACAGATTCCCTCTGAATTAATTTTATCTCTAGAGGCCGTCCATAACCATTCCAAAACTGACAGGTATTTGCGCGACGTGTTAGAGGCAATCGGCGACTTTGGAAGGGTATGGCTCCTCTCCATAACATTTATCTACATACCATGGGGCAAAAAGTTAAGATACACAGACAGCTAGAGGAGCAATCCTAATATTTCTACTTATTCAACTATCCCATAGCAGCCCCGACCTGCGTCCAGCACACGAGATCATTGGTATCTCCAATCCCTGGACGGAGTACGTGAAGTTCCTGCCTCCATCGTTCCCTCTGCCTACCTTCTACACCGCCGAGGAACAACAGCTCCTCCGAGGCACATCGCTTGAAGAAGCTCTAGCTGCGAAGTTTGCATCTCTGGAGCGGGAGTTTGAACAGCTGCGCCAGGCTACGGAGGGCATTGCATGGTGCCAGCGGAGCTGGTGGGATGAGAAGACTGGCGCGCTCACAATTCATGACTGGAAATATGTTGACGCTGCCTATCGGTCGCGCATGCTGGATCTACCTGGCAGTGGTCTAGCGATGGTGCCTTGTATTGATATGGCCAATCATGTCTCCGGTGATGGGGTCAAGGCGCTGTACGATGCAGACCGGGAGGGGAATGTCGTGCTTCAGTTACGATGGGGCAAGACTCTTCAACCCGGAGAAGAGGTTACAATCACGTAAGATATTTCTACAGTGGGCATGGTCGTTGGAGGCTTGACTGACGCATGGCATGACAGATATGGAGATGAAAAGCCTGCATCTGAGATGATATTTTCCTACGGCTTCCTGGAAAGCGGCACAACTGAAGCACGGGAGATATTCCTCAATCTAGATATCCCAGAGGATGACCCTCTCGCCCTTGCAAAGAAGATGTTCTGCCAGAACAATCCTGGAATTCGAATTTCGGCCGTGGAGAGCTCTGAAGAAGTAACATGGGAGAGTGGCCTTGCGTGGATTGCATGTGTCAATGAAGAAGACGGCCTTCACTTTGGGATTGCACAGACGACGGACGGCGGTCGGGAGTTGGAAACCACCTGGAAAGGCGAAAAGATCCAGTCGACCAATCATCTCCGCGAGCTTCTCGCTGTTGATCCGTTATGGGAGATTTTCCAACTTCGCGCCGCAGTACTACTTCTCGAACGGCTCGAAACCCAGCTCGCTCTTCTCCAGGAGACTGAGGAGATCATTTCGAATATGCAAGAGGACAAAACGGTTTTGGATTCTATGTTCCGACCTGGGATCTTCACCGCGATTGCTCAATATCGGACCTTGGAGGGGGAGCTCCTAGAAAAGGCTGTCGAGGAATTGATCAAGCAGGTAAGTGCTGATTTATGACTTGCCTCAATGGGCCATCTCCCTTCTAATGTCCCGCAACTGACCATGGCATTCAGAGAACAGAGTTGCTGGCTTCTAAAACGGTGGCCGAATATTTCCGTGCACAGACAGGGGAGCCGGATGAAGCCGACGACTTTTCATGATGCAAACCCAAGGGCCCAGATATTGTTGATGGGTCTAATCGAGACCATGAAGGCCAGACCACAGGCTAGAAAAGATAATTTCCCAACAGACATGCCAAAGCATCCGAAGGATTCCTAAATATCCCTCTAAAACCCACTCTTCCTTTAGCTAACAGGCTGCAGCAAGCCTAGTTAGTCCCGCCCAAACCTCAAAAAAAGAGCGTACCCCACACCCCCGTAGCGCATCGGACTAGGCGCTACTAGCGCTCAATTGTGACAAAAAGACAGGGGAACCATAGCTATGACGTTTATAGTCGAAAATCATTGGGTTGTAAAAGGGGGTTGATGAACATCATGATCTACGGGACTTGTATGTATGCGGGGAAGCCAGTTGCAGGAACCCCCCGACTTTCCGATATCCGCTGGACCGGGTTGGCACGGCAGTACATGTTTCATGAACGAACCCGGAGTATACCGGTGACTTTGATATGCCGGATGACAGCATACCTTCTACAATTAGAACCTAATATTGAGGGATCCGTACTTAGTGGAGTGCAGGAGACTGTAGATCACGAATCCAACAGACCGGAGCCTAGTGGGGCTATTGGATAGCAACCATGGTTCGCTGATCTCTCGGGAAAAACTCGCTGAGCGGAAGAAAACGGCATTTCCTGACAATACCATAATTACATACTGCGTAAATTAATTCGATATTAAACACAATATTAATATTGAACTATGTCCCGCGTCTTTGCTTAGGCTCTCATAACTACTAATCAGTTCAGTTTATATTTGTCCATGTGGAGTTTGCAATATAATTTACACGAGTCCTTTAAACTCCCAAGGTGCAATTGGTGTCTCCCCGCGTTGATCGTCCATGAACGGTTCGCCACTGTACTATGTACTTCACTAGATAATGAATATAAACTCTAAGATTCTGGGATTTGCTCGGCTTTTGTGATTAGAGTTGGGAGTGAAATTCTCGTCAGAATGATTTCAGAAAGACCCGGAGTGGCTAAGCACTGAGGTGGCATTCCGTGTTCAAAGTATGTACTCTGTACTAGTATCGTGTTCACCGGAAGGATCATGTCCATTTTTTTTTTGGGAAAGTAAGACATATTAACTATGGAGAGTGGCCGATCATCGGACCAAAAATTTAATACATGGGCCTATTAAAATCACCTGCATAGGAGACACGCTGCACAACCGGCGCCGGGGGAATAAGTCGGAAGCGGTAATGCCGTGACCGGTTTGAATCCGAGCACAATTTATTCCAAAGCCTAACCCAGTACTATGGCACATGCACTCCGCAAGTCTTGTTCCTTCATCGAAGCCCCATGTACTTTCTTCTAGAGAATTTCCATATCAGCCAAGGAGTTATGGAATGTGGAGTGCGGGGACCGGGAGGATCGAAAAGAATCCGGGGGCGAGTTTGAGACGGGGTATACGGGGTATACGGGGTAATGTCGCCTCTTGGAATAGCCAAAAGATCAGGTCCAATAATATAACGAGGCTTAGAAGTGAATATGTAGGTACAGTACGTAGTACACGTTCAATACCAACTTACCATCCAAAACAACGACAAGCTTATTGGCGCCCAAAGGTCAGCAGTCCCACTTTTAACTGACTCAGCATTAGCGTGTCCCCATCCTCCCGAGTCTCTCCCCCCCCATGTTTTTAGGCTTCTTTCCTGCATACTCTTGATCTGGAGATTTCTCTGATTCTTCAGTATTGTCTTAGTATTAAGAAGTTTATACGGAGTGTTGCGTTTACACTTCTGGCATCCAAATACAACAAACTCAACCCCGGCGGCCCGTGTGCCCCTTCTGCACAACATGCCTGGTATCTTACCTATGAAAGTGATCAAGGTCGGTGGAACTGGCACAACGAGCCGTATTGCCCAAGCCTGTGACCGATGCCGAAGTAAGAAAATCCGCTGCGACGGTGTTCGACCTTGCTGCTCGCAATGCGCCAACGTGGGCTTCGAGTGCCGCACCAGCGACAAACTGAGTCGCCGGGCCTTCCCACGTGGATATACCGAGTCGCTAGAAGAACGAGTTAGGAGTCTGGAAACCGAAGTCAAAGACTTGAAGGAATTGTTAGATGAGAAGGACGAGAAGATCGACGTCTTGTCCCGGATACATTCGTTTTCGCCGCCGCACCGAACCCTCTCCGTGCGGTCTCCCTCTGCCTCTGCGACAGCGAGGTCGAGCACCTCGGATTCATCGGATGGTGTGTTCCACGTACAACGATCAACCACCCGACCATCCCGACAGTCGGAGAACCCTTTTGTAGGATTTTCCAGCACCTTGGGATTTGCTAGTATGTTATGCGTTTCCCTTTGAAAATGGAAACAGTCAAATTAACTAACATACCCAGATGTCTTTACCGACAAACTTGTCAGTGAAGGGAAATCAGCAGTAAAGGTTCCGATAGGGGCACTCACTGCCCTGTCTACCTCGGTATGCCAGGGTGGCCCCAACCGGGCTGTGAAAACGCCACCCCGCTTGGTGTCGGATCAACTGATCAATATCTTCTTCCAAGAATGGGCGCCGCTGTACCCTGTGGTACATCGTCCGACCATTTTGAAAGCTTATGGGCAATATGTCAACAACGCCGAGACTCTTCAGCGCGATCCCCATGTGATGGCGCAGTTGAACCTGATTTTCGGTATCGCTGCTCTTTCATCAATGTCGCGAACCAACCAAGACCCAACTTTCTTTGAAGAAAACTGGTCCGCCACCCTTGATTCGCTCTCCGGTGAAACGTCAGTTTCCAGCCTGCAGTGCTTTGTTCTCGGTCAGATCTACTGCATGACCAAAGGGGACTACCGCACCTTGCTTCGCTACCGTGCCCTTGGTGTAGATATTTGTCACCAGCTAGGCATGCATGAAAACCAAGAAAGTTCCGCCAACCCGCTCGATGACGAGACTCGTAAGAAGGTTTTCTGGTCGCAATATGTACTCGACCGATTCTGCTCCGCGCTTACTGGACTACCTGTCCTTTTGCGCGAACAGGATATCGAGACTGAGTATCCGGTTGATGTGGATGATGAGAATGTCACAGAAACAGGGTTTTTACCAACACTTCCTGGCGAATCCACTCGCATTTCTAGTGCTCTTGCTCTCTTCGGAGCTGCAAGGATCTTGACCAAGGCTTTGGAGGATCTGTTCCCTTCAAAGTCTGGTTACGATGTGTACGTTTCGAAGATGCGCTCGGTGACAGGGCAATTAGATGAGTGGCTTCACACACTGCCACCACATCTTCGTCTTGAGTTTACTCAGGACAAGCCTAGCACGAACGTCACCAGTAGTCGGTCACCGCTTCTGGTAAGTCCCATCATGGATTCAATGTTGTTCTACAAGAATATACTGACCTTTCTATAGTCACTTGTGTACTATTTCATTCGATCTTTGATACATCGCCCGGCCGTCTGCTACGCTGACAGGAACATTCGCTCTGCGTCTGTTCTAGCGCTGTCCGATTCCGCGAAGCATATCATTCAGATCCTTGAGCTTCTTGATGAGAGGCGTTTGTGTCTGTCTGTCTGTATCAACAGAAAAGAGCTTATATTCTTTTCTGGGCTTGGACTCCTTTGGCAAATGCTTGATGTGAAAAGTGATAGTAAATTGGCCAAGGATAGCCAGAAACTGATTGGAACCGTTATACAGTACCTCCAAGCAGAATCCAGCGTGGCGGCTGCGGAATTCGGCACGCTGTCCAACACTCTGATTTCTCTCGACAGCGGAAGACATGCATCAATGGGCAAGCAACACAGCCAGGACATGGTGGCACCAACACAAAAGCCGAACAAGTCCCCCAAGAAACACTTGCAGGCCTTAAAGTCCCGTCTTATCGCCTGCTCCACCCGTGATAAGCAGCCTCCAGCCCAACCTTCCCCACAGTCCTCTCGCCGGAACACCATATCCGGAACCACACCCCCAGTTATGGCGCAGTCGCTCCGCTCCCCTAGCTGGAGCAGCCTGCCCCCCTCTCAGCCCGACCACCTCCCCACCCCACACTACCTCACCGACAAAGGCCATTCCCCCCTGGACCTAGCCTCGGACCCCCGCTTAGCCCCATCCCTGAACTACGACCACCCACGCTCCATGTCCTGCTCTACGCCTTCTGACCCCACAGCTGGGGCCATCACAATGGCCGACTGGGAGTATGTGCTAAGTGATATGGATCGCGGATACTCCAACATCTTCACAGGCATCTATGGCGGCAAAGAATGCGGCGAAGACCCAGGACCATTTGCCTCAATCGCAGCAGAATACAGCCGCAAACCCAGCGACCTACCCCTAGTCAATCACCTGCAGAGTGATATACACGGCCTCTCGCCCGAAGCGTGGTCTGCCAGCAGCAGCGACTTCGTACATAAGCAAGAACATACCACGCAGAGCGTTCTGAGCTATTCAAGTGAGAGTATGGGGAGTACCGAGGAGTCTCTGGCGCCCTATGCTGATGCCCGGGTCTGTCCTGAGGATATGGCTACCATCGATCCTTTCCATACTTTTGCTATGCATGGTGAAGATGAGGTTGATGAGTTTTCTCTGGTCAATGGCTGGGACCGACGGCTGGCCGTCTAATTGATTACGTAGCGTTGTGTTCTTTTTTGGAAGGGATTTGGGGTTTGAATTGGCTTTTTAGCTTTTCTGTTCTATTCATGATACCTGTGGATTCGGGGCGTTTATTTTCTCTTTGATTTCTGTCTGCTATTTGCCTCTGTCTATATGTTTTTGACCTTCTGATTTTGTCTGCAGTGGCTAGTGTCCTTAGTATATAGTATAGTTCTTAGGATGGTCGAGTACATATAAATCTGATGACCACGGCAGTCTTTCCACCATAACCATTGAAGGACTTGTTGTTCGCGGCCCTAACTATACCCGAAGTACATATGGATAGGGGAACCTTAAATCGGTGTCTTTGCATGTTCACACTTTCATATACAACATAGGGAAAAAAGACCCTAAAACCCTTGGCCCCATAACCCACGCCTTATGCATCTCAGCCTAAATCGAGATCAATGTAGGTACCCGCTACCTGAGGCTTAGCCTGGGATTATCGGCAAGGAATGAGGGTAACGCTAACCCTAACTCGGCATTCCAGCCAACTTTGCCCCACCGAATATTAGCACGTAGTTTTATGCCTTTCTCTATGATGTATATTATTATATCGCAGAGCAACATTTGAATTCGAGAATCCCTAACGACTACAAATTCCACAAGCCTATACCGAGAGCGGAGATAAACAGGACTAAGGACGAACTATAGTTCATCACCGTCCCCACACGGCCCGGCCGGGAACTAGAAGATCGGCCGTGGAGCTGAACATAACATCCCCTTACATCGAACTGGGGCGGAGCGATTATCGACGCATCCGCCCACTATTCAGAACCCGATGCAAATCAGGTATGCCACTAGCGCGGCATCATCGCCCCAGATTTTGATCGCACATCGAGGTCGTTGTGATTCAGCCAGGATGGCAATGCGGAACGATTGGAACCGTATTGTCGACCTCTCTCGGTGTCGATCGTCCGGGGTGTTGAGTGGCGAGATGCTGGGGAAAAGGATAAATGTCCTGCGACTTTGATTAAGAATCTTGTGAAGAGAGTCGAGGATGAGATTAAGGACAAGAACAGTATTCATGCGACGGATTGGAAGGAGACCCTTTAGTAAGTACACCCGCCTCCTGGGCTTGAGCGACGTGAACATAGAGTATGAATTTCAGTTACTGACATAGCATCTAAAGTGGGGCGGCGAACAAAGTCATAGACTTAATTGGTTATGCATTCAATGCTGGTAGTTCTTGCGAGGCTGCAGGCTGCTTCTATGTGGCGGCCTAATAATTGTGGTTAGGGCTTAAGGCTGTCGGGGCTCCCCGAATCCGTTTGGGTTTGCGTTTCATGTTACAAGGAATGGTGAAAGAACTGATAGTTTTTGAGAAACGGAATGGCAATAGATCTATCTTCTTCTTATGACCAAGGAAGTCCGATCACTGTGCAGTCGATGCGAGAATGAGATTATCTTAAGGTAAAAACCTGACAATAAAAGGTCACATACTGCATTTTGCAAGGCAAGGTTATTGATGCTAGGGTTGAAGGGTAAGAAGGAAGCTGACGGGTTATTTAGAATGATTTCGATGGAACATGGATATCACTATACATTTCGAATACAACCCCTAGTCTATTTGATAATACACAAGTCTATCCAAGCCCATGACAATACCAACGCTAGACAAATCAATAAACCCAGCTCTAACCCTCTACTTCTCCGTCTGCCATCCTTCCCACCTCTCAAAGTCCCCAGTATCCAAATCAATCAAGTCCAGCATACGCCCCACACTCTGATCAACCAAGTCATCCACCGATCCAGGCCGGATATAGTACGCCGGCACCGGTGGAAAGATTATCGCGCCAGCACGGGAAGCCTCCAGCATATTGCGCAGATGAATATCGCTAAGAGGTGTTTCCCTCGCAACGAGCACAAGTTTCCGTCTTTCTTTCAACATCACATCCGCAGTGCGCGAGATCAAATCGTCACAGAAACCGCTGTGAATAGCAGCGAGGGTCTTCATACTGCATGGCACAATAATCATACCATCAGTTTTGAAAGAACCACTCGATATCGGCGCAGCCATGTCGTTGATGTTGTGGACATGGTCTGCTAATGCTTTGACATTCGCTGGGTGGTAGTCGGTTTCGTATTTGATGGTGGCCTCCGCCCATTTGCTCATGACAAGATGGGTTTCAACGTTTAGACGACGGAGAGCGATGAGCGCTTTGATTCCAAGAATAGCGCCCGTTGCGCCGGTCATTGCGACCACGATGCGTCTGCGGCAGGTTTGGTGAGCGGCATCATCGATGGCTGGCATTGCTGTTTTTGCTGGGCTTCGTCTAGGGGAATAACCGCTGTAAGATAGGATGTAGATAATAAAGAGAAGAGGAAGTATTGATTGGAGGCTTGTTGAATGATGGCTTGGTTTTGTATGTAGTGGAGCTGTGAGGCCTGGTGTGATGAATGATCTGAGTCTGGCAACCCTTGCTAGTTTTATATTAATGCGTGGCAAGAGTAAGAATATGCAGGTGCCACTGGCTTCCTTGCCGTGCGTTTTCGCGTGGCTCAAAAAAACAGGACAATACTGTCAACGGCCGGCCGATCTTGGAGATCCGAATGGAGGCCTCCGAGGCGCCGAGGCCGAGTCCCGAGAGTTACACAGTTGAGTGGCACAACCATTTTAAGGGAAATTTTAATCAAAATAATTATGTCATAGCATAAATGTACCTAAACTTTCCTGGTGCTTTAGGAAATTGTAATTGATTGAAGCCTATAACTGGTCATTGGGATGTGAACCTCAAGTTTTCACAAGAATCCATTCTCCTGTGTATAATCAAACATCGGAACTGTAATATGTCAGCTTTTATTTGTCGCAAATGTACAAACTGAACGTACGGTTCATTATCGAGTCCAGATACGTGACGGGTGATATGTCGAACGGGTTGGGCATGTCCATGGACCCAAGGGGTCTACTCAGATATCAGCATTTTATCTTCGCCATCGATAGGAAACATACCCAGGGCCATATTGCGGCATCACATTCGAGGCCATTCCGGCCCAGTTCTCTGATCTTGGGGGCCTCGCCTCCTGCTCTCGTTCCAATACACTCCGTAGGGTCACCAAGGCTCGGATGTGACGAGCCGATAACCACTGGGTATCACTTTCCGGTAAGGAAGTACCATCGTCATTGAGCCTTGAATCAGATGATGAGAAGACGTTGATGACCTTCTGTTGAAGATTGCGACATTCGGGGTCATTGCGTGTCTCTTCCCAGATGCAGAGAAGCAGCGTCGAACTCAACACAGTATGCACCATCGACCAGCTCCGCAATGGAACCGTACTCAGAGCCTGAAAGTCAAGAAATGCCTTGGAAGCATCGATCAAACTCCCTTTGGCACGAGCCCGAAGAATACCGCCGTCGCGGAGAAAGGGCTGTGGGGTGGCCTGGTTCATTGCCGGTCGACAGAAAACCGATACACAGAAGGAGGTATGCATCCTGAGGGCCAAATGCTCGAGATGTTGTTGTAGTGTTGTGCAATGTTCCCGTGATCGAAGATATGGTAGACCCCGTTGGTAAGCATAATCTAGCCGCTGGAGGCCTTCTAATGCTCGATCAAATTCAGCAATGTTGAGGTTTTCCGGTCGCATGATATCTAGACTAATACGACAGAGCCAATGCATTACTTCTGCAAAGGACAAGTCTTGTCTCTCGAAAAGAGAGTTGTCCAGAGACCATCCCGTCACGGAAACAATAGGCGGTCTATCATAGCAAAGACAGAGTAAACTATCCTGCCAGACAATTGTTGACCTGTGGAAAGTCAGTGGTGAGTCAAGCATATATGCCTACGAATTCATACCAGAGAGTCCTAGCCTTCATTCTCACATGCTCAGGGCAGTGAATAGTACTTCTTTCAGTGTGCAGCCCCATGGTCTGGGCTAGTCGGATGGTTGTGCCCAGTAGTGCCCATGCGGCATCAGACTGTCCCATGTTCTGCAACGTGTTCCCCAAGATAAGCAGCGCTTGTATAATATCTAGCGATGGCCGAAACAGGAAATTGGCCAAGCGGAGAGCATGAAAGGACCGGCGAGCTAAACATCGTTAGCAAAGCCTGACGAGCATGTGACCAAACTTACCAAAGTCAGTTGACAGTTCATGTCGTTCGGAACAATCAATATCGGAGTAATGAGCCCCAGCGGCCAATGTTGCCAATAAAAGGCTAACATGGCCAATAGACTTATCAGTTGCCCAGCGATCAGTGATCTTCTCCGGGTCACGTAATTCACCAGTTGCGTGAGCATTGAGATAGGTGCACAAGTCAGATTCAAAGCGGTCTATGTTAGCAAGTATTGGATTGAATGGATATGCCGTGACACGATAGAAATGAAAGAATCTAACTAGTTAGCCGTATTCGTTTTTGATGGTTTGCAACCTACTTTAGGACCTCTGATCTATGAGGTATTACAATCAGCAGGGACTTCCATCTCTCGAGCGGCGTCTTCGAGTCCATAAAAGGATAATTGCTGAAGGTATTCTGCAGACCAAGAACAGATCCCACTTCCCGAGCCACTGATTCATTGACGTCCGATGCTCGCGAGCGCAAGATCGAGACAGCCGAATTGTCACCAGAATAGACATAATTCTTCGAACTTCCATCAGGATGTGCTGGCTCATTTCTTGCTATGGCCGGTGATCTGGGTGAAGCCGAGCCTGCTACACTATGGCGGGAAGCCCACCTGCGTCCCGAATGCGCGAGGGCGTAGGTACAGATTTCGGGGTGTTTTCGTTTCTGACAAGTACGACATGGTTGGCCCTTATCACATTTGACCTTTCGCTTTTTGCATGGATAACATGCAGGCGCCTCGTGCTCTCGACTCTTGAGTTGAAGCACCCGATCTGCTTCGTTCTGACTGACAGCGCTCATTCTGCCGAGGACTCCGAGGTACCGGGACTATCGAAGGTTGTCTTCTAACCAAGAAATTGTGTCGACTGAAAATGTGGAGCTCTCTCAATATAGTCCCGCAAATCCGAGCTCGGTACTGGTTGATATGGGCTACGCTTTCAACACTGAAGGATGGAGAGTCAACCCTGGAGGGTTGCCGCCTTGACAGAATCGCCCACAGGTAACCTGCGCGCACGGGCCACTTAACATATCACGTCGCGCAATTACCATTTAGAACGACTAGTGACAGGAGCTTTGTTATCGATGATTGAAATATAAGCGAACAAGGCATACTTATTGTGGTGGTCGGAGATTGTGGCAAGGTGGTCTACTTGAGTAGGGCAACCATCGGAATATATATTATAGATAGTATACCCAAGACCTATAGATTAATCCATAATTTACAGAATGACAAATATTAGAACACCTAGATGGTTACCAAAACGAAAGGAGGAACATGTATCAATGTGCCAATTTTGATAATATAAATAGCAGTACTATACAAGCTTAATTTACTCCTCCCGGAATCCCATCTTCGTCCAGTTGGCCAAAACCTTCTGTTTGATCTCCTCAGGATACGAGCTCTCAAAATCAGCGGCGACCCAATCTCTCCCGGTGGTATACTCACAAGGGAGAAGAGCATCAGAAACAACCTTTCCACCTTGCACTGGCGATCCATTTCCATGGGCCATATATGGAATAAGCGGGAACCCGCGCACATCCTCGTAGAAGGTCTCGTCAAGGTTAGGGCGGCAGCGAGTCGAGAAAGCCCACATAACATCTTTTCCATTATAAACATCAATGTCGTCGCCACAGAGCACTAGCCGGTGGATGGTATAGCCGGGCTTGGAGCCGAAGACCAGGTCGCCGACCTTCTTGGAGAATTCTTTAGTGTTGGTCTTCATTTCCCGTAGCTTTGCGGTGTCGATTCTTAGGGCGACCCAGGTCACTTGGGACTCGAACGGCGAGAAGGCGTCGGTAACCGGCAGACCGGCTTGTTGGCAGATCTTGCGGATCTCGGCAGCGGCCAGGGAGCCGATCAGGGTATGCTAATACTTGTTACTATGGAACCGAAAAGGTCGGGGTGGGAGCGGCTTACAGTTTCATCGGTTAGTCGACCGCACGATGACATGGGCATAATAGGATTGTTGCGGTAGGTGATGCGGTTGACCTTGTACTTGGGCCACAGGTGGGTATCTCCAGGGAAGACATAGCCGTGCATCTCACCGAAAGGACCCTCGGGACCCTTATCGGTGACGGAAAGGGTACCTTCGAAGACAATCTCAGAAGTGGCAGGCACGTAGAGATCGTTGGTATCGCACTTAACTAGATCTAAGGCGGAACTAGTCATGGCACCCACATATCCAGCCTCGGTCACACCATCAGGGATGGGCATGCTCGAGGCCATGATAGCGGCAGGGGGAACGCCGAATGCCAGAGCCCACGGAGCGTCGCGGCCTTCCTTCTTCCACATCTGGTGAATCTGCCAGATGTGCTGGGGCTCAATCACTAGACCAGTCAGGTGTTTATCATCGGAGACCATGGCGCGGGCAATGGACCAGTTAGTCCAGGACCCATCGGGTGACTGAACAATGTGCATTCCGTATGTTTGGATGTACTTTCCTCCATCGTCTTGATGAATCAAGGGTGCAGGGAGCTTGGTCAGGTCGACTTGGCTTTCATCGAGAAAGTTCTCTTTGCAAGGGCCGGTAGACACGATGTTGGGTGGAATCGGGGCCATGGTACTGGCCGAGAGCATCTTGTCGAGGACGTCGCGCATAGATGCGGTCGGTGGCAAGGCCAAGTGCCGTGCAAGTCGACCATAGCGATCCTTTGGGGACTTCCTGAGAGATGCAGGGGCACCAAGGATACGGAAGAGACCGTTTTCAGTGCCAATGAGATTGTTGAAAAGCGGGGCCTTGTCGTTTGTTTCACAAACCCGACGAGTGATGGCCGCGGCTTCAAGGTTGGGGTCAACTGGAAAGTCGATCTCAACTAGATCATCGTCGGCCTTCAACGCCTCAACAAATGACCGAAAGCAGAGGTGAGGTTCAGTGTTGGTCATTGCGAATCTATTCCTGTAGGAGGTTGTGTATATGTTATGTTGAGTGAAGTTGGACTTGCGAACGAGGGGAGCCCTTGACAACCAAGCCAGCTTAAATATCCCTTCGAGACTCTTCGACGCGGCAGTCTCGGATCGCCACATATTGCCTGTTTTTTTTTCTGTTGGAGTTATTATACAACTGCCTAGGTGGAGCTCACCCCCGGGGCCCCGGTAGTCGAGTCCTGTACTATTCGGGCAGTACCGAGCTACCGAACCAGAGCACCCGAGTGACCGAGACACCAAACATCCACGGTGCCCGAGCCAATCAATCTGTAGGAGTCGATACCGAAAATCGGATACCGGGAAGTGTTGTCACTATGCAGATAGATCATTGCTAGCGTGGTCGGCCGTTACCCCAAAGGGATGCTTATGTGGCGTCGGCACTTCGATCGGCAGCGGGGAATATGCAAATAAGAGGGATTGACTCCCAGAAAGCACAGAAACAGAAAAAGCAACAAAATACGTCATGTTCTATCAGCCTGGAGTGACAGAGCACAATCTTCCCCGTGATCCGTTTAAGGTGAGATTTCAGGATCGAAAATGGATAATATGCCTAACGGTAATAGGCTTGCGTGGTGCCTCGTCCGATCGGATGGATCTCAACCCAGAACAAAGAGGGGCAAGCGAACTTGGCACCTTACTCCCAATTCAACAATCTCACATTCGACCCGCCGTATGTCATGTTTTCTTCCAACCAAACCATGAACGGCACACGTAAGGACACTGTGATCAACGTGGAGCAGACTGGACGGTTCGTCTGGAATCTAGCGACATGGGATCTTCGCGAGGCCGTGAACATCTCGGCGGAGCAAGTGCCCTATGGTGTAGATGAATTTGAGCGTGCGAAGGTCACTAAAGAGCCGGCAAGCCAGATGAATGTCCCCATGGTGCAGGAATCGCCGGTGAAATTCGAGTGCGAATATCATTCTACCGTGCGGCTACCGGGAAATCCTCCAATGGGGACTGTGGACATGGTGATTGGCCGAGTAATCGCTGTACATATCAAAGATGAGGTGTTGACAGATGGAATTCTGGATATCAAGAAGACTAAGCCGATCGCGCGGTGTGGGTACTACCAGTACACGGTGGTGACGGAGACGTTTGACATGGTGATCCCCGGGATGTCTGAGGATGTTTTATATGGGCTGGAGGGGAATGCGAAGCGCAATCGTGAGGCCGAATCACAGAATACGTGATCAGGGGCCCATCATGTAGCTACTATCAGTCATAAACACAAGAGGTCGTTTTTGTAACTTATGCCGCTGAGTCAGCGGGATTTTACTCCAAGATCCAAACTTGGAAGGCCGTCTGTGATTGGTTAGTCCCTAAGCAATTTGATGTCCAGTTTGTTATACTTCGGACGGTGAGACCGGTGCAACCAGCTGGAGTGACCAAGCTCAAATAATCATGCGCAGGCAGTCATTAATACGGGGATCGGCTTCCGAGAATCCCTATAAATGTCACTCTTCAGGGGAACATCAGTCGCCGTTTGCACCTCATATCCCTGATTCCATCTTCTTGACCTTACATTTCCCAAGATGAGACCAGTATCAAACTCATATCCCAAAATGGGCGCATGGAAGGAAATCCGGTCTCGGTTTTTACCAGCTGTGATCGCCATGTTTCTCCTCCTTCAAGCTCTTTTCTTGGTGAACATGTGCTATCTTTACGCAACGCAGTTCCGAAGTGCCAACCGCTATCACAATTTCAATGTCCTTTATGTTGACTATGACGGCGGTATCATCGGAAAGTCTGTGTCAGATGCCTACCACCAGTTACAAGGAGATGGGTTTCCAACCTTGCTGCTGGAATCTTCTAATAAATATCCTCAACCAGAGGATATTCGAGCAGCCGTATGCCGTGGTGACTACTGGGGAGCTGTTTACACCAGTCAGGGTGGATCAACTGGTCTGGCCTCGGCGCTAGCAAACGGGTCCCGCCCGCCGATCTCGCTCACTTACATCTGGAACGGGGTGAGATACCCGGTTTTCTCACAGGCTGCAGTCTACTCCAGCATCTTGAAACTGATAGAAGCCACACGGTCAACATATCAAGCCAACAATGGTTCTTCCGTAGCCACGTCCATCGACCTCTCTAATGCAGCTACCCTCGAAGCGTTCCTCAATCCGATCCACGTGGATGAAATAAACATCAAGGGCACGGAGCAAGGGACAAGGGTCTTCTATAATACAGTATCCATGGTGATGCCAATCATCCAACAGTTCTTTTTCATCTTGGCGCTGAATGGCATATCAACCCATTTTGATGCATTCACCAAGTTGTCCTGGAAAGCGAACGGCCTGATCCGCGCGATAGCCTCTATCCTCTACACTCTCATGGGGGCACTGTTAATGACTGGCTATATCTGGGCTTTCAGGGAGTCCTGGGGACAACAAGGAAGCCGGTTTGTGTTGACTTGGGTCATGCTGTGGCTTCTAATGCACATCAACTTCCTTTTCTTCGATATCACGACTGCTTTCATCCCCATTCAGTTCATGCCATTTATTGTTCTAACATGGGTCATTCTCAATGTCGCCAGCACCATCAGCCCATTTGAGCTGAGTCCGGGTTTCTTCCGCTGGGGTTACGCTCTTCCCTCCCATGAGGCATACCAAGTCCTGATACAAATATGGTCTGGCGGGTGCAACAATCGGCTCTATCGTGCCCTTCCTATTATGTTCTCGTGGTGGATTATTGGTGTCCCCATTGCAGTGTATGCGATTCAATATCGCTGCAAAGCTGCTGTGGATGCTCTGGAAACCTTGGACCATCCAGGCGTGGAAAGTCAATCCGAAGCTAAAGATACGATAACCAACGAGCCAGTGACGCCAGCTGGTACCTCAAGTCGGGAATCTGATCACAATGGGGACTCCATTGAGCCTATTCCTCTTCGTCATATTGCCTAATCAGGGAACTACCCAGTGGAGATGGTTAGTAATGGTGATGGTGATTTTGGGAAAACTTGAAATTGACAGAAAGTGAGAAAAATAAAATATCGCTCGCTTAGCGATGGTTTGACCAATGTGGGCGCCACCCAAGAGCCATGATCCGTAGATGTATTCGAAGTACACAAAATGAGTGGTGTTCTCCTATCTCAAATTAAAATCACAGCGAGTGCCCTAGGCATAGAAATTATGTTCGCGTCTCCTTTTGCCTTGTACACTTTCTAAGCTGGATGATGTTCGATTAAATATACTTTGTGGCTAATACACAAGACAATGCAGTCATGAGGACCTCTTATGAGTTTCAATGTTGACTAATTGCATTTTTATTGAAAACTACATAGTAGCACCTCTCATCTACTGTCGCTAGCTCGCTTCTACGGAGTGAACATTAAAAGTGGGGCGGTAAATGCCAAGCTTCGTGGGCTCCCGTCGTCATCACTTCCCCAGATTCTTAGGTGATGACATCGACTAATCCCCTCAGCAATATTATTGGTCCCTAGAATAATCACGAGGTTCAGAAGACGGAGACTTCCACGCCACTCAAACCCCGAGGACGTGGAGTCTGAAGTTGATATACTGACCAACAGCAACGATGAACCACTCGCGCAATCCATGGCTGAACCAGCAAACCCGCTGAATGCAAACCAAATTTGGCCATTTATCCCTTAATTACGGACATAAGCGAAATCCCCATGAATCGTGCAGGCCCGGGCTCTTGAATCAACGTGTCATCGGTATGATGCGGCCTGCCTGGATCGGTTAGGAGTCGGCTTCCGTCACACTTCCTTAGTCGGGCACTGTATAAGAACGGCTGATCCGGCACAGCATAGACTTTGAAAAATTAGTTGCTAAATAGCAAACATCGCAGCCAAATAGTAATTGCTGGCACTATGTTCGATAAGATTTTCAAAACACGTCCGCAGGAACAATATGCAGATTCTCAGGTCCCTAGGGACTCAATGTCCACAAATGAACACGAGAAAGGCCCTAGTGATCTTGTTGACACGCCTATTCCGTTCCTCACCTGGCGCTCATTTGTTATGGGAATTCTCGTTTCTATGGGCGGTTTCCTTTTCGGTTACGACACCGGTCAGATCTCTGGCTTCCTAGAGATGAAAGACTTCCTTCATCGCTATGGAGAACCCGACTCGGATGGAACTAATCATTTCAGTAATGTTCGTTCGGGTCTCATTGTTGCCTTGGTAAGTGGTGTGCCTTTGTCATTTCTTACTCACATGCTAACACACCAACTCACAGCTGTCGATTGGTACTCTGATAGGAGCTTTAGTCGCAGCACCGATCGCTGACCGCTTAGGACGAAAGTGGTCTATCACCTGGTGGTCTCTAATGGTGTGTATTGGAATCACTATCCAGATCTCCTCACCTTTTGGCAAGTGGTACCAGGTCGCTATGGGTCGTTGGGTTGCTGGACTCGGAGTTGGCGCGATTTCTCTACTGGTACCTATGTACCAAGCCGAATCAGGACCGAGGCACATTCGAGGATCGTTGATTAGGTATGTTGGATGCCCAACCCTAGGGCCATCACAGACTGAAATTGTCGGCTTCTAACTCTCCCTAGTACATATCAGCTATTCATCACACTTGGAATCTTCGTTGCCAATTGTATCAACTTTGGAACCGAAGCTCGCACCGATACCGGTTCATGGCGTATTCCTATGGGTGTCACATATATCTGGGCCATAATCCTTGGGTTTGGCATGATGCTCTTCCCTGAAAGTCCACGCTACGACTATCGCAACGGCAAAAAGGATCAAGCTAAGAAAGCTCTTGCTAAAATCTATGGTATCCCTCATAACCACCGCGCTCTGCACCTCGAGTTCGATGAAATCAGACAGAAATACGAGGAGGAAAAGCGCAACGGGAAGATTAGCTGGATACAGATGTTCCGCGCCCCGACGATGGGGAGACGGGTCGCTGTTGGCGTCACCTTGCAAGCTCTGCAGCAGCTCACAGGTGCTAACTACTTCTTCTATTATGTGAGTTTTAGATATTGGTGAAATATCGAGCAGAAAAGAACCAACTAACACCTACTAGGGAACAACGATCTTCAATGGTGCTGGAATTAAAAACAGTTATGTCACCCAGATGATTCTAGGCGGCGTCAACTTTGGAACAACGTTTTTTGGCCTCTATCTAATCGAGCACTATGGTCGACGCCGTTCGCTCATAGCCGGTGCCCTATGGATGTTCGTCTGCTTCATGGTATTTGCCTCGGTGGGCCATTTCTCCCTAGATCGAGAGGATCCAGAGAGAACAAAATCTGCCGGTGTGGTTATGGTCGTCTTTGCCTGTCTTTTTATTCTTGGCTTTGCCAGTACTTGGGGTCCCATGGTATGGACGATCATCGCCGAGTTGTATCCTTCACAATACCGTGCGCGCGCCATGTCTCTGGCAACTGCATCGAACTGGCTCTGGAACTTCCTGCTTGCCTTCTTCACCCCCTTTATCACTGGCGACATTGACTTCCGCTTCGGGTATGTCTTTGCCGGTTGTCTTTTCCTTGCAGCGGCCCTGGTTTACTTCGCCGTTATTGAGGGACAGGGCCGTACACTGGAGGAGATCGATACCATGTACCGGATGGGAGTGAAGCCATGGCAAAGCTCGAAGTTCCGGTTCCCTGATAATCCAGACCTTACCCGGGATTCGTTGAATAAAGATGAGAATACCCCCGGGTCGGCTCATGTTGCTGATCCTCATACTGAGCTAAGAGAGGATGGGTCATGGATGCCCGAGACACGCGCGCAGTCATGAAGGTGGTTGTGGATTTGCGCCAAGTGCAGTTAGATAGTGCGATTGTGTACCGATAGTCTTATTTTTTCTTTCTCAACGATGTTGTTTATTCATCTAGTCGGCTACTCCGAAGCGTTAGCTTGCAACGATTTATATTTAAAAAATCTCGCCTATAGTATTGCTGTCGTGTGTAATGGTGTCTAGCGAACTGGTTCAATCTCGTCTGTGGGCGACTTCTTCACAAGAATACCATCCAAGTACTGTGTCATTTCCTCCGCATCTCCAAGCTCACCCACCCATCCGATATATTGATCCGGACGAACGACCACCAACGCCCCAAGAACCCGGTCAACTCCCCACTTCTCATATGCTGTTCCATCACAATATCGATCAAATATGCAAGGGTCATCACACCAAATCTTGTCATATGCCCATCCTTTCATCGAATCGAAAGGGCGCAGGATCTCTGGAAAATCAAAGAATTCGACCCCCTTCCACGGCGAAGCGTGGACGGTGAATACATCAACAGGACTCTCGAATCGACCAGGAATTCCCAGGTAGCGGCCAAGGGGTGAAATATTTGTTCCAGACTGTCCAGCCAAAGCCCGACTCAACGTCTCAATGCGTTGCTTCTGTATTGGGTTTCGTATATCCCCAGCTAAAACTAGGATTCGAAAGCGCCCATCGCTTTCCAGCGATCTTGTCGTCCATAATGGGGCGCCATCAGCCTGGTTCCGAAGCTTTACCGGCCGGACTCTCTCCCCAGGAATCATATGCCGTGCAAAGGCAAATTCAGCATTGTTTTCAGCTTTCTGAACAAGGCTGCTCGCGGGGTAAAAGACCTTCCATCCATCAGCGAAGTCCTCAAACCTCTCCGCAATAAGGGCCATGTCTGAAGCTTTCGTATCCGCCACGGCAGGTTTCTGATTATTGAACATAGGCGACCAGTTGCGATCGAAGTCAAGTAACATCTCCGCAAGCGGGTGTCTCTCAGCAGCATAAGTCTCAAGAATCTCAGGTTTGAGAGTACCCGCCACAGCAAGAGCAATTTTCCACCCTACGTTGAACCCGTCTTGCAAACTCATATTCATGCCGAGTCCCATTTTTGGCGAGTGTGTGTGCACGGCATCACCAGCTAGGAAGACCCGGTTGTCCTTGGTGGATTGCGCGGAGATCCGCTGTCCGACTTGGTAGACGGTCCACCAGCTACATTCCTTATAGTCAAAAGTGAACGGAGCGAATATGGCTTGCACACGCTCACGGATTAGGCCCGGCGTGATTTTCGAGCGATCGAATCTGTCGGTTGTACCCGCTTCACAGGTCTGCACGGGGACGTAGAAGCGGACTAAGCCCCGTTCGCGTGGGACTACAAGTATTGTGCCTATGGCATTGGTAACGATGCTTAAGCGGCGGACGTCCGCTATTGAAGATTTGAATTAGTGGATTCGGTTAGGAGAGCATTCTACGTAGGGGGTAGTACTTACGGAAGTCACTGAGGGGTATAACATCTATAACGCCCCTGAATACACAGTTATATTAGCTTCCGTGGCATGGTTGCACAATGAATACCACCAACCATATATGGTCCGTGTTAGACCCTTCCACGGGGATGTTCAGCTGTTTTCTCGTCCAGCTGTGGGCACCATCACACCCAATCAGATATTTGGCTTTAATTGTCTCAACTTGCGTCTTCTGTGGCTTTTTGCGCGGGGCAAAATCGGCCCGTTCATCAGGGAGCAAATCATTGCGGTTCACTTCGTTGCCAGCAGTTTCACACGCAGCTTCGACTTTCGAATCATCTTCACCAAGAACTCGGACCTTGACGGTTATAGGATACGAGTCAACATCAGTGTTCAATTCCTTTTCATATTCCAAAGAATCGGCGATCACACTGTATTCCACGTCAAGGTCAGAGTGCTCCCGAATACTATCGAGAATAAACCGCTCAATGCGTCCCTGAGTCAAGCATGTATTGTAGAATGGCGACTCCTCGACCCTAGATACATTAATATAAGCCTGTCGGATAAGCTTTCCCATCGGACCAGGGGCCTATTTGTTCGTGTTATCGTTAGACGGGGCGTAATATTGGTAGAAAATAAGCTGGCACACACCCAAATGTTTGCCTCAGTGCTGATAGATCCCTCCTGTATAACACGGTGTTGGAAGCCCATGCTGTCAAATAATTCCAGCGTTCGAGCACGAAGCCCATCTGCATGGCCTAGGAAGACCTTCGTGTCACGCTTGTCGATGATGCGTGCGTTGACTCCATAACGAGCCATCCAGTACGCTGCCATCAAGCCGGATGGACCGGCACCAATGATGAGTCTGCGAGAGCATATTAGGTTGTGCTAGACAAATATAGTGGAAACTTACACATCAGTTTGGGACTGAGTCGATTTGTCTTCTTTGTCCATGGCGTACGACGGATATCTCAATATATTTGAGCAGATGCTGAATGTTGACGCGCGGATAGAAATAAAGTCAATGAATCCTTCAATTCACCCGAGGTACCTTTATATAAAGCCATATGGGCATGCCGAGCTACAAGATACTAAGAGGAGGGCCAGCCCCTGTAAGCTGACTCAAGCCACAGATAATCACGAGGTCCGGGGTTGCAAGAATTCCAAAATCGTTCCTAATCCAAGGGTATTCCGTGTTAAGCTGTACAATAATCTCCCTCACAGGTTTGACATACGACAATGCTTATCCGATCAACATGCTTTCATATCCAAGCCATACCAGTCAGACGCCCTAGTTTCCTTTCTGTTGTGTCATGGAGATTCAGAAGCTGAAAATAACTGCCCGATTCTTAATGTGCGCATGTAGCGCAAGCTGACCTGACTAGCACGTTGCTCAAATTGGGCTGGCATGCTCGATTTTGAGGTGAGGATATTGCCTGAAGTTCCCCTTCAAACAATTCATCGGAGTTAAGGCTCCGGTATGGCGATTGCTTCGAAAAGCAATGTACTCGCTGAATGGTTATTAATGACATAGATGATATAATCCCAGAATCGCGTTCAAAATGTGATATAAGACTGGAAGGTTCCCCTCTTTCTAATCCTGGCTGATGAAGTTGACTTTCTGGGGAAGCACAGCAAGGGTTAAGTTGTGTATGTACTCGGATAGGAGATTGGACGAAGATAGGTTAAGAACAGCCAAGAGTGGCTCAGCGCCCATGTTATACAGACATATCGAACATTTTAACAGCAAAGACAGTGCCTCTGGATGTATCACATAGTTCAAATATAGGTCGCACGTGACTTGGTGGTTTCTCCAGCACTACTCCGTACTCGGGAACTACTTTCTGAGTGGGGACTCATGTTGGAAATTCATTGGAGCGGCCATTCCACTTATATCTGCAGAATTCCACTGTCATTGGTGTTTCAATCTTTCCTCGGATTGGCCTGATTAGGGAATCCGATGTACAACTATGTTGGTAAGCGCGGAGTTATCGAGGAGTCTTCCCAGGTCCAGAGCACCAATTCGATCGGAACTGATTTTTTTTCTGTTGACCAGCTGATCATCGGCACGGTTATTGAGCAGCCATAGATGGAAATTCGGCTAATTTCACTCCGTGGAAAAGGCCGGTTGCGAGTCGGAGCAGGGTCCTCCGGACGGCTCCCGGTGTATACTAACAGAACGTGTGGATGTCAAGCCGGAAGAGTGTCGGAAAATGCGGGCCATTGGGATCAAAACGGAAGAAACGGCTATTGCATTTTGACAAATCCAGGTACATAAGGAGTAGGATCAATGGGTATAACGTGTTCTATACGGAATTCAACGTTGTTAATGGTTATAGTTATAGTTGCTCAGGTCAGGTGCTAGGCAGGTGACCCCGGGAGCCCCTCGTTGATGACTCAGCCCATGATGCAATAGGTAGATAAGAAAATATATACAAGTTTAAAAGAAGTCAATTGGATGGATTTAGCCTGTAAAAAGAAATATGTATAATCTCGTAAATAGATTTCTTCAATTCTGTTAAATTTGACCCGTAAAAAGTGCTGAGTTGAGCTGCAAGCCAAGTACCCCACCGACATCATATGTACACTACCCCCACCTGGCCAACAAATACCTACGTGCAGCCCCTCTTCCTCTTCTTCTCCCCATTCATCCTCCACCTCACTCCCTTTAACACAAAAATGTATGTATCAAGCTGATTTGAAGTGATTTTTATCTCTAACGGTATTAGAATCCGCCATCATGGGTTACACTGATTTGGACCAGTTGGCTGTTAACACCATCCGTGTTCTTGCGGTACGTTGAGCTTCACCGGGCAATTGCCCCTCCGTTTCATACGTTCAATTGGAGCAACATTTGAGTCTTCGGCCTCATATGCAGCTTCAATGAACACAATCGAGGAAATCTGACTAACAGTTCGCTATCAGGTTGATGCCACCTCCAAGGCCAACTCCGGTCACCCCGGTGCCCCTATGGGCATGGCCCCCGTGGCCCACGTTCTGTTCAACAAGTTCATGAACTTCAACCCTAAGAACCCTGATTGGGCCAACCGTGATCGTTTCGTTCTCTCGTAAGTGCTTCCCTCGCCTGAGGTCAGGCTGGTCATGGCAACAGCCTTTCCATTCAGACCGAAATAACCGCGCTGTTGGAACACCGGCTAATCTCGAATTGGATAGTAACGGCCACGGCTGCATGCTGCAGTATGCTCTCCTTCACTTGTTCGGATACGCCATCTCCCTGGATGACCTGAAGAACTTCCGTGTAAGTCCCTCTAAATTCTATGCAAGCAGCCTTTTACTAATTTTAATAGCAACTCGACAGCATCACCCCCGGCCACCCCGAGGCTCACGACACCCCCGGTGTTGAGGTCACCACTGGTCCTCTTGGCCAGGGTTTCGCCAACGCTGTCGGTCTTGCCATGGCCCAGGCTCACACCGGCGGTGTTTTCAACAAGCCCGGATTCGAGCTTTTCAACAACTACACCTACATGTTCTTCGGTGATGGTTGCGCTATGGAGGGTATTGCCAGTGAGGCTGCCTCTATGGCTGGTCACCTGAAGCTTGGCAACCTGATTGCCATCTACGATGACAACCACATCTCCATTGGTAAGATTGATTCGAGTACCCCAAATTAGCTATTAAATGCTGACAGGTTATCTCTACAGATGGTGACACCAAGTGTGCCTTCACTGAGGATGTTATGAAGCGCTTCGAGTCCTACGGCTGGCACACCGAGTGGGTTAAGGATGGTGACAACGACCTCGCGGGTATCGAGGCTGCCATCCGCAAGTGTCAGCAGGTTACTGACAAGCCCTCCGTCATCAAGCTGACCACCACCATTGGCTTCGGCTCCAAGCTTGCCGGTACCGGTGGTGTCCACGGCAACCCTCTCAAGGCTGACGACGCCCAGGGTGTCAAGAAGCTGTTCGGCTTCAACCCCGAGGAGAGCTTTGCTGTTCCCCAGCAGGTTTACGACATGTACCACAAGCACGCTGCTGAGGGTGCTGCCAAGGAGCAGGAGTGGAACCAGCTCTTCCAGAAGTACCAGTCCGAGCACAAGACCGAGGGTGCTGACCTCGCTCGCCGTCTCTCCGGCAAGCTGCCCGAGGGCTGGGAGAAGAAGCTCCCCGTCTACAAGCCTACTGATGCTGCCGTTGCTTCCCGTAAGCTTTCCGAGGCCTGCCTCGAGGCTATCCACGACGTCATTCCCGAGCTGGTCTCTGGTTCCGCTGATCTGACTGGCTCCAACAACACCCGCTGGAAGAACGCCGTTGACTTCCAGCCCCCTGACCTTGGAATTGGTGAGTGGGCCGGCCGCTACATTCGCTACGGTGTGCGTGAGCACGCCATGGCTGCCGTCATGAACGGTCTGGCTGCCTACGGCACCATTATCCCCGCCGGTGGTACTTTCCTGAACTTCGTCTCATACGCCGCCGGTGCCCTCCGTCTGTCGGCTCTGTCCCGCGTCCGTGCCATTCACATTGCTACCCACGACTCTATCGGTCTGGGTGAGGATGGCCCTACTCACCAGCCTATTGAGACTCTGGCTCACTTCCGTGCTCTGCCCAACTGCATGGTCTGGCGTCCTGCCGACGGCAACGAGACCAGCGCTGCCTACTACTCCGCCCTCACCTCTAAGCACACTCCTACTGTCATGGCTCTGACCCGCCAGAACCTGCCCCAGCTTGAGCTCTCTACCATCGAGAACGCCATCAAGGGTGGTTACGTCGCTGTCGACACTCCTAACGCTGCCATCACTATCGTTTCCACTGGTTCTGAGGTTAGCATTGCCATCGAGGCTGCCACATACCTTCAGGAGAAGCACGGTGTTGCTGCCCGTGTTGTGTCCATTCCTTGCTTCGAGGTCTTCGATGCCCAGACCAAGGAGTACCGTCTCCAGGTCCTGCCCGACGGCATCCCCGTGCTGTCCGTCGAGGCTCTGTCCACCATGGGTTGGGAGCGCTACTCGCACGAGCAGTTCGGTCTGAACCGCTTCGGTGCCTCCGGTCCTTACAAGGAGGTGTACGCTGTAAGTTATCTTCACTCATTGTCTCATGACCATTCACTAATTATCCGCAGAAATTCGAGTTCACCCCCGAGGGCATCAGCAAGCGTGCTCTTGCCACCATCGATTTCTACAAGGGCCACACCGTGCGCTCTCCCATTAACCGTGCTTTCCAGCAGATCCTGTAAGGGACGGAACGAATATGACGTAACAAAATGTTTTGGTTTTTTAATAGGGGAGCTATGGCCCTCTAGATATACAAGAATGCGAATAGAGCACTCTATTGTTCACTTTTCAAATCAGTAACCCTAAAACAGTAATTATATCAGTACTTAAATCGATTACAACTCTCCCCATTTCTTCTTCTGCAACTCCACAACATCCCTCAACATCTCCTGTTTCTTCTTCCGTGTCTCAGGAGTATACGGCCCATAAGCGTCTTCAGTCTGCTTAACAACCAAATCTTTCCATGCCTGTTCACCCTCAATATCGATCTGCCCTAACTCCCCCCACACGTTCTGAATCGTCGGGGCAAGCTTCTGCAAAAATGCCCCGATTCCACCCTCTCCACCACCAGCATGATAACTTTCAAACACACCACTACCAGCCCACCGCGGCCCCAAACTAGCTGTAACGAGAGAATCCAAGTCCCTTGCTGAGACGACCCCTTCCCCAACAAGATGACACGCCTCCCTTAGCAGCGCAAAAGCAAGCCTATTTCCCACGAACCCAGGAATCTCCTTATGCAGAGTGATAGGCCGGTAATGCTTCGAACCCGACTGCTCCCCGCCCGAACCACCAGCGCCATCCGAAACCTGGGGACCAGGTATATCGCCGAAATATTTCTTCACAAACTCAACCCGGTCGACATTAGTCTCAGGCCCGGGCACAATCTCAACAAGCGGCATCAGATGCGGCGGGTTGAACGGGTGCGCCACGAGTAACCGCTCCGCAACACGGTCCGCGGCCTCGCATCCGGATGCTTGGGCCGACGCTGGGATTCCAGATGAACTGCTCCACAGGTGGGCATCTGGATCTGCGAGACTGGCAACTTCCTTCCAGAGAGCCTGTTTCGAGGATGTGACTTCCGGGCTTTGTTCTTGGATGATTGTTGCGTCTTGGATGGCTTCCGGGAGGGTAGTGGCTAGTTTTAGGCGGGAGGTGCTGATCAGCTCGTCAATTAGGGTTGAGTTGACAGAATCGAGGAGGGAGGGTAGTGTGCTCCGGATCTGGGATTCGTAGTCCGGTCGGGGGTCGTAGACTGTTATGCTGGTGTCTGGGCGGCGGAGATGCATTGCTAGCATTGAGAGGCCGATTGTGCCTAGGCCTAGGAGGGCGATTCGGTGAGGGTATTCTGTAGCCATTGCTTTTGACTTTTGGGGATTTGGGCGTTGTTGAGTGTTAGGGAAAGGACCAGGAGTGGGTTGTAGCTATAGGTCTCGGGGATGTTGCCGATGAGTGGGGAATAGCGGGGAGGGAATTATACTCCGTACCTTTCGGTTGTATGACTACATTGTGCAATATAACTAGCTACAGAGATCAATTCAGTTGTGACAACTCAGCTAATATATTAATGCTGGCAACTTGTATACGTAGTAGAGGGGACGACCAATACCTACATACTACATACTATATATATATATATCGTAGAAAAGCGTGCCGAAGAATTACCTGGAATAGGGCTCGTGTCCGATCAATATCAACACTTGGTGTCTATTAGCAGACCTTACGATGACATTGAAATGACTTGGGATGATGGGTTCCTTTCATGCTGAGCCTCATCAGCCACCAGTCTGCCTCTGATTGGTGCCACGACACATGGCGCTAGCTATGCACTGCCTGGGCCTCTGAAAAAGGACAACCTCCAGCATTTCACCCTCACCACTTTCCTATTATCAGTTCGCCAAGTCATGTCTGATCCTATCTCTGTAGCTGGTACCGCTGTCGGTATTATCTCACTCGGTCTGCAGGTCTGCGGCGAGATTGTTTCGTTCTGCCAGGCATGGCAGGGGTTCAACGAGGATATCGAAACCATCAGTCAAAAGGCCAATAGTCTTCGTATGCCACTGAGAGCTTTGAGGGAACTGATTGAAGACTTCCGTACTACTGATCCCTCGATCGCGACCGACCTCGAAGAGAAGGCGAAGAGCATCGAACAAGCAGTAAAACGGCTCAAGACAGCGACAGACCGATATTCATCTACCACATCCGACAAAGACTCTTTCCGGTTCCAGGTCAAAAAGGCGGCATATCCCTTTCGAAAGGAAGGGTTGCGTGACATAGCAAGTGACCTCGACAGCGTTCAGGGAGTGCTTGATACGGCATTACTGATGTGAGTTTGTTTTTTTACTAACTGCTCAGGGTTAACGCAATCTCGTCAGAAATGAGATCCATGCTAATTTTATATTAGCTATTCGGCGCAAAGCACTCGAAATTTAGTGGGGGAGATGCAGCAGATGGTAGCCCCTCCTATACCCAAATACTCTATGTCGCCCATATTAATTGATTTCAGCGCTTGGCATTACAAGATCTACCAAAGCAATTCATGCCACCACCAAGTTTACTACAGTCATGGTGTGCCCAACATGAACAACTATCTGCATTGAGCTCATCTTTGCAAAGCACAACGCAGGGTGACCATACGATACAAAACACCCCCATCGCAACAAATCCTAGTGGAGCCTCTCCAGATTCATACAGAACAGAAACGACTGATGAAACATCAATTACTTACCACGATCGGAATCCAACGAAGAATAGACGTATACCTCGTTCACGTCCACCACGGAAGGAAACAGAAGTCATCAGGCTATCCTACCAGTATTATAGTCGCATGTTGAATTTTGCCATTCGAGCCTCGTTCTCGCTTAGCAAGGGTGCTGGAGGATATTCAATTGCTCCTTCGCTACATCTACAGCCCTTGGTGGACTTAGAAAATAGTGTGGGATACCGCATTATTCGCGAGTTTGCGATCGAACTTAGGTTTAAACCCATCACAGTTGAATTAGGCCTCACTAGCATGTTACAGAGCCTGCAACGCGCATTCGATCTCCAAGAGGCAACTCCATTTGATTCAATTTGGATGTGGGGTAGAGAGATGTCACTTTTTGATGTAGGTTCATCCCGCATTTCGATACCAACCATTTCTCTGACGCAAGCAGGTTTGTTATTACTATAACAGACTCCATCATTATTCGTCTGAGTCACAGTCTAGAATTCTCCACTTCTTACTGGATTGTGGCGTCAAGCCTGGTACAATAGATATTATGCACAATGAAGCCGTCTCTTTTGGACAAGACTCTATAGGCTCTCGCCTACTCGACCTTGACTGTTCCTTCGCCATCAGTATGCCTCATTCTCTAGCTAGGAGGCAGTACATTCGTCACCTGCTTTGCCACAGCGATGAGTGTATGTGAACATTCCCCGTATCCTATTCAACGGGACTAATTTGCTTCAAGTAATCCAAATCCCGAATATCATAAGAATCTTACTCCAAGAATCCGAGGATGAATTGAGGGATGTCCTTGACTCTGGAACCGTTTCCCCAAATGAAGAGATTCACGCTTCTCCGCATCGCATGATTCGTACTCCCACATTGCTTGATTACGCATTTGGATGGCCAAAAGGGATACAAATCTTACTTGAAGCAGGCGCTGATACAAGTGCGCGGACCTGGAGAATCCCTTATGCCGAAGATAACAACAACGAGGATACTTATCATTCAGTCAAGCTTCTCATTGAGGCTGGATTTTCGTGCAACTGGTTTGATATTGAGAGATGCCAAGATGACGGCAGTGAGAAAATAAAATCGCTTTTAATCAACGACTTGGTCGCACGGCAGCAAAGACTTTGGCTTTTGGCCCAATCCTGCTTGCCTGCTGGCCAACTTCCAAACTTGATCTCAATGGACGAGAAGACAGGCAAAATTACGATACTCGACGTACACACTGCAGAGATATATGCTCGCCTAGTGAAGAAAGGGATATCCATTGGTACAATCCGCCAGTGTGGGAATTTTCAAAATTGGAATAATTTTGGCTCTGTTCATCATTCTCCAGGTTTCTCTGTCAAGACACTGGAGGAACTTTGTCAAGTTGGCTTCCGGGATATTAACCAGAGAGACTCTCGAGGACTTACACCTCTCATGACCACAATTGTTCCATTTTGGAGGAAGGAAATGTGGGCGGAGCGAATGCATTGGCTGATTTCCAAAGGTGCTGATCTGGATCAAGAAGTACCCGGGACCAGTTCAACCGTAACACATCATCTCGGGTTCAGTGTCGGAGAGTATATTTTAAGTTTGAGGGACTACGATCTACGCCCAAAATATGATTTGGAACTCTTCTCGATGTTGGAACAGTCTTTTCTTCTCCTTCCTTCGGTTCGGGATAGATGTTCCTGCGCGTGCTCTCCCGGCGGGTGCACTACGATGTCGGTATTGCTACGACGTATTGTTGGGAACGTCGATTCTAACCGGTATTGGATGGTAGAGCTAAGCCATTTGTTCCGGGAGATAATAAAATTTATCCTTCGGTGGACTAGAGGAGATACAGAAATTGGCTGGGGGGTTATCAGATTTCTGACCTTTGATGCATTGGGTCTGAAACATTCGTGTTGCGTCAACATCTCCGCTCGACGCTATCTTTGTCCCAAACTTGTCAGCAGAGAAGAAGAAGAAGTCGAAGAGATTCATGACGAAGAAATGCCAAGAATATTGGAACTTGAAAAACTTCTCACTGAACTCAAAGTCAAGTTTGACGAGCTTAACCAACCTGTGATGGAATTTTTGGAAGGATACTGGCACACTCGCATGATCGAAGTTCTCTCCCAACGTGATCCCTACGACGAGGAACATGTCACTGAATCAAGACGAATCGGTGTCACGCTAGAGCTGGATGAGTGTGTTGTCCCTGACAGGGCATCTCTGCTTATTGGCTCAAAGATCAAGCCCGAGCACAGTACATAGAGTGAGATGTTACGCATATCGATCTTCTATTAACTTCCGTTCTGATCACCATCTTCTACAGGGCACACTTTGGTATCAATCTAAGTGATGTCCTCCGTTTTATGTCATCTCGAAGCATATTATCGCAGAGAAATTGCTTGCAACCACATCCGATGATGCATCGAGCAAGAGCCCTATACCAGTATGCTTCACGGCATGTCGACAAGCCGCTTCCCATAGCATGTCAGGGGTTATCGCGGGATGATAGATAGTACCTAGTTTCTACCACAATGTTTGTAGCTAAGTGCACGTTGGGTCACCTCAGGGTGTGAGAAGTTTAACTTCAATGCCACACCCCAAATAGCGATGGAACTCACAGAAATGGAGACAAACACCCCATACTGAGAGTGTAAAGGAAATAAAGGCGTACTGTTGGTATGCAGAGGAGCCAGAGCAACGGGGTTCAGGAAGATATTCAATTGTCTTCATTTTGAGTCGGCTCAAGTAGCTCCATTTTCCAAGTCCGCAAATGCAAGCCCTGTGACTTGATCGAGTTCCATAAGCTCATCTGCCACGGGTAAAGATTGACCAAAGATATTGTCCCACTCAACCCAGTCAAAGTTGAGACTCGGATCAATCATGAAGGGGGTAGAAGGTTGAGGAGGGGGCAGTATATTTTGATTGGCGGTGTCCATGAAGTTGAGGGTAGGAGAGTTAAGGAGGGGTTGTTGAGCCGGGATAGTAGCAGCAGCGGGGCGAGCAAAGGCTACGCCAGGAGCGAATTCTTTGTCGCATGACGAGAGGGTGGCAGTCACTGCTGCGCTCGTAGTAGGTGCGGTCATGGCTGTGGATGCCATGAATTTGAAGTAAGGTGTATCTGCAAAGCCAGACTCGGTTGGCCAATCCTGTCCCGTCCAGGGCAATTGTGGATTTAGACCAGCTTTCTGCCATGCCTTTTGGCGCAGACGACGGATCATATCCCAGGCCTCGCGGCCTCCATTTCTCAATGGGCGTTGTGTGAAAATGTCATCTCCGCCACTTACGACGCCCCCGTCCGGTCCAGAAAGCGACATGATTTGATCAATGAATCCGCGTGATACGGAGGCTTCCGGGCTATATGGTCGTTCGTACAAGTCGATGAGAATAATCCTGGATCGAGTTAGCAGGGCTATTAACTCATGCGTTCAACATACATCATTGCATGCATGGGCTGATGATTTCTTGGCGATCATTAGCTAAAATATCTGTATCTAAAAGATCAGAATACTTACCCTGGCCAGCCCCATTGAAATGGCTGAAAGTCAGGATCCGTCGCCAATCGAATAAACTTCTCCATGAATGCGTAACAGTGGCGTAGCGCACTATTTGAATTAGACTCAATAGCCAATGCCTAGGTGAGTCGCGACACTTACCTTTGGCGTGCTACGGGCCAAATCCGACTTCGGGGATTCCTGAGGAATGGTTGGTACGCAACACAAAATGCCTACATCGATGTTAGTGCCGAATGGGATTTCTGCAAAGACAATTTGACCTTATCAATGAACAATGACAAGATAATCCTAGCCCATTTATGAAACGCGACGAGGACTACTGAATGATATTGCTCCGGGCAGCCAGATGGACCTTCAAGAGGAAGTTCCTCCGAGGTGGAACGAGGAGCTCTTCTTGAAGACACTGCTGACTTTTCAGTTGCAGTTGCCTCTGGAATTCTGTTTATGATAGAGTTGAGTTTGACTTGGAGATCATGGAGGACAGAGCGGAGTTCAACCATATCTCCTCTTGTAAGAGGTTTCGTGCCTAGCTGGATCTTTAGTATCCTACGAACAGACTCTGCGGAAAGGTCAGTCCACGCCCCTAAGATCTAAGCCTAGTATCACTCACGGGCCATTATGCATTTGCCCTTTGCAGACAAATAATACACGTTCACCATCGAGGGGCCACCACAGATAGTCGGGTCATCTGGATTATCGGGTGGCCGCTGACCGCTGGCAACCAGTTGTTCATACTGTTCCGCTTCGGCAGTACCCAACAAGGTGTCCTTGACCTCGCTCGTCTGCCGAGCATCCCAGTAAGTCTCATCGGTAAGCAATGGCGGAAGCCCACTCGACATCGCGATAACGCCATCCATATGCATGATGTGCCACCATAATCGGCGTCGAAACTCTGCCTCCCAAGGATCGATGTTAAAATGGGATGGATCCCGGTGTAACCCCAAGGTCTGTGCCACTCTCACTGCTAAACTGACAAACAAACTACTTGCCAGAGGTTCTTCCTCTCTTGACAAAATTGTCTGTGCAATAAGATAGGCCGCTAGACCGTGAAGTGTGACGCTATGGGGGAACGAGATCTTGGCTAACCAACAAGTAACCTCCTCGCTATACTTTGTTGAGAGGACAGCTCGTGACGAAGTATTGAACTCTGTCTCCATTGTTCTCATAGAAATCGAAACTGAGCCTCCAAACCATATAGCGTATAGGAGTGGAATGAAAGAAGGACTAGGGCATGGCTCCCCCGTATAACTCTTACAGTCATACCAGTCCCAAAATGTATTGTAAAGTTTTAAGATCATTGGAGGATGAATGATAGGACTCAGTGAGTGGACACCAGACATGAACCCCCTGTAGAGGATGTCACTCTGCCATTTCGTCGGAACATGCTTAAGCATATCTGCTTCCACTGCCTTATCACTCACCGGGAAATGACCCGATGGGATGCAAACAGCTTTCTGGATGGGTCCCGAGAAGCCGAGCGGAAAGGGAGAGCGCGTGGTTTGGCTAGTGGTTTGGCTGCCTATCGATTCTCTCCGTTGTCTTCGCTCGCTAGAAACTGAATCGGTTCCAGTATGATCACTACCTGCTGCTAAATCATGTGACCGATTCTGGTTTCCGAGCAATTGATTGAGTTCATCCATTTCATGGGAAATGTAAGCCCAATACGTTGTTCCAACATATCTAACCCAAAATTAGACTCAAACGCACTTCAGCTTAGTGTATCACTACTAACCTTGAACTCCCGCCATCCCCCAAGGACATGTGGCCCAAGTTTGAAGTCCCCAGTGGATCAACAAGATCTGTAGTTTGGCCGTGCGGAATGGGGAACTCATCGCTGCTAGAATCAGCAGGGACACTGAGCGGACTGTCTGGCTGTGTGACGAGAGATTTGGTCCGAGAATTACTGTCCATCGGCGCGGTTTCCACGCTGGGGTTTAATCCAGACGCTTGCGCCTCCGCCGATTCATGAGCCCGATTATCCCTCTTGAGCCGATCAACAAGCGAGACAAGTTGAGCCAGATGGGCTTCAACTGCGCTTAAATCTGTTTTCTGGACATTTGATAATGACGCCGGCCTCGAATGATCAAACGTCGGCTGCTCATCTGTATTTTCGTCATGAATCTGTCTCTGTCGTTTGTTTCTATTCGGCCGGCGGGTACGACTGGGCTTTTTGTCACCTTGTTGTGGTTCGGCGTTGTAGACACACTCGGTGTTGTTTTTCGTGCAGTTGCCGCATACTGGAAGTATCTAAGATAAATGTTCAGCCTAGGCACCATGCTCCTGAGCTTATAATGATCACCTTGTCGCATTTGACTTTGCGCCGACGACACGATTGACAGCTATAGCTCACACGTTTCCGGGTAATGGGTTGACTTCCTGTAGCCGAGGGCGGACGCGCTTGGCCGGTACTAGACGTGTTGGATGGCCGCTCCTCAGGCTGCATGTTCGGCGCGCTTGGTTGGTGATTTATCTGCGTGCCATTCGTCCAATCCAGCGACCAAGTATAAGTGACATTGGCAAATAATTAAAGAATTATGGCATGCATGTGGAACAACCCAGCGTGCAGATATCTAGAAATTGCGTGGTTCCATGAGCCCGGGATCGCGGGGCCGGAGTGATTACTCAGCACTGCGGACCCGTCCACGGGTGGACCCTTGCCCAGCCCGGCGCTTCACCTCCGATCAAAACAGACTTATTCAACTACCAATATGCCATCAATTTTCAAGAATTATACATTGAGCAAAGGGCAAGTCCTTGCTAATCACTCCAGCCGTCGAGTAAGAAGGCCACTCCATTCGTTAAGCACCAAATTGGGGTGATATACCATACACTACACCTGCCGGTCGCCTTGGTAGACACGACGAAATCGATATTATACGCCAATTACCGTTAATTGATAGTCTCTGAAGCAGTTCTTCCAGATTGGATTGTAATGGCGGATTGACGTGGATGAGCTGCTTGCCTATGCCAGTAGCGGTGGGATAAGACTCGCAAAGCGTGGCTCAAGTGGCTGGGCCTAATGCAATGGCTTCTCAGTCAATTTAGAGATTGGAGGATTCCAATACCACTGGTAATGATGGCGCAATTCAGTATTTTGCGAACGTGGTAGTGCTGTTCTCGTTTGTTCCCCCAGTTCCGCCAAAGCCCAAACTCAAACGTACCTAAAGCTGCTAGCTAAAAGACGTTGTTTTGCCAACTTCTCCCAGCACAGAGCGAAGTACAATAGGTGGTATTTCGCTCCACGTCCTCCACTCTGGCCTGGCACATTACGATCCGTAGCCAGGCAATCCGGCTGCCATTGCGGTTAATGGAGTACTGTGTGGTGCTCAGAATATTGGTACGTTTGGTAGAAAAGGAGATCAGACTATGATAAACCATTTCATATTGGTGTATCAGGGTATGTGAATCTTCTGAGGTTTTTAGCTGACATTAGCGATGTTAGGCTAAAATTGTCTCCCATAGATGCTTTCAAATGAAGCACATACAGTGGGTTAATGAGTTAAAAAAGCTGTTTCTCCGAGTTTCTGAGAGTTTGGCCCACTGTGACAATGCCGTGCCTTGGTACAACAATGGAATAAAATCCAAGTCCGAGGTCCATTCTGATGTCTTCTCGGCCGAGTGAATCATTATTCTTCTCTAGTGTGCGCTCATAGCTTATGCCCGGTTTTTGGGCCTAAGAACCCTTACAACAATACGTAATATCCGAAGTCGACTTGCCAGTTATGTCTCAGAACTTTGGTCGGATTGGACAAATCTTTGGGGCTACTCAAGCCTTTGCTAGCCGGCTGTTCAATGCCAAGGTCAGCCCGAATAGGCAATGAGCGACCACGTGGTGTGAAAATAAACCGACCGCTAACATTGTGCTGGCATTTGTCGGAAATTAAATCACCGTAAACAGATTGTCCGGGCTGCTAACCTATTCTTTATGTTATTAATCGCGCGCATACTGAGAGAAACAAAGATTCAATGGAAGCATCGGAAACCCACGTCTAAGCAGCCTGTGAGATTCGGCATATCACTACGCCACTTAACCCGACTTTTCGGACATATGCTGCAGATCTACTCCGTAAGTGGTTCCGATTCGGGATCGGCGAAGGCCGAGACCAAGCACTTCTAGGGCCAGCCCTGCGTTCAGCCCCAGGTACTATGTACTGTTCCGTCCCTTCTCACCTGAGCTGGCACGGCAGGGCATATCGTATGTCCCAAGTCTGATGAACCAATATCATACGTGGTATATTGTGTGTAGTATGTTAGTGGTTGGTGCTACTGATTTCCGTCGGATCCATGTCAAATCTGTTGGAGCTTCATCGTTAATCTCTTTCTGTCATCGAATCAGAGCTGGAATGATAGATGAGTTTTTGACACATCATTTTCAGCTGGGAGATTACCCTGGAGCTAACGACCTTGGGGCTAACAACGGATGGCAGTCTCCCGAGGTCCACTCTTGGCAATTACCTAATCGGGTTATAGTTCCAAGGTTCCAACCAAGGTTGGAAGGTTAAATGAGCCGCTGAAGCTTATCTGTTATCACCTTGGAATTTATGAATGTTCGAGCCGCTGCGTATTTGCACGCATATATTGTAGCTATTTCCAGTTCCCTTTTCCCTAATCATGATCAAAGAATCTCAATGATTGTTCCTCTCAAGTACATATAGTTTCGCGTTTATACCCACACTCCCGTACCACATCCACTTTTTCGGTAAGCTAAAGTGCAGTTCTCGGCCGATGCTTGTTAAACATCATTCTGTCGTTCTCGGCCGAGACTACTTGCAATCAGAAAGGTGGGTAGAAGCTTTCTCAACCAGTCACCACAGAAGAACACAACTAATCCTGTCTCCGCATTTCACTAAACCCCAATGTATACCCCACAACCCTCTATACCGACAGAGCCTAACTGCTCTACCGTGGTGTCTAGGTTTCTCTGTTCGCCTGGGGTAATAGTCCACCCCGCATTGACACTTAGATTATTTCTCTGGGGATGACCATAAACTACTACCCCGTAGTCACTATTTATATTTGATCTTCCCTCTCATCAATTGTTAATGTTAGTTTCTATTATCAAAGATCCTATGATTCCTTTCCATCTTTAATCTCAAAGCTTATACGATCCATTATATCCACCTATTTTGGAGGGGAACGTCACCTCTAATCATATCTCGCAAGACCCAGCAAGCATGACTGTTCTTTCCAATTCCAGCAACCCCCGCCAGGAAATGGATTTTAGCCATGCGGCCGCCACCAGAATTGAAATGGACGACCTTCAACCAACCCACCTCGAGCACTATGGCCCACTTGCACACGTAAATACTGTGGAGTCTCGACTGCCTGCATTTGCGGGCGAACTGCAACCAGGTCTCTACCGGACGCCCAAGCTTCGGAAGTATGCAAATCCTGCGCCTTTAGGTCTCTCGGGGTTTGCCTTGACCACATTTGTACTGGGGTGTATCAATATGGGCACGCGGAATATCACAGAGCCTAATATGGTTGTTGGTGTTGCGTATTCTTATGGTGGGCTGGTGCAGCTTCTCGCTGGCATGTGGTAAGTACCTTCTTATTGAACATGTGCTTCTAGGTGATCTGAATCTAACCATTTATCTGTGTGATAGGGAAATGGCTGCTGGAAACACATTTGGTGCCACCGCTCTGTCTTCATATGGTGGCTTTTGGATAGCCCTAGGCATCACGTTTACCCCTGGATTCCAAATCATGTCAGAGCTTCAGAAGGCAGACAACGGGTCGACCGACATGTTTTACGACTCGTATGGGCTGTTTCTTATGGTATGTTGATTTATGCCATTCAAATCAGCCTTCATATTACCATGCCTAACAAGTCCTAGGGCTGGTTCGCCTTCACATTTCTCCTCCTCACCTGCACTGTCAAATCAACTGCAGTGTTCTTTTCCCTTTTCCTATCAGTGGATGTGGCTTTCTTGCTGCTTGGGCTTGGACACCTCCATCGCGATTCTCACGGAATGCCTAATCCGCAAATCCTCAAAGCTGGAGGCTTATTTGCTCTGATTGCTGCATTCTTGGCATGGTACTCTGCTCTAGCAGGTATCGCGGATGACAGCAACAGCTTTTTCATTATTCCTGTCTTTCACTTCCCGTGGTCCGAGAAAGGTAGGGCTTCCAGACGAGAGGCTGCTGCTGCTGTTTAGTGCTTATCACTATGGACCCGTTCTAGGAAGACCTCTGGACACTAGAGGTTAAGTTGTAGTCAACGATGTTTTAACAGCATCAAAGGTTTATATTGTTATGAATATACCGGGCCCGAATCGAAAAGTTTTTGACATTCAACCTACAGCTGCATGTGGATAGGGCTAGGATGACGGGTAGGGTACAACTTTATATCCGACAAGACCAAGTAACAAATTCACAGCAGTGATCCGTATTATCAAGAAATAATTCGGAGTATTTCTGTTGCTCCCCGGATCATAGCGGATGATGAGGTTTCAAACTATGAAGGACAATGACGTATCTCGGCCGAATATACGTTCACATCAAGCACCGAGCTTGCTTGAGAGCCTCTACAAACCCACCAATTAGAGTCAATTTGGAGCCCCATTGTCTAAAGTATCAGAACCCTGCAAGTTATAAAAGCAGCTTCTATTCCCTAGTTTCCTTCATATTCATCTACAGTTTGTCTCAATCTTCTTTCCAGTCCCTTCTAATTTTCTCCTTCTACGATCATGACGTCTCCACAAGACAACAAATCGGATAGTAAGCCGATTCCCAAACTCACCCCATTCACATACGAAAATGAGGTGTACCAGGCCGGTCGCAAAGGCCAGAAACCCTCGATAACCTTCAACTGCCTCGATTGGGAAAACCTGGCCAAGGATCGTCTGTCTGCAGATTCTTATGGATATGTTTCGGGATCCGCCGGTACTCGTGAGACAGACGATAATAATAAGAAAGCCTTCAAAAAATGGGGGATTGTGCCGTCACGCCTAGTCAAGAGTGACTTCCCAGACCTCAAAACGAAGCTTTTTGGCGAGACCTACGATTATCCGATCGCCATGGCACCGGTAGGCGTGCAGCGCATTTTCCACCCTGATGGGGAGACGGCATCGGCGAAGGCTGCTGAGAAGGAGAACGTCCCCTACATTCTCAGTACCGCATCCTCCACGAGCATCGAGGATGTGGCCAAGGCCAATGGGAACGGGCCGCGTTGGTATCAACTCTACTGGCCTCTGAATGAGAACAATGATATCACGGTGAGCCTGCTCTCAAGAGCGAAGGCAGCAGGTTACAAGGTATTGGTTGTAACCTTGGATACGTACATTCTTGGATGGCGTCCCAGCGACCTGAACAATGCATACAACCCTTTCATCCGTCCAGATGACATCGGTGTAGCACTGGGATTCTCTGACCCTGTATACCGCCGAAAGTTCGAGGAAGAACATGGGAAACCCATTGAGGGGGATCTCGAAACTGCGGCCACCGAGTGGGCACACACCGTATTCCCCGGTGTGAGTCACGGCTGGGAGGATATCAAATTCCTCCAGGAGCACTGGGACGGTCCAATCGTTTTAAAAGGAATTCAGACGGTGGCGGACGCGAAGAAAGCGGTAGATTATGGCGTCCAGGGAATCGTTGTGTCCAACCATGGCGGACGACAACAGGATGGGGGTATTGCATCGTTGGATGTTTTGCCGGAGATTGTGGACGCCGTGGGAGATGATTTGGAAATTATCTTTGACTCAGGTGTTCGCTGCGGTGCTGATATCGCAAAGGCATTAGCACTTGGTGCAAAGATGGTCCTGATTGGTCGTCCGTACGTTTATGGATTGGCCATTCAAGGTGAGGAGGGAGTACGCCATGTGTTGAAGAGTCTCCTAGGAGATTTCAACTTGACTCTCCACCTGTCGGGGATCGTCTCAGTGTCTCCTGAGCACCTGAATCGATCGGTATTGCGCCGGACAGATAAATAAAAGCTTAGTAATAAGACGACATATCAAACACACTTTCCACAGTTCAAAATATATTGAATTTCTTTTCTCGGAAACTTGATACTAGCTTATATCGCCCGTAATAGACATCGTCATACATCATTTACACTGCTCGATACACCCCTATTGACTTAATAACCACAATACTGGGCTATTTAAACCCATATAAGAGCTTGAATCTTGAATTCTAATAGGATTAGCTTTTCCGCCCAGGTGGGTTTCAGCTGCTGCCCGAAATACCTAATACGGTAACTGGTGGCAGGAGTAGTAAATCTCTGCAGGGCTACGATGCTGATCTACGCTGTAAATGCCGCATGGCGCTGGGAGAAGGGGTTCAGGATTCTCTTTTTGGAACATGTTCGTATTGAAGATTTCAATATTCCCTCAGAATGTTGTGGTCTCCATGTTGATTTTCTGAGCATTAACTATTCCATATTTCATTTCATTGCCGCTGGACTCCATGGCTTATGTATATATTCCAGGTGACAATGATACATGTGCCTATAAGAGTGATGGAGTCGTGATATTCTCGCAAGGACATTTCCAACTGCTTCTTGAAGAACTTTATAGTACACGGTGTGTATAGGAACAACCACCTGCCATTAACTGAACAACATTTTTACTTTTCGTGGATCACAGCCACACAGTGCGCGATTTTAGACGACTGGACCGAGAGTGCGCCCTGAACAGGTTTGTACGGACTCAAAGAGTAAGGTCTTTCCTCCTTCACTAGCTAAATACCTAAATTGGGCATGTCAGGTTTCCTTTGGGAACGCCGAAGATCCTCAAGCGTAAATGGCGCCCCATAGACACTGTAGATCCCACCAAAACGCGGAGGTCTCGACCCCGGACCCCAGACTCACTGAATTTGGATATAATAATATGTCCTAAGATTACATCATTAACATATCGGATAGCGGAATATATAGGGTTATTATCGGCGAGTGCTCCGTAGATAGACCCATAGAGTACTCAAAAAGGAATATGGCAAGGTATATAAACACCGAAACCGGGAAGGATCCGATATTCCAGATCCTTCATTGACTGCCGATCCTCTGCATTTGCTTGTTTGAGACAACGGGGCAAATTGACACACAAAATTTTACCTCATTAACTGAGAGCGTCTATTACTAGCTTCACTGTAGTGAACATGAAGTACGACGAGGTAAAGATGTGGCGTCGACCCTGAAATATTGCTGTCATGTAGGCTTTATTTAGTGTTCTATTAAGCCAATTTCTATTGAAATAACAGTCTCATCTCTCATTTCTGTCCTTTGTTTTCATTACTGCCAATTACCCTCGCGAAGATGGACACAGGCTCAAACAAGCCTCTCCAGAAGGCTGAAGTTGTTCAACATGACGAGAACCCGGTCTACGATGAAAAAGGAGATCGGGAAGCTCAAATTCGGGAGACTACCCGAGGTGAGCGTGAGATGTCGATTCCAACCGCTTTTCGATTATATTCGAAAGCAGTGGGTTGGTCCATCTTGTTGTCAACGGCAGTGGTTATGGAAGGCTATGACTTGCTTCTCATCACCTCGTTCTTTGCGTTAGATCCGTGGAAGAAAAAATTTGGGGTTCTCCTTGATGATGGCACATACTCCGTCTCCGCAGCCTGGCAGACAGGACTCTACAATGGTGCTGCCGTGGGAGAAATCATCGGTCTCGTCCTCAACGGTTTCGTTGCTGAGAGATTCGGCTATCGCAAAACAATGCTGGGGGCACTATCATCGATCACCTGTCTCATTTTCATCCAATTCTTTGCACCTTCGGTGGAAGTCCTTCAAGTTGGCAACATTTTGATGGGAATCCCATGGGGTGTTTTCCAAACACTGCCCGTATCATATGCGTCTGAGGTGTGCCCTGTTGCCCTTCGTGGATTGCTTACGACCTACATCAACATATGCTGGGTGATGGGCCAGCTGTTAGCCTCGGGCGTCCTAAGAGCCATGTTGAGCAGGAACGATCAATGGGCATACCGTATCCCATATGCATTGCAATGGATGTGGCCAGTGCCCCTGATTATCGGCATCGCCTTTGCACACGATTCACCGTGGTGGTATGTCCGACGTGGTGACAAAGAAGCAGCCAAATCCGCCCTCCGGTCATTGACACGTCGAAATGTGGACGACGCCGTCGACATCGACGCTACTGTGGAGGTCATGGCTTATACGAACGAGATTGAACAAGAGGCCAGCCAGGGTGCGACTTATTCGGACTGCTTCAGAGGTTACAATCTACGCCGAACTGAGATCGCTTGTATTACCTGGGGCATTCAAAATATCTGCGGCACAGCTTTGATGAACAACTCAACATATTTCTTCCAGCAGGCTGGGATGGACACTGCCAATGCCTTCAACCTGACCATGGCACAATACGCCATTGGGTTCGTCGGCGTGTTTATCGCCTGGACACTCATGATTCATGTCGGCCGTCGCAAATTGTACCTCGGGGGATTGTTTACACTGTTGTTGCTGCTGCTTAGCATTGGATTCTCAGGCATTCCCGGCCCAGACAACAGTTCCGCTTATTGGGCCTCAGGTGCACTACTCTTGGTGTTCTCACTCTGCTATCAGGTCACCGTCGGAACAGTGTGTTACTCCATCGTCTCGGAGGTTTCTTCTGTTCGACTTCGCGCCAAAACTATCAGTTTGGCCCGGAACGTTTATAACGTCTGCTCCATTATCAGCGGAATCATGGCTCCCTGTATGATCAATCCAACTGCCTGGAATTGGAAAGCCAAGGCAGGTTTCTTCTGGGCAGGCTCTTGTCTTCTTTGCTTCACATGGACTTTCTTCCGTTTACCTGAAACGAAGGGACGGACCTTTGCAGAGCTTGATATCCTTTTCGAACGTGGAGTGAATGCCAGGAAATTTACAGATACCTCGGTCGATCTCTTTTCTCATGAGGTTCACGAGGAAGGGGAACATACGGAAGAAGACCACAGGAGTTAGATGGCAATCCGCCTCTAGGAGGCACCCATGGGCCAATCGAGATATGTTGAGAGATCACGATTCCGCGTTTCGGGGGAGTCAAATTGAATGGTGAACATAACTTACTTGATGTTGTCTTCTGGTCCATTTTATTTATTCAAACACTCCAGTCCAAGCACTAGCGAGGAAGTGGCTCTTGATACAAGTTTGGAAGTTTTGTCTTATTGGCGGGTTGGGTGTGAGCTTGATTTTATTTCTATATTCTGAGATAGATCAAAAGATGTAACTAGAACGATAGATATGTCATAAATAAGAAAGCGGTATATGATTATGCTAGGAAGTCCCAAGGTTTAGGTGTACAGACTCGCCGTGTTTCAACAAAGAATGAAGTACGACAGTGCACGCCAGGCGTCCTTCAAAATTCTAGGAGCTATAAGCAATGGAAATTGTAGTCAAGGCCTATGTAAGATCAGCTTGACACTCTTACGCCCCGTATAATTGGACTTCACGCATTGGAAAATTCTTAATATATCCGAGGCTAGCCAGCAAGGAGATAGTTTCCATGGTGTTTCACTCAAAGGGCATTTCCCACTGTGCCGTTGCATTCGGAATTGGCATTGACACAGCCCAGGTAACATTGGGAGAGTTCAGCTCGAGGTATCACGGGCGACACGGGTTTGTAGGTGACAGGAAATTGCCCCGGTGGTGTAACGCATACCAGGTCTTTAGGTGGTGGGTAAATCGATGGGTATGTACAACCGCTCACGTCCATTTTGGCAATGCCATCTGACGTACAGTTTTGGTTTACCCTGCGCGGTGCTAACGAGGCCGTGTCACCTATCACAATGAGTTTTCCAGAGTATTTTTCCCGCCTGAGGATCAGGGCCACTAGAGGGGGAGAGACGAATAACAGAACGCAATGCATATAGACCTTCATTGTGAAGGACCTCGGGCCTACATATTGAGAATAAGCGAATTGCACAACAATCAACTTTTCCGCAGAGTGCTGACTATTGTTGGATTTCGTAGGAAAAATAAACAAAAGCCATGATGTAAATCTGCCGTATAGATATGTGTCAGCCTCCTGGGCCTCACCTTTAATGGGACCGGCTTTTGTTTCCGCATAGCTTCCAGAACAGTTATCTCTTAACAGATACATTGCATTATCGCCGCATACCATTGCCATCGTATTCTTGTTAGAAACCGAGCTCCAGGGTAGCCGAACATTGAAGACTTGATTCGACGAAAGAGAAACAATCTTGAGTCTCGTGGCAACAGAAAATGGACAATAAAATATGGTGTGAACTTTGTTGATTCTGCTATTAATTAGCATGAGTGGCCTACCTAACTAGGGTTCTTGCTCGGCAGCCATCAGATCTCCCCTCCATAATATCATCTATAAAGGGTAAACACATTGGCAGTATAAATCAGGACTACGCACGACAAGAGACAATGGGACCAATCTACAGAATAGGATGTACGGAAATCCATGATTTCATTTCAATATCGTCATGAGAATATAAAGACCATAAAAGCTTTTTCGGAGATCACAACACCTAGTTGCCGAGCTTCTGGCGGGCGAAGTTGGGCAGAACGAAGCTGGCGCGGTGGATGTCCTGGTTGTAGTAGCGGCAGAGCTTCTGCTCCTCCTCGGCGGTCCAGGTGCGGAGGGGCTCACGGACGTTGCGGGTGGCGTCCTTGGAGCAGACCATGAAGCCAATCTGGCCGGAGGGGTAGGTGGGGATGGTGGTGTAGGCGTACTCGGCGACGGGGAAGACCTCCTTGCAGGACTTCTTAAGTTCGGCGATCATGTCCAGGTGGAGCCATTGGTTCTCGGCTGTTAGATATAAAGCACAGTTCCGCAAAACCGAGCCCGTAAAGTGGGTTCGTTGCGGGGTGGTGCGAAAAAATATTAGCGTGTGATCTGTTTGTTTGAGGGATGATAAAATGGGGGAAATGAGCAATCTACGAAAAAGGAGGGCAAAGAAAGTGACGAACAACCTTGGGTAGTGATGACACCTCCCTCGCGAAGGGCAGACTTGAGCAGCTCGAAGTAGGGCTTCTGGAAGAGGCTCTCGGCGGGACCCTCTGGGTCGGAGCTGTCAGTGATGATAACATCGAACTCGTTCTGGCGGTTCTTGAGGAACTCGAAGCCATCACCAACGTGGGTGTGGGCGTTGGGGTGCTGGAAGCCAATGGCCATGCCGGGCAGGTACTTCTTGGAAACACGGATGACAGCCTCATCGATGTCGCACAGAGTAGCCTCCTTGACAGAGGCGTGCTTGACGACCTCACGGAGGACACCGCCGTCACCGCCACCAATGACAAGGACCTTCTCGGGGTTGGGGTGGGAGTTCATGGCGAGGTGGGTGATCATCTCCTGGTAGGAGAACTCATCACGCTCGGTGCACTGGATAACGTTGTCCAGGACGAGAACGGTACCGTAGTCGCTGCTCTCGAAGACGAGGACATCCTGGTACTTGGACTTCTCGTGGTGAATGATCTGGTTGACCTTGAGGCTCATGGCCTGACCGGGCCACATGCCGGACTTCTCAGAGAACCAACCATCTGTAGATGGGTATTAGCATGTATTTTTTTATAGCGAATTGATTCGAAGGCGGGGTAATGGAGGGGGGTGGAACACATACCCACGATGGTGGGGTGAGTGAGCTCGCTCATTTTGATGTGTGAAGATGAGAAATAACGGGGGAAAATAGATGATGAATAAAAAGTAGAAGAGAGTCTGGAGAGACGAAGCATTCGAAGAAAAAGGGTACGGCGGAAGTTTGGCTGTTTTGGGCGAATTTTTTGCTTCTCGGCTCAAGTGGGGAATCGCTGGGCTGCCACCAACTTCTCCCCCAACCATCATTAGAAACAAGATAGATCCAATTCTAATATAGGCAATTAATCTGGCCTCTAGGATCACTTGATTGCAATTCCACCCAGTAGACATGTCTCATTCCCACAATTGGCCATGGTCACCCCAGGGACCAATAGAGAGCCCTAGAAAGACGCTTACTCAAGCTTCATTTCAAATATAAGAAAATAGAGCCATCTCAAGCGCAAAAAGATGGAATATAAAAGGAAAATCAAATGGTCGATTGCTTTCTAGTTACTGTACAAGCATACAGCTCCCCCAAACTGCAGAGTATTGGGTGTATCATGCTCTGTTATACCAATCCAACCTCACTCCAACAAACAAATTGAAATAATTTACTCTTCGTTACCACCCTCGAGAAGACGGCCGGGCTTGGAGTTGAGGTACTCGTTGCTAAGGTATCGAATTAGCACACCGATCAACGTGACTCCTACAGTCATTCTTACCGCTCAATGGCCCAGTTCATGACGGCGTATGCGGCAACGAAGGGAGGGACAACGTAGAGAACCTGGTGACGGAAACGACGGAAGACGTTGAAGATGGCAGCGTGGCCGGCACCGGCGAAAGGACGCTGACGGTTAGCGGACAGCGAGTAGGTGGCGATGCGCTGGGGGGTCGGGCAACCTGGAAATTGGATATTAGCGATTCATTCGAATTGCATTCGCCTGGTTGTTTCTCTGAATCTTTCTCCATTCGGGGGTCGCGATCTTTCATATCGCGAAAGGGGTAGGTTTCGTGCGCATATATCGGGTCCGTATGAAAGGTTCAAGGGTTATTGTCAAACGTACCGAACTCGCCCCAGTTGCCGATGAAGCTATAGAAAGTAAAATTTGTCAGTTAACTGAATGATAGACGCAGAAGTCACTAAGACTATTAAATCATGACTCAATTGGCATCGTTCATGAATTGCATTGTGTAGCCGGGCGGGTAACGCATCCGGGAGGCCGGTACTCAACCCACGACACCAGGAGCAAACGCGAAACGACTTACTGTCCGTTCTTAGGGTCCACAGAGCCACCCATTGTGAATGATTTCTGGTAAAAAGAGAGGAGTGGGTGGGGGAAAAGGTATGGAGGTAGCGAAATGAGTGAGGAAAAGACCAAGGTCGGGTGAAGTTGGAGGTTTGGAAAGATGGGCACTAAACCCGATTGGGAACACTCAGAGTGAGCAACGGGAAAAGCAGACATCATCTCCATCATCCGTCCTCATCACCTCGCCCTCCACCTCCAACCATGGCTCAAATCCTCCAAAATGTTTATCGGCTGGCATTCCCCGTGGCTATTGGGGGTATGCTAGTTCAAAATTCCCTTTACGATGTCAAGGGTGGCACACGAGCTGTCATCTTCGATCGAGTGTCTGGTGTCCAAGAGAAGGTTGTCAACGAAGGAACACATTTCTTGATTCCCTGGTTGCAGCGCGCAATTGTCTACGATGTCCGCACGAAGCCTCGTAACATTTCCACCACGACAGGAAGTAAGGATTTGCAGATGGTCAGCTTGACACTGCGTGTGTTGCACCGCCCGGAGGTGCCGAAGCTGCCGCAGATCTACCAAGTGCGCATTTCCCACGATCCCTAAGCATCTACCGAAACAAAAGACTAACCCAAGGTTATCCAGTCATACGGTACCGATTACGATGAGCGTGTCCTCCCTTCCATCGGAAACGAAGTTCTCAAGGCCATCGTGGCCCAGTTCGACGCCGCCGAGCTGATCACACAACGTGAAGCTGTCTCCAACCGTATCCGTACCGACTTGATGAAGCGTGCCGGACAGTTCAACATCGCGCTCGAGGATGTCTCCATCACACACATGACCTTCGGAAAGGAGTTCACACGGGCCGTCGAGCAAAAGCAGATCGCCCAGCAGGATGCCGAGCGGGCCCGGTTCATCGTCGAGCGTGCCGAGCAGGAGCGCCAGGCTAACGTCATTCGCGCTGAGGGTGAAGCCCTGAGTGCCGAAATTATCAGCAAGGCCGTCGCCAAGGCTGGCAGCGGATTGATTGAGATCCGTCGTATCGAGGCTAGCAAGGAGATCGCCCAGACTCTGTCGGCGAACCCCAACGTCACTTACCTGCCTGGCGGAGGAGAAGGAAAGGACGGAAACAAGGGCACTAGCATGCTGCTGGGTCTGCGGAGTTAGGAGGA